AAATGCACAGTGCCATGTCCACCAGGCCTAGCACCAGTTGTTGAAAGGTTGGGATAATGCTAACCGCTGGGTAAATCTCTACTTAGTGGATGGGGCAGCGCATTTTTTTTAACACTTATCTGTCAGGTAGCGATTTACCTGCTGGATAGGGTTGTCCTCCCTTGTAAAAACTGGGTCAGATAGTGTTAAACAACCAGGACCAGAAGTATTGATCCTCTCTCTGAATTGAATGCCAGACCATAGCAAGTTACCTCTAAGCATTGTGTCAAGTATTTTCAACAGCACTTGTGTACTCATCTATTTGTGTACCCACCTTATAAGGGTGGGGAAGGGCACTGAAATATTGAGTATTTTAAATCACTGCATTCTTTAAGGGCTGGTTGCTTCCCTTGAGATTAAGAATCATTTTTATCTTGAAGGCTAGGCACAAAACAGCAGAACAATTAGATGGTGATGCGTTTTTTGTTGTTGAAGGCCAAGTGCAGGATTTAAGTTTCCATAAAGAAGTGTGAAAATCTTTTTTAACTTAAAGCTAAGCTGAAATCAGTAAAGCAAATTGGTGGAATGGTGATTGTTTCTTTTTTGATGTGCAGGTTTTAAGGTTACTTACTGAAGAGTAAGAATTACTTTTGTTGTGAAAGCTAAGCTTAAAACAGTAAAGCAAATTGGCAGATGTTTTTATTAAAATGTAGGCCAAATGCAAGATTTGAGGTTACTTATAGAATGTTGCAATCATGTTAAAGCATTGTAATATTATTTGAATGCTTCAGGAATGTCAGTAGAGTTGTAGAGTCATTTTGCTTTGTTGTGTGCTGTTGTTGTTGTTGTCGTTGTTTTTTTTTCCCTGAGATATGGAACTATTACACACAGTAAATCATTCAACAAATTAGTAATAACCATTGCAATGGGTTCTTTCTGTAGAAAAGGATCGTTGTAAGAACTGTCAGGGTAAAAAGACAATCAAAGAACGTAAAATCCTGGAGGTGCATATCGACAAAGGAATGAAAGATGGTCAAAAGATCACATTTTCCTCAGAGGGAGACCAGGAACCTGGTATTGAACCAGGTGACATCATTATCATTCTTGACGAAAAGCCTCATCCAGTTTTCCGGCGAGATGACATGGACCTGCATATGAAAATGGTATGTTAATGATCATGGCCTGCTGTTCGAAGAGTAGATAACGCTATCCATTGGATAACTTGCTATCTGGTGGATAGCGCATTTTGTTTTGTAAACTCTTACCTTCTAGACAGCGTTACCCCATCTTTTTTGAACTGAGCTCAGAACAGCCACAGTTATGCAGGTTTAAAAGGGTCCCATAAACTCTTTTTTTGTCAAATGTTAATTGTTATATTGTGGTGGTGTGCACTTCTTGGAAACCCATATCGGTAATCTTCTGTCACACTCTAAATTAGATTAGGAAGATTGTGCGTTGGAGTTTCTATACCTCTGTAATGATTTCAATTCTGTTGCAGGAAATCGAGCTGGTTGAGGCACTCTGTGGCTTTCAGAAAACGATAGAAATGTTGGATAAGAGGCAACTGCTCGTTACGTCTCATCCTACAGAGATAATAAAACCTGGCAAGTATTCATTTAACCAGAATTATGGGCGGGAAATTTTTTTTCCGGGGTGTGGGGAAATTCGAGCGTGGGCATCAATTTTGGTCGGCCCCGCGCCAATTTCCCGCGCAAAATTTCAAGGTAAAACATTAGAAACAGTGCTGTCTCGCAAAATAAGCGAAAAAATAAAATGAAACGTTGACAGAAATCAGTAAAAGGAGCAAAAGAAGGGAAAGGTTGTGTTAGCTAGCACGAGGTTAGCTCGAAGCGCGGGCGACACTCGAGGCTCCCACTCTCGTGCGTAATTTACATTTTTCTCTTGGTTCCCCACTCTTGATAACTGCTCCGTGGTATTTCTTGAACAAAAAACTTAGTGAGTCAAAATCTGCCAATCACTTCTCAATAACTTAAGCTTTTGGACTTCTGCACTGAGTTGCCACGCGTTCAGTGCAACAACTATCTGCAAAGAAGTGAACTGCTCCAACAAGTAAACAACTTTTGTCTTCATTTCAGGCGAAGTGAAATGTGTTCGAGATGAAGGAATGCCAAAATTCAAGAGCCCATACGAGAGAGGATTTCTCATCATAACTTTTTCGGTAAGATCAAGAGCATTTGTTATGTTATGTTGACAGTGTGACACTTGAGTAAATGATCGCCAGTTGAACAAGCTCTGTATTTTTAAAGAAATTCGCCTTGTCTACCATAAGAAATGTGTAAAGAAGATTAAGGAGGATATGAATACTGATGTTAGGGTGTTCGTTTTAGATAAACTTCCCTCCGGATGGATTTCTTTCTGCTGGTGAAATCCCTAAACTAGAGCAGCTGCTGCCTCCCAGAGACGAAAGTATTGTTCCTGAGGATGCAGAAGAAGTCGACCTTGTAAAAATCGATCCTCAGGAGCAAGCAAGAAGTCGTATGCACCATGGGGTAAGCGTAAAAAAAGGGAGTCGAGTTTCCACTCAAGCCTCCTGATCACTGAATTTCACGCCGCATCTCTGCGTATGGATTTGTATCTTTGCATCACTGCATCTGAACGCCAGATTTCTCATAGCTATTGAATTTTTGTATGTAGACAGCCTTTATTCTTAAGCTTTCTTGAGAATGGTTTCATTAACCGACATATGATCACTTTAATCGCTCGTTTTAACCTAAATATGATTACCCCATTTACTGCAAGGCTATAACACGTTTTAAATCTGTTTCGCGGAACAGAGCGTGAAATTATTTCCTCCACAATTGCGTATTTCTCGACTTCAAGTTTAACAAAATGGAAAATACATGTGGGTAATTACTTGAACCCTATTTAAAATTCAGTTCTTCAGCTTTCTTTATCTGATTTTCATTTAGCCAAGCCTGGTTTAACCGAGAGTACGAGCAGTCCCCCCGGTTTTCACGTGTCGAAAAAATTGACCCAAAAAAAAAAAAAAACTGATGTTAGCTCGCCACGCGGAAGTTTGGGAGAGAGGCGCACAAAAATTAGGTACTTTACGTGCGCCTCACCTCCAGAGGTCCATGTGGCGTGCCAACGTTAATTTTTGTTTTTTTCATCTTTTATTTTTCTGATTCGCACCACGAACCTCGCCGAAATGGAGGGACTACCCCTCGTGTAGATTAAACCAAAGGTGTTTTTCTGGTGTGAAAGGGGGATAAGTTTGTCATCAAGATGTCAGTTGGAGTCTTTTTCCTTTAGTAAATCTAACCGCATGACGGTTTATTTGCTTTTTCAGGGCTTTCATGACGATGATGAAGACTATGGCCCACCAAGAGGAGGGGTGCAGTGTCAGTCACAGTAAATTTTAACTCAAAATTGTTCTCCAGTACACGCTTCAATATGATATTCCTCTGATTTAATAAAAATGAAAACTTTCTCTTCTCTTGCTTTAGGCTACATGTAAGTAAGTAGTGTAACAATGACCCGGACTAAAAAATTGATACGTCTGATTAATTTAATATTCACCGACATGCATTTTACGCTCTGTGTTGATTATTTTGTGTTTTTTCCATAGTGATCATTTTCCTCTTTGAAAAGTGAAATGGTTTGTTTTCCAACATGGCTTAAAAATGGGTTGCTTTGTACATTTCTGTTTGCATTTGTTTTATGTCGGCCAGGCTTACAGCTGTCCGAATAGAACGCAGGAGATACGCTCGAAGGAGGAGTCTGACCCCTTCCTGCGTGCCTTCTTGTTCGAAATATAACCCAGGCTCTCTCGTGCATATACCTTCGTGTTTCCGCATGTCAGTCCAAATCACTCGCGACAGCCTTAAATTGGGAAGGTGCTGACGAAACTAATTTTATTTTTTAGTTCATTTCCCGCCTTTCGCAGTTTGGAAGGGTATTCTTCCTTAAATTTGAGGGCTTTTACATAACTTTTGTTCCTATATAATACAATAATCACTAAAAAGTAAATGAGGATTCACATCGTTTTTCAAATATGTTTTTCCTTTTTTTCTTTCAAACTTGCTCGTAACTTTCATGTTAGTATTAAAGGAGCAATGATGATCAGATTGAGGTAACTCCTAATTCAGGCGAGGTCATTTTTTGGCCTTTGTTTTGGATCCTGGATCCTCGAACATCTTTGAAAGATATCGAGAAAAATCATTTAAATCTGATTTTTTGATGCACTATGTTGAGTTCTGCTTAGAGTAGTTTAGGAAATAAAATTTCATTTTCCAAGTAGTTATATGTATTATTTATTTAGGTTACTGTCGTAAATAGAAATTTAAAAAGGCGAGGTTTCCTTAAAATGGTTGTTGCATGGGGCACCTTTCGGCGTGTACTTTGTAATATATGAAATAAAAATAAAGTCAGTTTTGAAATAACAAATGGCGCTTTTCCGATTCTCTCTTTCGTTCTCTACATTTTAATTTCCTTTCCTATTTTCGCTCGTTACTGTACGTTCAATGGAAGGAATATACAAAACAGCCTCCCCTAGCACTTTCACGCCTAGGAATGATCGGCAATTCTTTTCTCCTTACAATATCATTTCGTTTTAAGCCGAAAGATGAAAGGATGTCATCAAATAGGGCATACTGTTTGAGTTCACACGAAATTCTCAGATCCTCATGATGAGAAATGTATAAATACCAGTGTAGAAAAGTGGTGGTTTGCTTTTGATAGTTAAAGAGGTATTACTTCAATCGTATGCTTGGTTAAATCTCCTCAACAGTCAGAATTTTCTCCAAGTTAGAGAGAATCTGAGAACGATGTTTTTACTCGGACTGATAGGGCAAGTTTCAATACTTTCGAAAGTAATTACTTAGTTGTTCACGTTTTCCTACGCTCCAGGTTCTTTGTTGGTTTTTACGTACGATACTCAGTCTAAACGTGCTCGATGAGTAGCTTGCCCGATGTACATCCGAGAGACCTCAGGATAAGACTGGAGTCTAGGTAAAAGTTTGCCGCTATATCCTGGTAACTAATTTATTGCATAACAAATTCAATAATGGCGGCTAGATGTGCGATTCGCTCAACCTTCTGCTCTCCAATTAGCAAATCGTTCTTAAACAGAGGACATAGAAGTGTCCAAAGCCGTCTTGTTAGTACTATCAACTATGGACCGGGGTTCTCTGGCACAAGTCGCCGATTTGTTGCCGTTTTGGCAGCAGGTTGTGGAGTAACCCTGGCTGGGTTTGTATCCTACCAGATGATTTCCAACAACGTGAAAGCAAGGCCCGTCAAAGATCTTAATTTACCTGCCGAGAAAGGGATCTCTGATATCTCGATAACTCTCTACCAGTATCAGAACTGCCCTTTCTGCGGTAAAGTACGAGCGTTTCTGAACTATTATGGAATCAAGTACAACACTGTCGAAGTGAGCCCCTTGTGGAAGTCAGAGCTCAGTTTCTCCAAGTACAAGAAAGTTCCTTTAGTTATGGCGGATGACACACAGGTAAGGGGCCTTGTTTCGTAAAATTTATCGGGAAGAAAAACTTCAGCAGTCGTGGAGAAACGATGAACTACACAACGGACGTTGTGATTCAGCGAGGTTTAAATTATATGGCCCTGTATTGTAAGTATGTAACGTTCTGGGGTGCATGTCCTTACCTCCCTTACAAGCTGGCATCTTTGGTGCTTCCCAGCATCCTTCTTCTAAACGCTCTTAAAAAGCCCTGAACCTTCCCTACCCTTCATCCATGCCGGATTTTACTGAGTAAAGTTGAGAAGCTCAGTTCATAATATGCTGATGCCTTTAAAAATCAAAATGCCATTTTCTTTCATTTTGCGATGAGAAGTAATTCCTTTTAGTTTTGTCAATTTGAAGCTCTCCCGATAGGCTCTCTCTTTGATATGAATCATTCTTTACAGATCAATGACTCATCAGTCATTATCAGCGCCCTCCGGTCCCTTATGGTGGGCCAAGATTCCATCAAACAGATCTTAGTTTATTACCCTGAAATCACTACAAAAGGTGCAGATGGCAAAGAACAGACAGAATATGCCAACAGATATTTTATCATGTACAAAGAACAGGCCATTGACAAGAAATCCATGGAATATGAGAAGTAGGTGCAGATTAATAACTTTGAAATATGATGTTATAACAGTGTAATTTGGGAATAAGACTGTAAGGATTGTAGGGATGCTCCTTTATTCCCTGAATCATTATAGAGCAATTTCCAATTCATTATCAAAAGTAATCTGCATTGATTTTGCCACTCTTCATTCGGATTGGTCTTGAAAACTTGCACCCCATGTAGATGCCTTCTTAGTCTTAGTTCAAAATGATGGCTCACCTCACTAACATTGTAGAGAGGCAAGGATGAAACAACAGATTTTACACTTCAAAGCACTGTATTTGACTCATAAAGGAACAAGTAAATACATAATACCAACTTATAAATGGAAAGTGAGAGAGGATATGAAGACCCCAAGCAAAACTTATCTGTGCATCAAGGCAGATAACCCTTTCTCCCTTAAGAGTGATCAGAATCTAAGTTCTTCTTACAATATCACTACTGAATCATACATTTAGGTTACAAGAATTGGGGAAATGATCACAAACTAAAAAAGGACTTTATCGACAAATTTTCCTTCTAATTACCTAGGGAAATGTATAGGGAACAGTATAGAGAATATGCATACTGATGTTAAGGAAATGTTGAGGGTTAAGGAAAATGACTAGGAGCAAACTTGATGATAACAGAGAGTACTGATGTAGGTTGTTGAAATGTTATACAGGGAACAGAGGAAATGGCGAAAATGGGTGGACAATTCATTTGTTCATACACTGTCACCAAACATCTACCGCACAGCATCAGAAGCTATGCAGGCATTTGAGTATTTTACAAAGCAAAGTAATGTCAGCACTTTTGAGAAATATTCAACCTACTTTGCTGGGCCAGTAGTGATGTACTTTGTTGGAAAACATGTGAAAAGAAAGTAAGTCATGTAATTTATAACCCTTTGGCCCTAGGAGTGACCAGCATCTAATTCACCCCCAATCACATGTTAAGATACTGATAATAGCAGAATTGATCACCCACTAGAGAAGTTCTTGATTATTCAACAAACAATTTACACCAAATGATATACATATCAGTGCTTCAGGTTTCCTTAAAAAAATGAGAATTTTTTTTTTATTGACCCTCAAAATAATAATGAATGTTTCCTTCCCCAGGCATAATATCAAAGATGATGTGCGACAAGCCATGTATGATGAGGCAGAGAAATGGATGAAGGCTGTTGGCAAAAGAAAGTTTATGGGAGGAAGTTCTCCAAATCTTGCCGACCTGGTAAAAAATTTGAGTGTTTGTAGAAGAAATAGACTCTCTTCAAATTTCTCCCTAAAACTAAGAAAACTTTATGAGAAGTATAACCCTTTTGGGAGTAGGGAACAAATTAATGTCACATAATTAAACCTGTATTGAGCAGGCCCCATTAAAACTCATTGACCCGTCAGTGTGATTAGTATCTAATTTCTCTCCACAATATCACCCCTGAATCAAACATTAAGGTCACAAGAAAAAAAGGAAATGATCACCGCCTAAAGAAGCTCTAGATCATCAAACAAATTCTCCTTGTCAGCACCTTAGGGATAGTATAGAGTACAGTATGGAGAATATGCATACTGATACCAGGTTTAAAGGGAGAAGCAGACACCTTGTACTTGTCACCCACCAATCTAAGTTTTATGGACCAATTAATTTGAAAGTAGATGGCAAATGAGAAATAGTGGATGGCCAGTAGGCGTCATTTTATCTGTTGGATTACATATAATACTGAGAACTATTCAGTTAAAATGACTTGGGTGTTTCTCAAAGTTCTTTTGAACCTTAAAGCAAATTCTAAACACGGAGTCAAGTCACATATCTAAACCTGTTATGCCTTGTCTAAGCATGAAACCTTTACTTGTCCAGAAGTAAAACCAATCTGTTGTTTATTGCAAGGATTCCACAACAGACATAGCTCCCTTTACTCTTTCTATTCTACTTGACCGTGCACAGCCTCTTCTCCTCATAATATCTGAGTGGCTACTGTTCATGTCTTTTCCACAGGCGGTGTATGGAGTACTGAGCGGTTTGGAAGGTCTTGATACGTTTAAAGACCTGATGACACACACCACAATGAAGCCGTGGTATAATCGAGTCAAAGAAGCTGTGCAGACTCATGCCGGAGCTTGCTAAACCTTAAATTGTTGTGTACATGTGTAAATGTCGGCTTTTTTTAATAAGCAGTTGAACTCCTCTCCCTCCTCTCCCTCCTCTCCCTCCCCTTTCCCCCTTCCCCAACGAACGATTTTTTTTCAATTTTTGCAACGAGCATAACTATCATTGACGTGAAGGAGACCACTAGATATTTGCTTAGTAAGATAAAAGAATATAAAAGGGGCTATAATAGATCAGAAAATCAATATTAACAGCTAAGGATGAAAAATATTGAAAGGAATTGTAAGTGACCAGTTTGAAAACAATTTTAGGCTGGCGCTTAAGGTGCACAATCCGCGACCTAACTTACAGTTGTCTGATATGAATGTCTTATTCCAACAGAAAGCTTCCGCAAAATATCAGCTATTAATTCTAAGAGTTTAGGTGGGGATTGTTGGTGAATGCTAAAAAAATTAGGAGGAAAAAAATCAGGGACACAAACTGACAGCAGCATCAGACCTATTACAACTGAGGAGGCTTTTATTTAAGGGTAGAATGGGATAGGAGCTTGAAACTGTCTGTTAACATGGAAGGAAGCACAAACAAACAGCTGGAATTTTTTTTTCAATTTATTATTACTTTATGTGATCTGTTTATTGACATTTCTGGCTTCAGCTGAATATGATGAAACTGTAATGGAACAAGTTGTAGCATAGGCAGACTATTTTTTACAACACCTGGCAGGATTTGCTGTCGTTTATTAACATTATTTCCTGCCTATCAATGTGCAAAGGGTTCTAAGAAGGAACTATGAATCCTCCGTCAAGGTCGAATGGCGGGTGAGTCTTGTGTTTCGTTGTAACCAATCGCATCTCGGTCAAACTAAGCATCGTTTGCTAAACATCCACGAGCCTCTGAACATAACATAACATAATCCAATCTAAGCTAGCAAAAGTGTGTGGAAACATCCTGGTAGTGATATTACTCTAGGTTAACAAAAAAAATAGTTGTTGGAAAATAAGAATCTAATCTTCATACTTTCCAAACTACCGAGCGTAGTTACTCGGCAATGTAGCTCTTGGGTTGCAGGGGGCAAATCTTGCCTCCATCTCAAGTGCAATCGTTCGTCATTCACGCTGGCATCTTATCTCAACAAGTGATAAAAAGAATGGTAAACTCACCCCACGGAAAGTTCAATTCCTGTAATCGATTCTTTGTCGAAACTGACGAGCACTGGTCGAATGGATTATATTGATTCCAATGTCGCACTGATCGGTTTGCTGTTACGATTTACCGCGCAGGATCTGCGGGATTCTGACTGACAATTCAGCCATTTAACTGTCAGAGAAAAACAACACAAAGTTTGGGTTATCTTCCTCGCACAGAAATCCAGAAGTATTGTCAAAATCTCTTGATTTCGAACTTGGTTACTCTTGAACAATACCCAGCCTTTCCATTAGGCTTATCGTTTACACAGACCGCTACCAAGAGTAATAGTATTAGGGCTCTGGGAACGAGAACGGTCGTGGAGCAGGAAAAAACGTGGATTACCCGGATGTGCTGAAAACTGAGGATTTTCGCACTCCTGTTTCAAAGTGTATTGTCTACGTCAGCGTTACTGAAGTCGATGCTTGCCTCTAAACAAACGTATTCAACCCCAAATAGCCTGTTGAAGTCTAATTACCCTATTGTTTTCAGAAGGTTTCTCCTTCACTTCTCGAGAGATTTAACTCCTGGCAATCGAGCAGAATTTAAATTTTGGTGCAAAGGACAAATTCCGGGTTCGAAGCTAGACATCAACCCAAAGAACGATGAAGATTTTCTGGGTTTGATCGAGTTTCTTCTGGAATTCAATGCAGTTTCCCTCACGAACTTGTCTCTACTTAAAGAATTTCTCATAACTGTCGGCCATCACGATTTGCTGCAATCTTTGAAACAAGTCGAGCTGCAAATCTCGCTAAGTGGTATACTTGAAGGTTACATAAAGTCGATGATACACCTCCGCCATGGCACGCCTGTGAAACTTGCCCGTGACCAAGCAAGCGTCTCAAAGTTTTTGCTGGCGATTAAAGAAATAAATAAGGAACTGATTTCTCCAGTGTTGAACCGCCAACTTGAGCAAGTAGAAGACGACAGTGTTGTTCTGCAGGTCATCAAGAGCCCTCTTCTAAAGACCTCGTCGCTGTCGTGGTCCAAGTTCACGTCCTATTTGGTGTCCATTGGTGAGTTCTACGCTTCGTTTAGTTGGCCACGTAACCAGTTACCCGATGTCGTAGCGGATGGTCACTTCACGAGTCTCTTTTCAGACACCAAGACCTGCGAACTACTTACGAAATGGATGCTTAAAAACGGAGGTCTGGTAAGTGATTGAAATAAATACGCAACCTATGTGAAATGAAGATTTACAGCCAAAATAATTTCCCTGTGTTCTGACTTGAGCAAGTTTTATTGCGAAGTAGATAGGACTGGGAAATTTGTTAGCTAACACAAGGGAAGTTATTTCGGGGTTCTGATCGGGAATGAAGAATATCTTTGGAAAAGACGCGAGGGCTGATAGAATCTTCTTGACAAAATTATTCTTCTTGCCACGTCAAAAGCCGCTTCCTTAAATGTAAATGGGCTGCCTTTGAATATCCTTCTCAATTTTTTTAACCATTTGAACGACCATAGTCGGTGGTTAGCAGTATCGCAGGCTTTTACAAACAGTCAAATTAGAATCGGAAATCAGAAGCAGAATATTGTATCTAACTACTTAAACAAGAAACACGGGAAGAGGCGTCAAAAATCTTTAATTTTTTATTACTTCAAGTTGCTTAACAGGCTCAGCGTTCACTTTTTACCGGTTTGGCAAAAGATGTATAAACAGCTCTTAAAACATGCACGGACAGACTTTTAGAAATGTTGCATGTGCTATGTAATCAATGCAAATTTCGGTGCTCTCCCTGATCATGTCACAAGTAACTGAAAATGTTTGGGGCAGTTTCGAGGTTTAAAAGCTCTCTCGCAGATAATTAGATATTCATAAACTTATGAGATATTCAAAATTATTCATAGGTCTTTCGATGAACTCTTTGTTTTCCAAACCATTTTTTTCGGAAACATTGCTCAATTCTAAGTATGTCTCAGATGTTTTACTCTCGTATTGTAGTATTTTTAAAAATTGGCAGACAGTTGTTATATCGATACGCTTGAATGTGGCCGAAACTATTCAAATTTGCGCTATTTTTAAAACACAGCCGTAAGATATAAAATGATAACTCTGATAGATAAGACTCTTTCAGTTGTATCTAGAAAATTCTTAAGATTTCTGGACGATGTTATAAGTTGACTGTGTGAGATAATCAAATCAAGAGGTGTAGTGAGTCTTTTTTCTTGTATGTGGTTATTTTTGGATAGGTTTTTCTGTTTTTGCGTCCATAATACCATAATACCCTGTACTTAATACAAAGATCATGTCAGGCAATACTTTCTTAAATTTACAATACTCATCTTCTTTTGGTTTAATTAACAGGAAGCATTTCGAGAATTCATCAAAGAAAAACAACAAACCACTATCAGTGAGTCCGTATCATCGTCCAATGGAGAATGTTTAAAAGAAATCATCGAGCGGCTTGGAAATCGTATCGACTTACAATGAAGGAATTTCATTAAGGAAATATGAAATGATGAACATGTAAATGTTTCATATGGTAAATCAGTATTGACGTAATACCCCTAAAGAGAAAATAACTACCCCCCCCCCCCCTCACATCCCCTCCTATGGACTGCCACCTTGCCGTGGTGGAGGGGCTCGTGCGTTTCAGTGATCCTGAGAACTCAGCCGGCAGAGGCATGTGAGCCTCTGGCAGGTACAACCAAGCTGGAAAGATCGACGGGGAGAAACCAGACCAAAAGGCAGTCAACATTCTAATTTTACGTCTATTTCTCTGGGAAAATTTTTTTTCCTTGTGCTTTCCACATTACCTTTTTACATTATAACGAAACGTACTACAAACTATTAAATTTTTCACAGGAAACAAATATCTCACTGTTTTATAAAAATATGAAATGCATTGAAAAATGTGAAAATGTAAAATATGCTCGCAAGGGCGTAAAGAGAACAACAATGAATAATCAATAAAAATTTTCTTGTGTGTATCACGGCTTTCTCCGTTTACGTGCTTGTACAAAAACGCCACGCAATATGGACTGTTAGATTTTAAGCAGTTACAAATATCTCATTTTCATTTGATTTATTCCAACTGCTTGAACACCTACAAGGAATTCAGGAATGCTAAAGGACTCAACAATGGGACTTAAACTGTGCCAGCATTGCGTACGATTTAACGTTGGGAAATATTGAAAAAAGATGTTAAAATTTGGAATTAAAAGTGAAAACCAAGGTCTCCGGTCAATTTGCCACCAGAAAACTTGCCACCATTGAGAGTCAAATCGCCACCGGTGGCTATTTGACTTAAACATTATGTGTAGCCTGTCGTATTAAATTTACATCAAATGAATGTAGATGTAGTAGTATATTGCGGAAAAGGTAAGGGACTCAGAAGTTATGTGTAGCCGCTCAATTATGGCACGACAACGGTTAAATGAAATAAATAAGTCATATTGATATCACGTTAATTTTGATTCAGCTTGCGTTTGGCGAAACCTGAGTGGATACATTACTACATCTTAGTTTTCATTTGATGTAAGTTTAATACGATTGGCTACACACAACTTTTAAGTCAGATCGCCACCCTTGGCGATTTGACTCTCAGTGGTGGCGAGTTTGTTGTGGTGGCGAACTGACCGTAAACCAGAACCAAGAGCAGTCTGGCTTGCGAGATGGCTCTCCTTACCGCTTCAAATTCGTTTCTAACATTAGTTTCTTAAAATCGATCTCCAATTAAAGTTTAAAAAGAGAATACCAGTTATCAGGAGCTTCTTCATTACTGTTGATGCTAAAGGGTGTTGAGCAAAACGCAAATTTTTGTTTGATGTACGGTTTGTTCTCCGCGAGGAGAAAGTAGAGGTAGGTCCACTTTGAGGAGAAACTAACTTGCCTTCACTAGTCATGGAAATATTAGCCGAAGGGGAGCACTATGGGCGGCTAGAACTGCAAGGGAAAACGAGGGAGACTGAGGGGGGACTGAAACTGGATTCCTCCCAATTCCCTCTCCCTTTAACTTACAATCGATCGATACACTTTTTAATAATAGTATTAGGACATAGTGAAGTCGAATTCGGTCTGAAATCATACGAGTGATTGACGAAATTAGACGAATCCGATTTGTCAATCGCAAGTATGATTACAGACAGAATTGGACGACACGAAGTCCTGTTACCAATTAATCTTAACCGTTACAAAATCCAAAAAAAGACAGAAAAACAACTACTTCTTTTAGGACAAACATCTAAAAATTTTCAGTTTTTTCAATTGCTATGGTTATTTTGATCAATTCTGTGATTGTTGGATTTAGCTGAGTGGACTTAGTATGACTGGCTGCTTCATCTGTCCTATTACAAGTGTCCAATTACAGCCAATTGTCCGTCCACAGTGTTTGATTACAAATGTAAAGAATGATTGGTGAAAAATAAAGCAGCTGATGCACCAGTCACATTTGAGGAAATTGAAACGGTTATGATAAAGACGACAAGAAGAACAACAAATGACAAGATGCTAATCAGCTTTGGTCACATCCATTTTCTTTATTTTGAAGAGCTGAACAATAGTATCATTTTCATGACAACCGTCAGCAATATTTGTCAATCCGGTTAATTGCCAAACTTCATCTAATTGTATTTTAAAACAAATAAAGAAGTTGGCATTGCGTACATGTGTGAGACTGGTTCTGGGTGGAAAACTTCAGTTGATGTTAGCGGGGATAGCTCACCGCCATTTTAGTTCATAAATGTCTCATCACTTAAAAATAAAACAAGTTGTTACATATGTATTTCATGAGTTAGTAGATTAAAATTGCTGCCTAGATTGAACATACTGAATAGAGCGTGTAAGGTATCATAGAAGTATTCGTAATTTTAGTAATAATAGCAGCAACCCTGTTGTGGTAGCAACAGAAGCAATGATATTGTTAGTAGTCCAGACAGAGGTAGTTATATTGTAGGTAGTAGTGATAGTGTTGTGTAGCAGTTAGGATACTGAAGTGGCAATAGCAGTAATAGTATTGTAGTAGCAGTAATTATTGAAGTGGTGATAATGTTGTAATAGTACTCGTAATAGTAATAGTAATATTGTAGCAGTAATAGTAATGATGTTGTAGTAGTAATAATATAATAGTAATAGTAATGATGTTCTGCCAGATTAATTAATTATTAATTATTATTATCATTAACATTATTATTAACAATTAACAGTCTTTTAAGCTAAATGCTTTTGTATTATGCATTATTTTGATGAAATTATTAATTGTATTTTGTGAATAATCTTAAATTGTGAATAATCTTAAATTGTGAATAATCTTAAATTGAGAATAATCTTAAATTGTGAATAATCTTAAATTGTGAATAATCTTAAATTGTGAATAAAGTTCAGAAGTGATTAACAAGAGAACTTTTTTTTATAATTAACAGTCTTCGATTTAAACGAGAAAGCCTCTGGAGTTTCCTATAGATTTCCTACTGGGAGGAATACGGCTTCTCTGAACTGTTGAACCACTTTTGCTATCTCTTGCGAAGACAAGTTATGATTGGAATCTATGTTTTCTTGAACGAAACGGTGCACTTCCTTGACATGATTTTTAAAGTCATTCTACAAAGTAAAATATAATGTTAGAAAGATATGAAAGGAACTTCTGTTTGTACAGGAACATACAGTCTCTCACAACAGAGTTTGGATTCACTCCACGGACCGATCATCGAAATCTGGAGAAGAGGTTGGTCCTTTTTGCCTGATTTAAAATTGTTTTATGTTTCTCGACAGTCAGGCCTATGAGATTACTTATAAGTCTTACCATGAATTTATGAGATCTATCATTGAAGGATGTCGAAGTGAATAAAAAAAGCCGACAAATATTTTCATTTGCATCATGCAGGCCATAAAACTGGCTGCGGAAGTAAAAACGACTGGTTGAGATTTTTGAACGACCATCTCTAAAAAGCCATTCATATTTTCATCATGGAATTACTCAGCATGAAGACCCCGATGTGTTCGAAGGCTAGAAATAGGAACAGAGTAAACATAATGGGCAATGAAAGGTAATCCATGCAACGCAAGAAATACTAAAATAACTACACTAAACAGGCAGCTGGAAAATGGAAATTGGTTAAAACATCTTTCTGTAATTAGTGTACACTTAAAGTTCTCTATATGTCAAATTTTTGAGACCTTTCAGCGTCGGCCATGCTCAGATTATAAAAGTGAAGTGGACTCTTCCTGTCAGAAAAAAATATTTTTCACTTGGATATAAGCTTGTTAGACAACTCTTCTGCCAGATTAATCGTCGTAATGCCAATGCTGATTTCCGTTTGCATTCCCTTTTCACCAATCCTTAAAGCGATTTCTAAGTAAAAATATGAGTTCATAGCCGTTTTCCGTTCATATGGCCCGACCTGTTTCGCTTCAAATAACTTTCTATTGTTTGACTATCATGGCATGTTTCATATATAATGGTTCCTTATGCATGAAGAGTCAATAAAGACATTGAAATGAACAAAACAACTTCATGATGCAGAAGTGGAAGAAAAATGGAAGTAATTCAACTTGAAATGGGACCTTTTCAAGGCCATGGTGTACGACTTTGTTCTGATATCTTTGAACGTGTCTATTAAATCAACAATAAGAACATCTAAAGGAGAGCATGAAGTGAGGTTTGGGTCTATTCGTGATTAATTTGACGGAACGGCTGTCAAACGACTTCCGTCTTTGGTTTCCTCAACAATTATCGAAATACAAGAGATAACCAAATAACGTTCAGCGTTACTCAGCGAAGTAATTCCTACTGATATTTTCTGATCAAAATGGCTATGTAATCTGCATGACTTTCAGTCGGCAGAGTGATCTTCCTATCAAATTCGAAAGCTTTGATCACATGTTAAAATTCGACCAATCACTTCCAGGCAACGGCTGAATAATCAATTAGAGTGTTCTACGCAGCAAAAATTTTCACAGAACTGTTTCTGCGCCGAAACAAAATAAACCAAAAAACGAAAAGAAGATACATTTTTTCAGAACTCTGATACTCAAGGTATAAAATCTAAACTACAATCTTACCCAGGTTCCTAGCGCATTCATTCGAGAGCAGAGCTCATCAGCAGCTGTTGTGCATAGGTCTAACAATGACTCCTGTTGTTCTTCATCGGCGGAAGCGATTGTTATAATTTCTCCAGCAAAAATTACAAGCATAGTAAAGTCATCCAATGATAATGGTGTTTCTTCATCCATCTTCTCCTCTAAGGCCATTAATACTTTCTTTAAATCTCTACTGGACTCAACGGTTGAGCATATGTCTCTGATTTTAACACTCTCTCGAGCACTATCCATAATCTTCCGTAAGCGCGAAGCTACCATGTTCATCCTTAATTTATTATCGCAGAAGTTTGAATCCAATCCTAGATTGCTCTTCGCATAGAAATCCAACAGGAGTGTCAAATTCCTCTTAACTTCATACTTAGTTAAATCTTCAACAAGATCTTGTCTTGTAATACTTCCCATGGCTTCCTTAACGAAATTAATATTATCCCACGAAATCCTTGCTTCGTGCTCTAGTAATCGTAATATATCCATAGAGTCGGAACAATTATTAATCGGTATGACTCCTTCTAAATAATAACGAAGCCGTCGAAGATCATCCTCTCTCAGCTTCGAAGACATGTTAATCATTTTACGCTTAAAATTAGTCTTCATTAATTCATATGTTAACTTAACTTCTGTTTGTGATGGTCCTTGCATTACTTCAGTACGCATATTTTGTGCCAATCGATTGCATGACCGACTTCTTATACCCAAAAATGCTGCACAATACCATATTTGGGCGGGTTAATGACGTACATGCACTCCAAGACAACTATTAATATTACGCGCGTATAACACTATTTAAGTGTATAGTTTGATGAAGATTCATCGATTGGGAATTTGTCCCACGCTCGTACGCGTGACAAGACGAAAAAACATCTTTCCCTATTTCTTTACCGAGCTCTAAACTTATGATCTCTCTTATTCTATTTACAAACATGACGCTATCGACGTTGTTGATCCTATAGCAGTATATATATGCAGGCACGTGTCTTATGAACTTCGTAGCGAGGAACCCGTAGGTCTGAGGTTCGATTCCACATTGAGACTTGAAATTGTTGCTTTGTTCTACGCTCGTGACAAGACGAAAAACATCTTTCTCTATTCGGTCATATTTCCAAAGTGATATTCCTTAATTTTTCAAGCAGTACGTCCGATGAGATAAAAGTTTGCCTTCAAAATTTTAATGCAATGAGATCGAACGTTTTCTTTACAGTTACACAAGAAGGGACAATCTTGGTCGCTCGTGAGTATCCCGCGGAGTAAACTTATTTATTTATATAAATGCATCAACCCACGGGCTACTAAGATAATGAGAGTACAATATCTGAAATTTTGGTGAAGACTCTGATGTTGACTTCCGCTCAGGTTGTCGAAAAGTCGGTCACTTTTTTCAGACCACTCGATCACATGTTATCCCCAGGTTCAAACCGTAAAATGCGAGAAATATGAAATGCGTGAAATATGCCTGCTTTGAAAAAAAACTGAACAATTTGGATCATGCAAAAATATGAAATAAACGCACAAACGTGTAAAGATGTAGACAGATAATAAACCTTCAGTGGTATGAATTACTGTTTCCTTGGATTTTGCAGATACTTGGCATGCAAAACTAAGCACATAGCATCTCTGAATTTTATCAAAATGTCATCTTCATGGTTCTGTGGCACATGCAAACTACTTGGAAAGCAATGGGGTGCCTTATGTCTTTGAAATCGATCTGTGGCCTGTGTGAGAAAGCTGTTTCTCAAATGATGACTCTGAAACATACTTTTTTTCACCACATGCTAAAGTGCAATCCCAATGAAACGATTTGTATGAAGATCAAGAAGCTGAATATTTCCATGACCCAATTTCATTCTGCCATTGCTATAATAATGGCACCGAAACATGAGAGCTTTACTACACCACCCACTCTACCACCCCTTTATAAGCACCCCCCCGTCCCATTATATGTTTGTCTCAGGGGATTATACCTATCCTAACTCCGCCTACTTGCAGAGCCGCCCGTGAAAAAGGACTGAAAAATCAACGTTCTTAAACATTGTTAAAAGATCATGCAAACAACGCCTGATGGGCTTACCAAGAAAAACATCACTGCCATAATTGGATAAAGTCAACTCCAGTTTATTCAGCACTGTTCAAGTTCTAGTAAGAAGACTAGAACTTATATAAGATATACTTATATAGTATATAAGTATATAATATATATATAAGTATATACTATATAAGTAACTATTATATACTCTAATACTTCAAGACTAGAACTTATATAAGACAATCCAGTTGTGTTTTTGTGTATACCTAGATATACGTTGTAACATTCATTCTTTAGCACTTGAGTAAGTTATAAGTCACAATTCAGTTTTTTTTTGAGTAATTTTCCGCCATAAGTAGTAAGTAAGGTTTTCTTTTGTCATTGTAGAGTTATACGATTTTCCGCCATAAATTGTAAGTAAGTTTTCTTTGTTGCATAGTTTTTCGTTTTTTTTTTCCGCCATAAGTTGTGTGTTCATTTTTTCTTGGTACTTGGTTTGCTTCTTGTTAAACTTGTTTCTTGGTTCATTTGTGGTACTTTCTTACTGTGTATCTTTCTTGGTTTCAATCTTTAGTCATTCTTTCAGTGTAATACTCGATCGTTAGAAAATTCTCAAATAGCATCAATATCAAAAGTTTCAATTTCAAAGTTTCAGTAGTAGTAATATTTTAGCAGTTTTTCGAAATTTCTTGAACATTCAATAGCATCAATTCACAATCCTTTGCCGACGATATCCTCAAAACCATTTTTGAAATTTTTTCGACTTTTTTCATGATTTTTCTATTTTTTTGTTTATGCAATAAATTCTGGTTGTAGTCAGTGTCAGTCACTGAGTGTCAGTCTGGTGAAGTGAGGGTAGAACTCTTAGACTTCAACAGAAGGAAGATGTAGGCAATGATAAATCAACCCCCCCCCCCCCCAAAAAAAAAGAGCGGTCTTTCACGCGCGCTAAAAGCGAAGTGCTAAAACAATGAAGTGGAGCTCCACTCCATTGCCAGCACGTAAAACATTCTATAGTCTGTGAGAAAAATTAAAGTGAAATGAAACATAAAAATGCGTCTCTACTTCGCAGCTTTTTTTTTCATTTTTTTTTTTTGTCATGCAACCGCGCGATCCAGACCGCCTGCTATTCTACAGAAGTGCAAGGCTCAGGGGAGGGGTAGGTGAAACCTCGCCCCTGATCCTCTGAAAACTTGCTACGCTGATTAAGACTGTTAGACTAATTATCTATCTAAAGGAAAAAAGGAGATTCTCTCAGTTGTCGAACCACGTCTGCTACGTCTGCGTTGCTGCGGTTGCACCCTTCCCGCTGACCCCATACATCATTGCATCTTTCCTCCACATAATCACAGAAATCATCCTGAAAGGGATTATTGTAAATTTGTGAGCGACACTAAAAATTTTCTGGCTGCCTCATTTATTCTAAACCACCGGCTAAAACGAAGTAGATTCATGGTAAATTGATCAAAAGAAAAAGCAATAATGATATTTGAAAAAAAAAAAAAATTAAGTATGTACGCGAGTAGAAACTGGTAACCAGCTTACAGCTAGAGGATGGACTGGAAACCAATGATTAAAGTTTACTTTCGATGCGTTTATCTTCCGAATGATTGTATCGGAATTTGACGACCATTGTTTTCAATCTTACTTTTAATTATTGGTTTTGATTGGTATTAAGAGGCTGTCTCTCTTATTTCCACCCGGTCAATTTTGCGTCAAAAATAATTTTGCCTGAAACTCTGTTAACAGAAAGACTTTACCTAGGAAAGAACTAAATTAGATTTGGTTTGATTCGAAATAATTTTCTGACTGCATTACGGGCCATAATTATTTCCCAGTCCGTAGGGACCGTCGCAACGTCTCAAAAATTGAAAAATAGGCATATTTTGTAACGTTGTAAAATATTTGATTCGCATAGTTAAGCCACAGAATTTATATCAGATTGCTTAAAAACCTTTCTACTTTGCCAAGAAAGTTAGAATTTGCCCTCTCGACATATTTGAAAAGGCGAATTTTAGCATATTCTGACCACTAGAAATCGCCATCGGCCGATGACCGTAAATAACCTTGATTTAGACGCTAAGTTTTGGGATTTGGGACCTGGTTGACGATTCTATCCTACACAGCCGTTAAGTTTAGACCTTTATAGGCAAAAATATGCAAAAACCCCTGTACGTTTTCGATTTTTCAAAAGTTATGACCATTTGAATCAGCACATGTACGAGCATTCGCGATTTTTTCGCCTACACCAAAATCGAACCACTGGAGCAGATTTCATCATAAATACAGCTTACCCGCTTTTCAGCCCGGCTTCATGGCTCACTTCAGAATTTTTCTAATAACCAGATTGGTGAAATCCATGATAACTTCAACAAATAGCTAGGTATTGCCTTCGAAAAGTAGGCGGCATCCATCGTGATTCGTGGTATCAAAACAAATGCCGGAATTGGCCACATTTCGCGGTGAATCACCCATTTAACATCGCTGCAGAGCTGAATTTTTTCCAAAATCAGAATATAAACTCTCCATGTCTGGAAGCTGAGGGAGAAATGAAGGTTTTAGGCTTCTAAAGTGAACAAATAATCGCTCAAATTTAGATCCAGTTTGATGTTATACTGTTCTCACACAGGTCCGCATAAAAGAGAAGACCGCTGATAGCATGTGCCGTACGTTGTGCCGTATGGTTTTGTTTTGTATCCCAATGTAATATTTGGGCAGAAAAATTTTGGATGAAAAGAATAAATGCTTTTACCTGGAGTTTGATATCATATAATTAATAAATCAATTTCAAATATCCTGAGCTTGCTTCTCTCGGTTCCGCGTCGATTGTGTCCACAGAACAGCAATCTGTTAATAGCCGGAGAAATCATGGGTTTATGTGAAATAATTTCAGATATTCCTCGCTTCCCAAACTGGTGAACTGGACTTTATGATAACTCCAGCAAATACCTCCAAAATTCAGCGGTCGGCATCTGTCGATACTCGTTGTTGCGAACTAAACTCGAAAACTAAAGCCATGTTTCGCGCTTAATGTCCCGTTGAAACTTTGGATTGCAGCTGCATTCTCTTCAAGAATCAGTCATAGAACTCCACTTGTAGGTCTATGTGTCGAAGTTTGGGGTTTTGGAATTTAAAGCTGTACGACTGCACTATCGCGCATAACAGAGGTCCGCATTAATCATTGCGGGTGAACCCGCTGACCCTTTATTTTTTTTGGAAGGCCTGCAAGTGTAGTATGGTATGCAAGTGCTTTTTCGAAACCATAGAGGCTTCAGTCTGTAGCGAGTCCTCAGCGAGGTTGTTAAAGCTTTCATTGGACAGAGGATACGCATTGACGAAACACCCAGTGAAGGGAACAACAGCTGCAGTAAGAATAGTAGACGAATCAAAGAACACTCTCTGTACAAATAAGATTGAGCATTTTAGTAGCTTCCACAACTTCGAATATGGAGATATCGGTCTGAGAGTTTGGAAATGTTATGGCATCGGTAAAGGGAAGTACATTCCATATGACGTAATTTATATCAAGCACCAAGGTCAAACGTCCCTTCAAACCATAGAATCTCAAGGGTTTTATGATCCTCCTGAAAAGCGTGTGGTCAAACGTCGTTCAAAGGGCAGCAAGGAAACAGAGAGTACAACGCCATTGTTTGAATGCTCTGTGTTTGGATGTGTTGAAGTGTTCGAAACCTTTTCGCAGCTGGAGCTGCACCTGGACGTTGGAAAGCATACAGTCAGCAGGTTAAAGCCAGTATGATGCAATCAAAAGGGATTGGGCCCTTAAGTTCTCGTCGATAGATACCGCTGGTATCGAGTGTTCGAGCTGTTCGTTAGATTCTAGTACACCACTCACTTCTCCCGTGGATACTTCGCCCCACTCGTCTTTACGAACAGGATGGGCCGTAAGCAAACCAAGGGGCAGCGTTAGATTTTCAGAGAAGGTAAAAGAATACCTAACGGCACGGTTTACACTTGGAGAAAGAACTGGGCGAAAGGCCGACCCCGCCCAAGTTGCAGTGGACATGCGAAATGCGAAAAATGAATCAAATGCACGTTTGTTCACTAGAGAACAGTGGCTGACAAAGAGCCAAGTTCAGAGCTTTTTCTCCCGGCTAGCAGCAATGCGGCGAAAAGATCAGGGTGTGATCGGGATATCACTGGATGAGGAGGAAGATATCTAATGCGTCCAGGAAAATTCCGAGAGATAAGATCTGGTAGACAAAGTTAACAAAGAGATCAAAGTCTCACATCCAATCTGCTACGATACGTAGGACCTCTGTGAACGTTACCACAATAACACACTTCAGAAATTCAATGTGGTTTTGTTGAGAGCCATCTGTAGTCATTTTGAGATCCCTGTAAAATTGAGAGACAAAAAACAGATCCTCATAGACAAACTGTCGGACGTGATTAGTGATTGTCAGTGTGTATCTCAGTAGACTTATGTAAACAATGTCTTATACGGTGGCTGAAAGTGTAGAATATACTCTACAGATACAAACTACCTTTACTTCCGATATCAAGTTCTGACAGCGTTGTTATAGTATAATATATTATAATATCTAGTAGTCAGTGAAATGTTTTGATGAAATTGATTGAAAATTTACCAAAAGCAACACTTATAACATCTGTTCATACGAAGCATGTGTCAAGTTTTTAACACATTGGTAGCCGACTTCTCCGGCTATTGACAGGTTGCTGTTCTGTGGACACAATCGACGCGGAACCGAGAGAAGCAAGCTCAGGATATTTGAAATTGATTTATTAATTATATGATATCAAACTCCAGGTAAAAGCATTTATTCTTTTCATCCAAAATTTTTCTGCCCAAATATTACATTGGGATACAAAACAAAACCATACGGCACAACGTACGGCACATGCTATCAGCGGTCTTCTCTTTTATGCGGACCTGTGTGAGAACAGTATAACATCAAACTGGATCTAAATTTGAGCGATTATTTGTTCACTTTAGAAGCCTAAAACCTTCATTTCTCCCTCAGCTTCCAGACATGGAGAGTTTATATTCTGATTTTGGAAAAAATTCAGCTCTGCAGCGATGTTAAATGGGTGATTCACCGCGAAATGTGGCCAATTCCGGCATTTGTTTTGATACCACGAATCACGATGGATGCCGCCTACTTTTCGAAGGCAATACCTAGCTATTTGTTGAAGTTATCATGGATTTCACCAATCTGGTTATTAGAAAAATTCTGAAGTGAGCCATGAAGCCGGGCTGAAAAGCGGGTAAGCTGTATTTATGATGAAATCTGCTCCAGTGGTTCGATTTTGGTGTAGGCGAAAAAATCGCGAATGCTCGTACATGTGCTGATTCAAATGGTCATAACTTTTGAAAAATCGAAAACGTACAGGGGTTTTTGCATATTTTTGCCTATAAAGGTCTAAACTTAACGGCTGTGTAGGATAGAATCGTCAACCAGGTCCCAAATCCCAAAACTTAGCGTCTAAATCAAGGTTATTTACGGTCATCGGCCGATGGCGATTTCTAGTGGTCAGAATATGCTAAAATTCGCCTTTTCAAATATGTCGAGAGGGCAAATTCTAACTTTCTTGGCAAAGTAGAAAGGTTTTTAAGCAATCTGATATAAATTCTGTGGCTTAACTATGCGAATCAAATATTTTACAACGTTACAAAATATGCCTATTTTTCAATTTTTGAGACGTTGCGACGGTCCCTACGGACTGGGAAATAATTATGGCCCGTAATGCAGTCAGAAAATTATTTCGAATCAAACCAAATCTAATTTAGTTCTTTCCTAGGTAAAGTCTTTCTGTTAACAGAGTTTCAGGCAAAATTATTTTTGACGCAAAATTGACCGGGTGGAAATAAGAGAGACAGCCTCTTAACTATCACCTGTAGTACATATTACAAAGGTTGAGCTTTTTAAAGCGTGCGAGCTGTAAAGTATAACATTCTACCAACATTACGCATAAGCATCGAACTGACGAGAACGAATTGCGAGCCTCTTTCAAAAAAGGCTAAATTTTGGTACGGCCTCCTCACTGCTAAAATAATGTCATTTGTGATCGGTTTCAATCAAACTAAACTAGCCATTTTAAAGTGGACTTCCGGCGCGACAAACTATAGTTAATCTGACAGTATTTATCAATACAACTGACAACTTCCGCCATCGCACTTTAATAATTCTGGGAATAGGTAGCTTATTCTAGGAACAAAACATTGAATATTTATAGAAAAAGAAAAATTCTTCTCGCTAAAACTGTTGAACGAAAGATTTTCTTAGCTTACCCAGCTGCCAAGTTCCAGCATCCTGTAGCTAAGCATTTCAACGAAACTGAAACACTTCTCTAGCATTTCATTCCTGCGTATGTCGTCGCTTCTGGAAGCTTGTGCCGCCACAATGATTTCTCCTGCAATTATCACAAGCATGGTCAGTTTACTCCACGGTGAGTTCACTCCACTACGCACATCAACTTCTTCCTCGAAGACTTGGAGGATGTTCTTGTTTGCCTCCACCAGTGATCTCATTCTTGTGCCGTCAAATCTGCAGCTTTCGTGTTCGTTTTCTGTGACGATTGTCAACAAATGACGCGCGGTCGTTTTCAGCGAAAGGGGAACGTAAACGGGATCCTCTTCAAGTCTCTCTCTGGCATAGAAATCCAGAAGAAGCGTTAGATTGCGTCTAACTTCGAACGTCTCTAGCAGTTTGGCGAGATCACATCTTCCAATTGCTCTTAAAGCCTCTTTCAAGAAATTAACATTGGCCCAGGAAATTTTATCCGAATGTTCTAATGAACGCAAAATGTTTAAAGAGCCTCTATCTTCCGTCGGTATTAGTCCAGAACAGTAGAAACGAAGCTTATCCTGCTGAAGTTGATCCAGTTTATGAGAAATCTGGTCCAAAACAACCGAATAAGCCCGTCGAAGTTTGTCAAAGTCCTCGTTCGTCGGTGACGACATGGCGGGTGTCGTCGATGGCGGTAGAGGGAACGAAAAATGGTCTGCCTGACCCTTTATATCTTAGGCGCCCAAACAAGCACCATAAAAGGGCATTGTAATTGATTAATGATAATCTAATGAGAGAAACCACGGCAACTATTTTTTGTTCTGTTCCCAATAGAGACCTTTATATATAGGAACGCAAGGCGTGCAGGAATTATAAATGATTTTATTTTGTCTTTGATTTTTTCGCTTTAATTTCCTACGTAGGAGAGCGCGTATGACAGGTTAGATTTTGTTGGGCTTTATCTTAGTGTGACTCGAGATTAACGGAAAAAATACAAAAGAAAAATCCCTTTGCAGGAGTAAAGAACTAATGAAAAATATGCACCAAGCCCTGGTTAGGAACAAACCGGCCCAGATCTCCATCGGAAAGCAATAACGACGCTAGTGCGATCCGAGCCGAAGGCGAAGTTGGTTTCCGGGTTGCAAGTCGAGTAAGTGCCCGGATGTTGAATGAGAGGGTTATGATGCGCAGTCTTTCCTAATTTATTAGAAATTGTGACTTTGAGTCATGGCTTTGCCGACGGCAACTTCAAGGCTGAAACCATTTGCGCAAGGAGAAGGGTTGTTGAAATATCAGATTCCCTCTGTCTTTAAAGAGTTTGTAGTTGGATGCGTGAGAGATTTAAGCATTAATGATAGGGCTGCATTGAGGTTTTTGTGCTTAGGCGATGTACCGGGGTCGAAGTTGGATGTAAATCTTGAAAGTGATGATGATATCTTTAAGTTGTTTCAATTTCTTGTTAAGGATAGCACACTGTCAGTTAAGGATGTATCATTTTTAGAGCGGTATTTATCGAAGATTGGTCGAGAGGATATAATTCAGAAGCTTAAGCAGGTGGAATTACGTATGTTTCTCGGCAACATTGTTGAAGGTTACGTGAAGTTAAGCGATTGTGTCCGGAAAGATAGCAGTCTCTCGAAGTGTGCTAGTCGTTCTGATAGGGTTGTCGATCTTTTATTAGGAATTAAAACAAGAAATAAGCGTTTGATTGAGGAAATTTTGAATCAGTTGAGTAGAATGGATGGTATGTACGATGGTATGGATGATGTTGATGGCACTTTTCTGCGTATTTGTGACGAAATTATTCGCTCTGATCTATCTTGGTCTGGGTTTATGGTTTACCTCGTGATTATTGGTGAGTTGTATGGCGCGTATGGTCTTTATTTCGGAACTCCGGTCGATGTGGCGGCATCAGATGGGTTTTACGTATGCGCCTTTAGTGGAACGAAAACAAGCCAGTTGTTAGCAGAATGGATTTTAGAGAATGGTGGAATGGTAAGTGAATCAAACATCACTATTATAACTACATCTTTTCGATATTACACCGCCATCAGCTCCAGGTTCTAACACAAAATGAAGGAAAACGGAACTAAGACTGAGATAGAGTTAAAGGTGAAAATACGTGTGACTGTATCTTTCAACAAAGTTGTGTCCTGACAACAAAGTCGCCGCATAATAATGTATACATGACGGAATAGAAACAAACTTTAGTTGCAACTTCATATGCATTGTTACTTGGTATTTAATCATTACCAGCTTCACTTTGACTTAACATAGAAGTAGCACTTGACGAGTTAGCTATATATCATCGGCTTAATCGGTTTGTGACGCTCTGCTCCTCGGGAGCATTCTAAAGAGTGGACTTTCAATTTATATGGAATGCTGTGCATGTCTGTGCCAGACATTTTTGTAACTGAGTAGGTTGACTCCAACTGCAAGTGTAAAAGAAACCTGCTGCTCACAAGAAACGATCAAAGTATTGAATCAATCAGTCTCGATCGTTTCTTTGCGTTTATTTAATGTAAGTTTATTAACTTCGCCATCAAAGTAAGCGATTAAAACGTATATTCTAACTCATGCATGATTGAACAGCCAATATCAATATCCAAGCTGAAAAATGAGACAGTTATGCAAATTTATCCTACATTTGTTTAGTCTTGGAATCCTCTGAAATTTTTGATAAATAAGAAAAGACTTCCTGTATTTCGAATTAAGTGCAATATTTACCAAAGAATAAGTGTTAAACGGAGAGACAGGTACATTGTATTCGTTTTTGGTTGGGATTTCGCATCGATTTAACTAATGTATGTATTTTTTCATTTATCAGAAAACCTTTAAGAAGTTTGTCAGGTCGCAACGAGGAGTACTGAACAGCGGAACAGACATTCCAGAATCGCTGAGGGAGATAAGAAGGCTTCTAAAGTTCTACGTTGAGACATAGAGCACTCGTGAGGTTCTCGTAAGGACGCGTGACTAAAGGGCGTTAAGTGGTGCGTGGACGTGACTGCGAATACAGTACTATTTTGAGACGTAAAGCGTTAAGGATGAGTTAAGAACGTTAAGTGGTGTGATTTCGAATATTCAAAAACTAGACGTCCCCTCTTATAGACTGCCACCTTGCCGTGGTGGAGGGGCTTGTGCGTTTCAATGATCCTGAGAACTCAGCCGGCGGAGGCATGTGAGCCTCTGGCAGGTACAACCAAGCCGGAAAGATCAGCGGAGAGAAACCAGACTAAAAGGCAGTCAAAATACTTACTTTACAGGATACCATGTTCCTGTCACATTCTTGTGTGTATGTGCCTATACACAGAAACGTAACGTATTTAAAAAATTTAAATGTACTAAGCTTGTAACTTCAAAAAACTGTAAAGAATAGAAAAATGTGAAACACACGTACAAACATGTATAGATATTTAAGAAACATGTTTAATTATAGAACATGAACCAAAATGCATAAACAAGTCATAGCAAAATTGTTGAAGAGTAATGATTTGAAATTGAATTTTGAAGAGAGATGAAAATAAAGTAAAATATTTAAATTGCATGTTGGCTGTCATTTCGTTAGCTCTCTGTTGGGGAATACTAGTTTATATACTGGTGTATAAATCGGAGAAAGTATTGGTTTCCAAACTTGTGAATGTTAACAACAGAACTTCAGAACATTTAAGTGATCAAGCTACAACCGTTTTCAAGGTTTTTACCCGGCATCATTAATTTGTTTCCTTCATGCTGGTGACTCATTACCGTTAGTGGTTTTTTATGCCTAGTTTTGGAAGGTACTTATCGAAATCAAACTGTTTTTTTGGCAAATTGAAAACATTCATTTTTTTGAGATCCTCTATCTTCCCAAATTTTTCAGAGGATGAATGTGTGTAGATCTATCTTAGCGAGAACGAGTTTCGATTTTACTCTCTTCTGCGTGAAACTGCATTTAATGCCACGAGCTACATAACACGACTCTCTCCGGCTGAAGTTTCAAATTTACCTCAGTTTTAATAGTAAACTTCAGAATTTACTATATTTTTCTTCTAACTACCGATGATAGTAAATTCTCTACGTTTGCATTTACGTAGCTGCACAGTGATTGTCTCGAATGGACAAATTTCCTGTTGAAGACACTTCTGCGCATTCCATCAGCCACCTCACATAGCTAATCAGAGTATTAAACGATTCTCATCTTTCTGTTGTAGTGAGACGAAAATGACGTAATTTTTAAGTTCCCGGATATTCAGAGCACTAAATTATCATGCGCCCTTCCCAGGTTCTTTTTTTTTTTATTCGTACTAAATTATGGCGTCAAGAAAAGCTTTTTCTGGAAAACAGAAGATCTTTTCAGTCTCTGTTCTGCGTGGTGAAATCTCAATACACTCAAGCTTTTTAGAGCTTTTCTGAATTTTCTCAAAATGTCATCTGCATAGTTGTCTGGCACACGCAAACTACTTGGAAAGCCTTTAGGTACCTTATGTTTTTGTAATCGATATGTTGCCTGCATGAGAAAGCTGTTTCTTAAATGATGACTCTGAAACATACTATTTTTCACCAAGTGCCAAAGTGCAGTTGAACGATTTGTATGAAGATCAAGAGGTTGAATATTTCCATAACCCAATGTTACGCTGCTATTGCGATAATGTTGGCACCAAAATATGGGGACTTTGCCACCCAGCCCTTCTCCCCCACCCCATTATATGCCCCCCCTCTCTCAACCCATGATATGTTCGTCTCAGGGGACTATACCTATCCCTACCCGCCTACTTGCACCGCCGATCATAAAAACAACGTCTGATGAGCTTATCGAGAAGAACATTACTGCCGTTGGTGGACAAAGTCAACTCCAGTCTATTCAACAGTGTTCAAGTTCTGTAGTATGATTAAAGCATACATAAGACGATCCAGTTGTGTTTTTTGCGTATACCTAAATACACGTTGTAACATTCTATCTTTGGCACTTGAGTCAACAATAAGTCATAATTCAGTTTGCTTTTGCATTGAGTAGTTTTTTTCCGCCATAAGTAGTAAGCAATGTTTTTTTGTCATTGTAAGGTTATTCGATTTATCCGCCATAAGTTGTGCGTAATGCAGTCTTTGTTGTATAGTTTTTCGTTTTTTTTCCACCATAAGTTGTTTTCATTTTTGCTTGGTACTTGGTTTGCTTCTTGTTCAACTTGTTTCTTGGTTCATTCATACATACATACATACATATACTTTATTTATGCTCGAAATTCACAGTGTACCTGTAGAGCTAATATATTCGAGAAAATAAGCTAAAATAAAATAAATTGTGGTACTTTCTTACTGTGTATCTTTCTTGGTTTTTAGTCATTATTTCAGTGTAATATTCGATCGTTAGAAAATTCTCAAATCGCATCAATATCAAAAGTTTCAATTTCAAACAAGTTTCAGTAGTATTAATATTTCAGCAGTTTTCAAAATTTCTTGACCAATCAATAACATAAATTAACAATCCTTTACCGACGATAACTTCAAAACCATTTTTGCATTTTTTTTCGATTTTTTATGATTTTTCTATTTTTTTGTTCATAAAATAAATTCTGGTCGCTGTTTAGTGTCAGTCAGTGAGCATCATTCTGGATAATGATAAATCTTGACGCACATGTTTTTCATGTACCTTGAACGGTAAAACAAGGAATGTGGAGTACATTAAATTAAAGCGTTATATCTTGACAACGAAAACGTCTTTGATAATGAAACTTGGCTGATGGATTAATGGGTCAAAGAGCTTTACAATGGTTGGTGTAATAATTTCAGAAAGCGCCTAGTCAGCGTTTTTTATTCGTATACTATTTAGGTTGCGAATATTTATGGAAACAAGAAAAGTGCCTACGGTAGAGTTGCTGCCACTCAGACAGTTTAAGGGCTGAGGGGTTGTCACTTGAACAGGGAGTGCAAAGATAATGTCGTATGGGATAAAGATGAAAACTGTGTGAAATTTGTTTTTAATCTTCAACTATAGCTTTTTCAAGATTGGTCTGCTTCTCAAGTCCTGTCACCCACTGAGGTAGCATCAATGAAGATACTCAAACCGTCTTAAAGTGTATCATTCGTTTGCTATTCCATTCCAGCAACCTCACTATAACTTTTCATTTGTTTCTTTCTGGATTGACTTATATGGCAGCCGTATTGGATTTTTCATAAGGGATTAGCCTATGATCTTGGCTCGAAATTTCAAATCTCTAAGACTTTCTCTATAGTTTGAAGAAGTTGGAAAATGATATTCGGCGAGGTTTTTAGAGTGTTTTCGGTTTCCTGGTCCCCCCCTTGTTCTTAATAACAAGGGTATTATCCTGAGACTGAGATAACAGTCACCTGCTTGCTTCGCGGGGCACTCCCCGGGGAATGGATACCCCAGCTCATGTTTCATCCCAGGCGAAGCTCAACAGGCGCCTTATCACAGCCATTCAGGGGGTATCATTGGGTAACCAACCCAACTCATTGTAGCCAGGATCGCCAGCTAGAAAAAGATCTCGTTCTCCAAATCTCCAATCGTGTCAGCCACTTGTCTCCAAAAAGACAAGGGTGAGTTGCGACTGACATCTCGTCTACAAATCCGGTTAAAACGTTTCTCTAAATCACTGCAGAACTGCTCCTGAAAATGTGGTGAAGAAGGAAACATGACTTACTGTGTTTACTTTAAATAAAGTTTTCCTTTATGTTCATTGCATTACTATCGCTGATTGCCCAAAGTCAAAGCTTCAGTACGAGATTCAGCAACGTTCAAATAGCTATAGGGTGGCATTTTGGCCGAAGATAAGACCTTTTTCCCTTCAAAGGACCTTGGCCAATTTAAGGAGCTATTTATTTGACGCGACATAAAATCTAATTTTAATTTCTTTATCAAACTTTCTAGAACTTCGGTAAAGACAATTGAGACATGTGAAATCCTGATGTTGTTTCTGTTTATCTAGGCCACTCGTTCATACTGTTCAATGTTTGCTGTAAAATGGTGCCTTTGAAGCCGTAGTTTCGAGTTGCATGGAAGATTTGTAACCAAGATTTACATCCGAGATTCTACATTCAATATCTACATTCCAGAGCACTGTCATGCTTCCAGTCACGCTTCTCTTGTTTTGTACAAAGTCCAAATGCCACAGCCTCCCTAATCCGGAAATTAGTGACGGATTGCTGCCCTCCCGTTAACTAAGCGAGTGTTCTGAGTTTCGTTTCCTCAAGGATTCAAATTTAACCACCCCGGCTCAAATATTATCGTCCCATCGTTGTAGAAGGAGAAATCAATGGTCACGCTTATAGTAAAATTGCAAAACAATTTAATTCATCAATTGATCACAGTGTTTGGATCATTTTCATCTTTTAGTCTACATGCAACTTTCGAAGTTGCAGAAGGAAGAGTAAAATGATCTAAAAGTTTTTGAAGGAAAAGGTGCTGAGGTTCCATTGTTAGCCTTAATCGTTAATCGGAATCGTATTAAGCGGAGATACCAGAGAAAAAATAAAAATTCAAGAGCCAAATGTGAACAAAATGGCGCCTCGAGCTACAAGTACTCTAATCAAATCATAGTGATACTGATATTATTATGAAAAATCTGATCGCCTACAAATCAGCACACTGAAAGCACCCGCCATGATAAGTCTACAGTTAACGACTAGATTTAAACTCTTGCGATGGCATGTGCAGTCGATTAATAACCGCGACTACAAAGTTATGATCATTTCATGTGAATTTCTCGCGTGATTTCCAGCGCACGCGGAATCGATATTTACTTTGCGTCCTTGAAGCTCTCCATTTTTTGAGGTAGAGATACATTCTGCATAGAAACTTCACTCCAGTTTAGATTAGCAAAGAATTAGTCGTAGGAGCCAACCTTAATGGTAAGATTGGATCCATTTGTGTTTCAGCTTCCGCTACAATCTTTCGCTTTTATTAGTGTCGCGTTTGGAAAAGATGTTTGTTGCCCTGGTTTTCAATGATAGCATTGATCAGATTTTGTACCTCAGCCATTAAACTGGTAGATAATGAATCTTAGAATTAACACCATAAAACCTTTTTTCACTTACCCAACATCCAAGTTTAAGCATGAAGGAAGAAAGATCTCCTCCTAAAGCCAAACACTTATTCATGACATCTTCTCCTGCATGGTCTCTTCTCAAGTGAGTCGAGGCCGATGAGGAAATAATTTCACCGGCAATCGCAACTAGCATGGAAAATTTTCCCCAGGTCAAGTTTGAGAAAGGAATTTCAGACAGGAGCTGCCGCCAAAGATCTTCCGCTTTCTCGCCTGTGCTTCTTATCACTTCTCTCAGATCTTCTCCGCCTGAAAAGTTTTCCATCAGCCCCACGAGGTGGGAGGCCGCTTCAGTCGCGGACGAATGGGTAATGGGCTTCACATTTTGCTTCTCCTCGACGAAGGCATGTAAAATAATGGACAGACCTCGTTTGTTTTCAAACTCGGTCAGGATGACAACGAGATTTTCCCTTCCCATAACGTTCAAACATCTTTTCAGGAAGGAAACGTCCATCCAAGATATCTTGGCCGAGTCTTCCAGTGAAACAAGAAGTTCCCAAACGCTTGTAACACGTCTTGGAACTTCACCTCTGCAAAGGAATAACAGTTGTTTTAGCTCTTCTTCGTCCAGATCTCGAGCAATCCGAGATAAAACAGCTCTGTAATAAAATTTTAGTTTCTCCTCCATGTTCGTGATGATTTGGCTGTCATCAGTGGGCGCAACAAGACTGAGGAACCTCTCTTACATCTCTAAGTTCAAAACAAGCACCATATTAGGTCGGTGACGTGTTCAATGCCAGCCTGCAACCATGGTTACGGAATGGCAGTGAACACGACACCGATTGGATTTTCATGCACTTTCGTGCATGAAAGAGGAGAAACCCGCAAAAAATATATTTAAAGGTATGCAATAAAAACAGCCAGAAGCTAGAAATTAGCGTCAGCCCCAAACTACATGGAGAATAAATCCAACTCTACGAAAATGCACCAACAGATGAAATACCTTTCTTGTAAAACACGACATTCTGTGGCTGCAGAAACTCTAAAACAAGGAATGTGGAGTACATTAAATTAAAGCGTTATATCTTGACAACGAAAACGTCTTTGATAATGAAACTTGGCTGATGGATTAATGGGTCAAAGAGCTTCACAATGGTTGGTGTAATAATTTCAGAAAGCGCCTAGTCAGCGTTTTTTATTCGTATACTATTTAGGTTGCGAATATTTATGGAAACAAGAAAAGTGCCTATGGTAGAGTTGCTGCCACTCAGACAGTTTAAAAGCTGAGGAGTTGTCACTTGAACAGGGAGTGCAAAGATAATGTCGTATGGGGTAAAGATGAAAACTATGAGAAATTTGCTTTTAATCTTCAGCTATAGCTCCTTCAAGATTGATCTGCTTTTTAAGTCCTGTCACCCACTGAGGTAGCATCAATGGAGGTACTGAAACCTTCTTAAAGTGTATCATTCGTTTGCTATTGCATTCCAGCAACCTCACCATAACTTTTCATTTGTTTCTTTTTGGATTGACTTGTATGGCGGCCATATTGGATTTTTCAGAAGGGGGTCAGCCTATGATTTTGGTTAGAAATTTTAAATTCCTTAAGACTTTCTGTATAGTTTGAAGAAGTTGGAAAATGATTTTTGGCGATGTTTTTAGAGTGTTTTCGGTTTCCTGGTCCCCCCTTTGTTCTTAATAACAAGGGTATTATCCTGTGACTGAGATAGCAAGGTCACCTGCATGCTTCGCGGGGCACTCCCCGGGGAATGGATACCCCAGCTCATGTTTCATCCCAGGCGAAGCTCAACAGGTGCCATATCACAGCCATTCAGGGGGTATCATTGGGTAACGCACCTAACTCAATGTGGCCAGGATCATAATGGTACTTTGCCGAGAGGAACCACAGCAACCAATTTTTTTTCCTGTTCCCGATACAGAACTTTATAGATAGGAACGCAAGGCGTGCAGGAGATATAAATGATTTCGTCTTTCTTGTTTCTTCGGAATTTCGATGGCGTCTTAAAACACTACTTATGCGGCTTACCATATATCAATCACCCTCCAAAGCGTGTGTCATTGTACGTAAAGCCCAGGGCCGAATTTTTCGAGTGGGTGTTTACGTTAATCTAGGATTAAAAGTTAACCTTGGTTTTAATTTCTTATGTAGAAGAGCACGTATAAGAGCTAAGATTTTGCTGAGTTTTATCTTAATATGACTCGAGACTAAGGGGAAAGATGCAAAAGAAAAATCCTTTTGCAGAGGTATAAACTAAGAGAAAAATTTGCACCAAGCCCTGGTTCGGAACAAACCGGCCCAGATCTCCATCGGAAAGCAATAACGACACCAGTACGATCCGAACCGAAGGCGAAGTTGGCTTCCGGGTTGCAAATGAAAGTAAGTGCCTGGATGTTGAATGAGTGCGTCAAGATGCGCAGTCTTTCCTAATTTGACTGAAACTATGAGCTTCAGTCATGGCTTTACCGACGGCGACTTCAAGGCTAAAATCATTTGCGCAAAGAGAGGGGTTGTTGAAATATCAGTGTCCGTTTGTCTTAAAAGAGTTTGTAGTTGAATGTATGAGAGATTTAAGCGATAACGATAGGGCTGCGTTTAGGATTTTTTGCTTAGGCTATGTACCGGTGTCCAATATGGAGGTAAATCTTGAAAATGATGATGAAATCTTGAGGTGGTTTGAACTTTATTTTTGATCTGTTCATGACAAGCTTGGCTTTTTTTTTTTTTTTTTCGTTTTCCTTTTTTTTTTTTTGATGTACACGTCTTTCCTCCTTCCTTTTTTTCATCTGATTTCGTTTATAACTTTTGTATTTTTTTTCTAAGTTTTCTCATTTTTTTATATGTATGTTTGGCTGGGGTTGCCTTGTTTTGTCTCGTTTAGAAAAAGATAGCCTCCTCCAACTTTCGGACTGCGTCTGCAATTTGCTCTCTGTTCACAGAAGTGTTGCAACTCGTGTCGTTCCCGTAAACCAGATTGTGTCTTCTTCTCACAAAGGTATGAAAGTCCTCCTGTATTCAATAGAAAATAGGTAAATATAAAACAATAAAAACAAAGTAAAGGAAAAAAAACGAAAAGAAAATAATGAACCTAAGAAACACTTTAGTAAGAGAGGGATCTTTTACGATTGTGAGAACAGCAGAAGTTAATCGCTCCCACTTCCTGTTTGTAAGACGGTAGTTATCTACAAATTTAAAAATGGTAATTGTTTAAGTGACAACTGTTTGCATATCTCTGTTCTACTGACCCCTAAAAACCCCAGCTATGAATAATTTATTCGTTTGGATAATATGCAAATATGTATGATTGCGAAGAGACAAACATTTCAAGGCTTCAAAAAATAATATGCAAATATATATGATTGCGAAGAGACAAACATTTCAAGGCTTCAAAAAATATCTCAGCTTCTACATGCCTTGTGGCAGACAATTAACCGTACTTATTACAAGTTTTTTAAACATACTGCCAGATAAATTCTAATTGATTAAGTTTTCTTTGGTAATTTTAGCAGCAAAATCTACCAAGTTAAACCATGGCGCATCGACTACGTTACAATTTAAATTTTGTGCGCTTATAAACTTCTCTGAAACAGCTGATTCTTCAAATTTGGAACTTGAAAACGACTCAATCCTTTGCTGAATTGGCCCAGTATCAATTTCGTTTCTCTTTTAATAGTTTTCTGGTTTCAGAGAGAAACTTTGAGCTCATTAGTCACTTAGTAAAGATATTAGTTAAGATTAAGTTTCACTTTCAATATTCAAACTTCGTATCGAAAAGTTTCGATTTTTTGCTAGTCGCTGAAGCTAGATAAAATCAACAGAATACTAGTGCTTTTGTATTACATTATATTCATAGCACCTAATACATAGTGATTTGATTTACCCAGCCTCCAAGCTGAAGCATTGGACAACATAGCTCATCTGCCAATGTTATGCAGATATCCATTATGGCTTCTTCTGAGTTTCCTCCAGGGTGAATTGATGCTGAAGCGCAAATGGTTTCCCCGGCAAGGGCAACGAGCATAGAGAACTTACTCCATGTCTTTCTTGAGCTCCATGCGGTACATTCGTTGACAAATTTCAGCCAAAGATCTTTCTTATTATCACCATCTGAGCTTTTCATTATGTCTCTTATTTCAACGTTTCCCTCAAATCCTTCCATCAAGTGCACGAGATACTCCGCCAACTTGGTCGCTGATGACCAGTCGTCATCATCAAAAGAATGCTGTCCATTCCTCTTCTTGACGTAGAAACTAAGAAGAATAGACATGTTTCTTTTTACCTCGAACTTCGCTAATAATTCAGCTAAATCTTTTCTTCCAATTTCGCCCAAACATTTCATCAGGTAGGAAACGTTGATCCACGACATCTTCTTATTTTCCTCCAGAGCAAAGAAAAGGTCAAGAAGTTCCTTAATTCGTCTTGGGACGTGTTCAACACAAAGAAACTGAAGTCCTTTTTGCTGTTCTTCATCGAGATTGCGAGCAATCTGATACAAAGCATTTCTGTAAGTTTGTCTCAGTCGATCAGTCATTTCCGCAGTAAGTCTGTAAGTTGTCGATGTTGTCGCAGTCGTCAGAGGAGGCAGAAAGTTGGGTCTGGGATCCTATTTATATGAGTATAACAAATTTCCCTTACCCCCCTCCACTTAATAGAGTACCATATTAGGGCAATGCCGTCTGTAGTTACCATGGTGATAGACCACAAGGGCCGGTTATCTAAAGAAAGATTAGTCGTTGTTCAACAAAACTGAGTTCTAAACTACCTTCAATTTAACTGAATCTACTATCTAAACACTCATTTTTGTGAACAGTGTCAAGAGGGCCGAAAAGTAACGGGGGAAGGACATTTATTTACTGAAATCAACCCTCTTATAGATAATATTTAAGGCCCTGTGTTTGTGTTAAAGTACAGTTTGGGTTAGACCCGTTTTAAAAATCGGCCCCAACTGTCTTTGTAAACTCAGTCAAAATGGAAATGCCACCACGGATCTGTCTACAGTGCCTCGAACGTAGCACACACAGTTATGGCGATTCACTCGATCTCGCTCTGTATTTTCTTTCCTATAACGGTGAAAAAGTGGAGACAGCGACGCAGTACTGTGAACCTTTCCTCTTGGACAAATTTCCCGTTGATCACACATCTGCACTTTCCATTAGCCACCTCATATTGGTGTCAGAGCATAAAACAATTCTCATCTTTCTATAGTTATGAGACAAAAATGGAAAATGATGTAATTGTTAAGTGCCCGGATGTTCAGAGCAATATATTATCATGCGCCCTTCGCAGGTTCTTGTTTTTTTTTTGAATCGTGCTAAATCATGGAGTCGTCAAGAAGAGGTCCTTCTGGAAACAGAAGATCTTTTCCATCTTCGTTCAGCTTGATGAAATACCAATATCCTCAAGTCTTTAAGAGCTTTATAGTTCAACTTGTAAAGTCTTTGAGCAACGATGATCGTGCAGCTTTTAGCTTTTTATGTTTGGGTTATATTCCTGATTCGATTTTAGGTGGCGACATGGCTATTGATGCTGAGTTATTTAAGGTAATCAGGTCTCTTCTAAATGCACAGGAATTATCTTCCACCAACATGTCACTGTTAAAGGATATCCTTAAAGATATAGGCCGTATCGATTTGTTGCAAGAGCTGGAAAAAGTGGAATTAAAAATCTCAATTGGGGTTGTTTTGGAAAATTACGTGAGGTTTAAATCTGTCGATGGCTTTCGCCGTGACACTGAGACGAAGCCTCCTGATAACCTCAGCGATGTTCTGGAACATTTACTTACCACCAAACAAAATAACCAGGAGATGATATCGCAACTTCTTGAACCGCTAAGGCAAATTAGTGACTGTCATCAGATACTACACGCGTTCATTCATGAAACTCCGCCGTCTTGGTCAGAGTTTACAGTCTTACTGGTTGTCATTTGTGAGTTATATGCTGCTTGTACCCCAAATTCAAGAGATGTGGAGTTTTTGGAAGATGGTTATTATGTGTGTTGGTTCACCAAAACCGAAACATGCAAGTTATTATCAGATTGGATGTTTACAAATGGTGGTTTGGTGAGTAAGCTGAACTTACACATTGTATACCCTGAATATATAAGTCCTCCAAATATCAAGTTTAGATTTCCGCAACGTTACCTGATTAGCGCAAAAAGTAAACGTTTGCAGAGAGCGAATGCAAAATATAAAAATTACAATTGGGATAGTCATGTGTCTAAGACCTAACTCACATTCTTCTGCAACAGAAACGACAACCATAGGAAAACATCGCGTCGATGTTTTGATGATTATTCGAACCATTTTTCACAGTTGCAATTCAGCAGGAATTGACTTTTATTTCAAAGAAGTGGCGATTTGCGAATCGTAACCACGATCTATAGTTTTCTTTAAAAACCATAGCTGTTTTTAAAGACGAGCGTTTCATAAAATACCGACCTTCCGTAAAGTCAAACATTTTCAGGCGTCATGCTTGAGGTTCAACAACAAATACTCTGATTGTTCACAATACTAGTTGTTTTCATTTGTCTTACATCTTCACTGTTTTCCAGCCATGTTGTCTCTATATATTCCGTTGGTTGATAACTCCCAGAAAGTGAAACATAAGTTAGTGAGTGAAAGAATGTTTTAAAGAAGTGAAACATCACGTATAACGCGAAGAGAAAAACAATCGCTCGATGAGTAAATGTAAATTTAGGCTTGTTCGACAATTCTAGAAAGCTGTTCAAGCGGAGAAGAATTCACTGGTTGATCCAATGTATTCAATGACCCATCTGAATAAAAAAACAAACAGATCTTAAGTGTCTAGAGATGAATTTTCATTTCTTATAGAAGGTGCCATCAAATATTGCTCACAATTCAAACTCCTCTCTAAGGGGTGAGACTTTAAGGTCGCATACCCTGTTGCATAATCAGCAATTCATTTGAGCTATCATTAATCCTATTCATTCCGTCATTCATGTCTTGTCACTTTTTGTCGCAATATAAATACTTGTTGATAAGTGTATATTGTCCCAACCGTAATATGTGCAGAAATGCTACCAAATACATAAACTCGTGAGTTTAGTTCTAGATAGGATTATTACTTTGATTAGTGTGTGTATGAATGAAAAACTTTTTGCAGAACCGAGTTGTTAACACACCCTTAATTAGCAGCTGGTCAATTTAAAATCACCGAAAGCTAATGGTATATTGTCTTTAATTTGTTTGCCAGAAAACATACAAAGAATTCGTCAAGGAGAAGAAAGGAGCAGCCATTAGTGAATCTGTGTTATTCTCCATGAAAGAATCTGTTGGTGAAAATATCAAGCTACTCAGAAAACGGGTCGATCTATAATCTAATTTTTAAATCAAGAGACTGTTTTATAAATATATCTTATACGATTCAAAGGTGTCTCACAATACTTTTGACTTTCCTGTGACAATGCAGGAAGTTCTTAAATATTGTGAAAATTAAGAGACTGTTTTATAAATATATCTTGTACGATTCAAAGGTGTCTCACAATACTTTTGACTTTCCTGTGACAATGCAGGAAGTTCTTAAATATTGTGAGAAACCAATACACGCACCCCTCTTACAGACTGCCACCTTGCCGTGGTGGAGGGGCTTGTGCGTTTCAATGATCCTGAGAACTCAGCCGGCGGAGGCATGTGAGCCTCTGGCAGGTACAACCAAGCCGGAAAGATCAAAGGAGAGAAACCAGACTAAGAGGCAGTCAGCATTTGTAGTCATGCGAGAATTAGTTATTTTCGATGCGACACTAAGCTTTTTTCGTCTTTAATCGCTGTCTTTGTGCTTGTGAATAAAACGCAACGTGGCAAAAAATGCCGTTAAAGATCATTTCTTTTTTCAATGGTTTCTCTAGGCCTTCTTTTTTCAATGATTTCTTTTTTTGAATAGCTTCTCTGGGCCTTCTTTTTTCAATAGTTTCTCTGGACCTTCTTTTATTAGTGATTTCTCCAAAAAAGGAGAAATACAAAATGTGTAAATAGTGTTTTTGTAAAAAAGTGTTGAACAATGTTGAATATGTAAAAATGTAAAATACCCACCCAGATATGTAAAAATGTAAAAAGATAATAAAATAATATTACATTATGTGTTTGATATTTGAGTTCTGCCAATCGAGTACATCGATCATCATAATTTCATTATTCAGGAGTCTGAATTAGCATTTCCCTGAATTTCGCAGGAACCTGGGAACTTTCTGTAATACAATCCTAAACAAGTCGCAGGGAATTTTAATTTTCCTTTACTCCAGTTCCGCGTTCATTCGAGGGGTCCTTATTACAAAAATTTAATAATTTTGATTTATCCTAAATGGAAATTCCTGTGCTCTCGAAACGTCGGAAAGTGTCGGGGAGGTTCTGTTAGGTTATACGAGAAGATTTTGATCCTGACAGTGGGCGAAAGTGTATATTACGTAATTGTTAAGTGCCCGTAAGTTCAGAGCAATGCATCGTCATGCACTCTCTGTTTAGATGGTTCCGTGTTGACCGAATCATATCAACCATGGCTTTATCAGCAATCACCTCGCACCATAAAGAAGATCCGTTTAGTTTGATGAAATATCAACACCCTCCTTCTTTTAGGGCGTTTTTAATTGAAATGGTAAAATCTTTTAATATTAATGATCGTGCAGCAGTTAGTTCCTGGTGCCGCAGTTTAATTCTTGACTCTAAGTTAGATGGCAAAATGGCTACTGATGCTGGAATGTTTACTTTAATCACGAATCTACAGTATGCAGAAGAATTATCATTTATTAATCTGTCGATCATAAAATACTCCCTCACAAGTATAAATCATTTTGAATTATTGCAAGAATGTTTGAAATTACGAATCACAGTTGCTATCATCATCGAATGTTAATTTAAATCTAAATACGTCGGCGGTTTCCGCCAGGGAACTTGTGCGATGCTTGCTGATGATAACATTAACATTGCAGAATACTTACTGTCGACTAGAGAAAATAATCATGATAAGTTTAATGAAGAAATTGAAAATTTAAAGCAAGACAGTGACATTCATAATTTTATAAATCGCTTGAAACTGGATAAGGGTTCCCAACTATCATGGCCAGTGGTTACCTCACACCTAATGATTATTGGTGAGCTTAACGTTTCGGATACTACAAACACAAGTTGCGAGGATGGTTATTACGTGTATTAGTTTTCGAAGACCAAGACGTGCAACTTAATCTCAGATTGGATGTTTGAAAATGGCGGTTTGGTAAGTAAATTGAGACCACCAACAACATATGTATAAAGTAAGCAACTCGTTATATAAGTAGTATATCGTTAGCAGATCGACCTCACCATCAGGCAAGAGAGTAAACTTTGATTAATGGATTGCGAATTAGACGAACCCAAACTGCGATACTCATAACAATTAGACCCTACAAAAGAGTATTTACGTATGAAGAAAGGCAACAAACATCGGAAAATATGGCAACAATGTTACAATTATTATTCGTAATTCAATGTACACACGTTACAATTCAGTGCTATTTAGGATGACTGACAACAGATATATTGGTAACTGACGGTTTTTATTTTTTTTAATATTTGCAATGTATCATTTAGTCCAAAGCGGTTTGTAAAGATGATTTGAATATGTTATTATATGCCCGGTTGCAGAGTCAAAAATTCTGTAGCTGTGACACGCCAGTAATTACACGGGCTTCTCAAATTAAAACTTCTGTTCTGATTAATTCAATCTTCCCTTTTCAATCCTTAGTTTCAATATCTTCAAACAGTTAGAAAAGTCTAGTGGTGCGATTGACATAACTGTGTGACGGTGTAAAAAGCCTAGATTAGTAAGACGATCGTTGAGGCGCGAAGAGAAAGTGAAATGATAAATTTGTGTTAATGTTTGATGATTCTAGAAAGCCGTTCGGGAAGATTAAATCACAATTCTAATTCAATTTCTTTGGTGAGTCCTGATCGAAGGTCATCAGAGTGAAAAGTTTGATCTCTCTTCTTAAAGTCTAGAACGCAGAACTGTTTAAAGTTTCGCACCATTTTTATTACTCCCCTGGTTTGTCAGTTGGTAAGCAGAAGTTTGTTGTATCGATTTTACTTTGTTTACTTTGCGAATTAATGCTGAAATATTTTTTGTTTTGTTTCCAGGAAACTATTAATCAGAAGAATACAATCTTTAAATTTGTTTCAAATTGGACGAAATTAGTTGCTTTTAGATTTACTATGATATCAGTCATCATAATATCAATCATAATCTATTTTTATTACATAAATCATTATTGAATCAATCATTTTTAATCGTTATTACATTAAATCATTGTAATATTAACGAAGTTATATCTTTATGGCGCCAATCACTAAATATGAAGTTTAATAAGTCAAAAATAAAATCCTATCCAAGAGGAATAGCTCGGAATCTTGCCCCATGATCCTGTACTGGTTCACTGAGTAACTTTTAAGTCAGTATTTAAGTATCATATCGATTGTGATGCAAATGATTATTTCGGCATGTGATAAAGTAAAGTGTGTTAACCCTTCAACTCCCAGATAAAATTTTTGATATTCCTTACTGTCAACCATGCAATTCTTATAATGTTAGTTCAGAGAATTTAGTATTGGATCAACTAACTATCCCCAAATTGATCTTTTTCTCTATTCTCGTCACTTATCTGGTTGATATTGTATTGATATTGTAAGGAGAAATTTTGTCTTGGTCACTAACGGGAGTTAAAGAGTCAAGTTACAGTATGTTTCCATGAGTATTGTATGTCGGCCGGGTAGTTATTATACGTGTATATTAGGTATCAATATTATTTGTGTCAGTTAGGCTAGATTTACTTTAGCTTTGTAAGTTGTGTTAGCAATATTCTTATTGTAGTTGTAATTTGTGAGCACTGTATAAATAAATGCGAAAATAAAAAGCAAAAAAGAACTTTAAGTCAAAAGCAATCATGACACAAATAATTTATTTGATGTCAAGTGTCGAGTACCTTCTGGTTTTCACAGCTTTTCAACGGGTTACCCCTATTGCGTTGAAATGTCATTTCCGATGGGATTATACCCTATTACGCGAATTTTAGGGACATGTTACTTTCGCGAATTTGGCGTTTAAAGGACAATCATGAAATTGAGTCGAACAGTGAGCATTACGGACGATAGCGATTTTCAAGCTCCCCGTGCACACGCGGAGGGCATGGTTTCTAGTGAAAGGATGACGAAAAGAGGAGAACTGATGTTTTTAACTGACTGAAAGGGAACTTTCACCATCTATCTATTGATACTCAGACTTAAATATATTTTCGAGAAACTTGTTAATCACGTCTCGAAAAGCGTTCCTTTTCTCTGGAACATACGCTGTTTTTTCAAAAGGCGAAATCTCAGTTTTGAGAGACATACGCATCTCAAACCGCATGTTCATGTTACTTGTTTTTTTTACTTGTTTTTTTTTTTCTAAGTTTGTAACATATGTCCACCGTTTTCTGCTCTATCCCAGTAATGAAAGCTTATCACCCCTCCCGAAAGTATTGTGAGATTTCATGAAAGATTAAGAACTAGGAGAGAATTACCATTTTTCACACTTTATTGAATCACAAAATTTTCTAAGTCACCACGTCTGACATGCTATTGACCCTATAACTATAAATAAATTCTAAACATGAGCAAGTTGACAATTGGCTTGTACATACAAAACAATAAAACGTTAAAATGATCAAGATACAATATTTTTAACGTTTTCACCTTGTCTTTACGATATTGGTCGCTCATCGAAGTTCGTAGTTTCTAGTTTTCCTTTCTTTTCATACTAATGGAAATATACTAGTCTGTTTTGTTTCACAAATCGAAAAAATATTTTTTCTTATTTTCTCCATTATTTCAGATCATGAAAATCTCCAGAGCTGTTTTAGCGAAACCGAGTTTCGTTTTACACTCTCCTGTGTAAGGCCAATTGTCAACTTACAACATTAAAAATAACTACATTACCAAAGAGAGCATCTATCATACATTAAACCATTCATAAATCAAAAAACATAATCAAGTTTTTGTACTTGAGTACCAGTTTCCTACTTAACAATCTACGATAACTTTCTCATCCAAGGCTAGGCATATTCCATCACTCATATATCATATAACTGCTAAACGGCTATTATGACCAAGTCATTAGGAACTTTCATATCTACCAATGATAAAAAAGCAGAAGCTATTTCAATAAATCGCTACACTTCTCTTTAAAATCGTAATACTTCATCAGTATTCAATTAACGAGCCTTAAGGCACTTTGAAAGGCTTTTGCTTCTTGGTATTTTGAGGTCAGTTGACCTTTTCCGAATTGTACCACTGAAACACTGAAACATTGAATGAATCCTAGTACGAATTCATTGTAAAAGAGACGTCAGCCAAATTTTGAGCAGACGTCAGCTCAAATGTGAAAATATGAGCCGTTTTTCAACACAAATGAGCAGCCATATTCATCTTCCACAGTAACAAATCCTCATTAACCGTCACTGTGCACTTAGTTACCATGTGACACATAGCCAAATGGCCTATGGATCACACAGGTTTGAAATGTAATCAGTACGAGGCAAAACACAGCACTTGATTACAGACGTTACAACCCACCAAGGCAGCAACGTGTCCGAGAATTGAGCTTTGAGATTTGAGATTTGAGATTTGAGCTCATCTCAAGAACCACATCTCTTGACGAAAGGAACATTTCCTTCTTTTGTTCCGCAAAATTTACCTTTTCAGGTATGTGACACGACTGTTTTCCCCACTGGAAATTTAGTCGAACATCATGAACGTAATGATCTATCTCTGTAACATTACAGTAGACCATTGATTCAGTTTTAGAGGCATCTGCCTTAAATTGCAACCATGTTTTCTGGTTCGCATAAAAGATACATATCATCTTCAAAGTGATTCATTATATCACTTATGAATTCAAACGAGAGCTTTGAAAGTTGCTTGTTATTATTCAAGCTAACTGAACCTCTGAATAAGAAAATACTTTTCAATCACTATTGTGAGATATCTCCACTGACCTCTTTAGGTTATCTATTGAGTCTGAAACAGTTTACATTATAGTGTAACTTTTTAAAATAGGCTCTCAACCACTTAATAAACAATGAACGTTGAGCGAATCTCGTGACATGATTTCAGTAAATTTGCATTAAATTTATATTTCTCATAACTAGAAGTAGGCTCAGTGTGATCGATAAATTCTCAATTCTCCGAGATTTGAGCTCATCTTTACAATCCACCAAGTAGCTCTCAAAGCTACAACAATGGGAGTGTAATAGCAGCGACGTGTCCGAGATTTGAGCTCATCTTAAGAACCACATCTCTTGACGAAAGGAACATTTCCTTCTTTTGTTCCGAAAAATTTACCTTTTCAGGTATGTGAAACGACTGTTTTCCCCACTGGAAATTTAGTCAAACATCACGAACTTAATGATCAATTTCTGTAACATTACCATAGACCATTAATTCAGTTTTAAAGGCATCTGCCTTAAATTGCAACCATGTTTTCTGGTTGGCATAAACGATACATATTGTATACAAAATGATTCATAATATCAGTTATGAATTCAAATGAGAGCAATGAAAGTTGCTTGCTATTATTCAAGCTAACTGAACCTCTGAATAAGAAAATACTTTTCAACACTATCGTGAGATATCTCCACTGACCTCTTCAGGTTACCTATTGAGTCTGAAACAATTTACCTCATAATGTAACTTTCTATGAAATAGGCTCTCAGCCACTTAATAAGCGATAAATTCTCAAGTTACCCTGGATAAAAATTTTTAAAAATTAACCACGCTTTAAATTTTGAGAAAACAAGAAAATCTCTATAAACAGCATCTTCTCGCAATGAGTGTGCTTTGCTTAGATTCAAATATCAAATTTTAAATTCTAATTAAATTTTTCCATCTTTTGCCCCTGACTTACTTGATTACACTATAATCGAAATCTTACCCAGTTATACCACGTAATCAAATCAAAGAATCTACCTATCGGTTATGGGTTTCTACGCTTTTTAGTAACTAAAGAAAACCTCCTTCATCTTTCCTACCAGGTCGGTCAACACCGACTGCCATGACGAGTCAGGTGCTGGCTCAGCGACAGGCTCACAGAAATAACCATTATGTCGTTCTCCAACAAATCGGCAAAATTCTTTCTACAATAGGAAAGATAAAAGCTAATTAAGTTCCTCTTCCGTGCGATTCCACACAAATCATAAAGTATAGAATTATCTCCGAGTTCAGTTCTCGAATTCAATCTACTTTGTGTTATGAATTGGTAACGCGAACTGCCGAAATTATAGCCGCCTTGCTTCTCAAGATATTGTTGTATTATTGTTTTAGAAATGCTCCCAAGAATCAAACATTTCCGGTATCCTTATTTTGAGCTCGACTACCAGTTCCGGACAAGTTACTAAGAGAACAATAAACCGTACTATTTTAGAACAGATAATAATATTTTCCACCCTCGTGACTTCACTTATCAACTCGCCCCGTATTCTAGCGACTCCAAAGCTTCCGAGCGCACGTAAGAAAACAAACATCACGGCCAAAAATCACGTAGAAACCGAAAAGTTCGTTTGCGGTTTCTAACTAAAAATCCATGCAATGCGAATTCCGTCTTGCAAGGACGATTTAAAACGAACAACATTGAACATTAGGTAATTAGAGTCGGCCATGAATGTTTATGTTTCATTTAGAAGCGTTGAATGGAATGACCGGCTGATTAATTAAAAAAAATTAAAGAATAACGAGTTTTGTAGGTTTCTTAGGTGGCTTTGCGAGATAATAGGCGTTAATTCCATCCAACAGCTCTAGTTTTAAAAATGTCTCCTTTTTTCAAAGTTCAGTTCAGTTTCACTCATGATGATCCTGTTCCGCTTTCGATTTCACTATGACGCTGACATATTCATTAGAATAATTCACTATCAGAGACAAAAACAGCAAATAACACTGAACATGAAATTCCACTCACCCAATTGCCATAGTTGGCTACCTTCTTCTCTAAGTGGTCAGCCAGCTCGATGGCGACGTCCAATGCATACTTCTCTTGTTTTTGGTTCTCATCAAACACCAGCAAGACAATTTCGGCTGCAATGGCGACGAGCAACGCGAAGGTGTTCGGCTCGGTTTCTTTGGCTTTAGGCAATGCTTTCCGGCGGATGACGTCCAAAACGTTAGAAGCTCTCTGTTGGGATTTAAGGATAGCCTTGATCGCTCCTTGGGCCGGTAAATAAACTCCATCTTGGACATGGTTCACCATTTCCGCTAAATGGAGTCCCACACTGGCGGTCGACGAAGTCATGGGTGGTTGAGAATCCTGCCTTTTCAAAACGTGGATCATCAGTTCTCTTGTCAACTCAAATGCAGTCAGCTTAGTTACAAGATCTTGCCTGTTTATTGCGCCAAGGAACTCGGTCAGGAAGTCAAGTTTCTCCCAGGAAATTACGTTTGCTTTTTCCAAGCGATCAAAAATTTGAACGCCAACGGAGAAATTACTCGACAAGCCCTTCTGAATGTGGTCTTTACAGTAAAACAAGAGTTCTTCCCTTTCCTCTTCAGTCAGATCTTGAGAAATCTTGACAAGTACAATTCGGTACCAACGCTTTAGCTCCTCTAACATAGGTAATAATAACATAGACTTACAAAAATTGTGAAAATTTTGTCCTAAAATTCTCCCTATATGAAAGATGAATATGGCGGCTAAAAGAAAATACGAGCACCCTATTTATATCAGAAACAGACGTAACATTGCCATATTAGGCGGAGGTATCCTCTACCCCGTAAGGCTCGTTCTCAGTTCCCTTCACTTAGTTCAAATAACTTTACAAATTTAAAATGCAATTGGTGTGCCCGATGCTGCGGCAAGGTGAATCTGTTGCGCGTTGAAAGCGAAACGAAATACGAAATTGAAAACCTTTATGTGCGATCTCGAATTGAATCTCTATGCAATCAAAAGATTTCTAAACCCCATATGTTATTATGGTTGACACATGTACGTCTTTATATATATTCAACGGAAATTTGATCAAAGAAATTTATCAGATGGGGAATCTTTCCAGTCGCTTACTCACAAGTCTTAACTTCAGCGAAAGGGCGTTCGAAGCTTAGCTTTTAGGTTTGGCTAATTGAGCCACTGGGCTGGGCCAGAGATATTGCTCTTATGGTTACTCGAAAAGACTTTGTCGAAGATTGGTTCCTATTAGCAGATGAAGATGCGGAACGTGGAGCAAAATTCGGAACATGAATGAACTTCCTTCAAAAATATTAAAACCAATATACCTCAGAATCTTAGTTTTCTGTAAAATAAAAAGAGATATTTTTTCTCTAAACCATTGCCACGCAAAAGCACAGTTTGTGGCATCGCTGTGCACAAGTGCGGGCACAATCCCAGTATCCCTTGCGGCCCCTTTCTCTGTGTTATTTGATGCGCGATTTAATCCAAAAAAAAATTCCTTAACACAGTGGGGAGAGGGAGTCTGCTCGCAGCCTACACTATGCAAGATATTGGAGATAAATTGCTGATTAAGCCTCGCGAAGAGGTCATTTTTTTCTCTATCGTAACCTATTTTGGCCAACGAGATTGGTGTAGGATTTGATGGCGAAAGCAAAGCTAAACTACATAGATTTTTGAGACTGCACGTTTTTACTCGTGGGGTTAGATGCTATTAAGTTGCATTTTTGGTGATAGACTTTATCTTGAAAATTAAAGCAAGCAAAGAATATTTTTCCTTTCCCAACTGAACTTGCCAACCATAACTGATCCTTAGTTTGATGTCCAACCCTAGACGGAATGGTGAAAACGTGAGGGGGTTGGAGCTGGAGGGGGGGGGGGGGGTAGTGAACTAAATTTTTGACTGAAATGTGGAATCTACATCTGAGGGAAAATTCTTAATCGTTACAAAAACAAGGTTACTTAATATACCTCGGATGACTTAGGAATCACAAAAAGTGTAGCGGGGAGGGGAGGGGGGAGGTAGATAATTCTGAAAGAATGAAAAATAGCATGTTTTCATTAAGGAGAGAAAAACGTCAGTGATCTTATGATTCTAACCAAGGCTTAAGTCATGATCATATCTTGCTAAAATCCTACGATTCTATTCTTTTTCCGTCCTCTTTCATTTTTTTTTTCTAATGACATTTTAACATTCTAAGCAAGAGTGATAAGTGAGCTTATTTACCCACGGGGCATTAAGGAGCTTACAGAAATACTCGCTAGAAAGAGCGCTTGCGCTTTAGTCAACGTATAGCTGCCCCTGGTCGCTGCACTTGTTTGGTCTTCTACTGCTGCTTAGAAACTCAAACCTTGATATGATGTATTTAAATAATACTTTTTTATTGCTATTTACACTGTTTTCTGTTTTGGTTTTTTTTTACATATTTACATAGTCGAGCGGGTATTTCAAATTTTTAGACTCTACGTTTTTCATTCCTTTTTTCCATGAAGTAAAAGATGCTTTTTATCTAGCTGCAACACATTTACAGATATCAACTGTGCTAAAAATTAAAAAAAAAAAAGAGCAAATGCACCAAAGCCGGACACGAAAACCCCTAAAACCATGCAGCAGATGGAACAAAACGGGGAACGTGTACCCCCGACCAAAGCAATGGTGCCACCCTTGGGGATTTAGGGTTTCCTACATAATAAATCATTTACACAGATAAACGAATGCCAATATTTGCAAAAAGTAATCCCTACAAGAACATTTAACCAAAGCTTATCAACCGAAACCAAACGTCTCAAAGTCACGGAGGCAGATATCGGTCTAAATACATACCAGCCATAACCTAAAGAAAGCGGTGAAGAATTCCTTTATAATTTTAGTAACGCCGTTGGATAATACTGAATCTGGAAATTGAGATTACTACTGACTGTGCCTCCCTTAACTAATAAGTCCCATTCTTTTCGATGAAAATGACAATAAATCGATCGTCAAGGGGAATACTGCGAAAATCCAAGAGAACTGTAATGGCTAATGAAAAACAAACATTTTCATATGACACAGTTTTGAGAAATAGTCCATATCAGTTCTTTCCATGAAATTTTGAGGTACTATGCCTGGAGCAGTTCCTTTCGGTGCTTGAAGGGCGAGGACGCAAAACAGGACCCTCTCTGTTTGACTGTAACAACTGTGGGGTGGCCTGTTGCTGAACCTACGCTTTCGACGAGGAACGTTCAAAGGGTCATACAGACGAAAGTAGTAAGTTCCAGGTTCTCCGTCAACGACGCAGCCTTGCGTGATCACAATGAAGACTTCGACCAGAAATCTCTGCAAAACATTTCTCAGAAAACAAAACAAGAAAAACATACAAAACATAACACCAGACAGAAGTAATGGTAATGATGATGACGACGCTGGCGATGATGATAACGACAAGAGCATTGGTGTAAGCTATTGAGTACTACGATTTTTTACCCCAAGATGCCTAGTGTAAGTTACCTCAGGAGCTGAAATCTTTAACCTCTAAGGGTGATTAACACCTAATTTCTCCTTACAATATCATCCCCGAATCACGCATCTAGATCACGAGAATAAAGGAGATGATCACTAACTAAACAAGCTTTTGGTTGTTAAACAAATTCTCCTTGTCAGCACCTTAGGAAATGTATAGAGCATAGTATGGAGAGTTTGCATACTGATGTTAGGGTGTAAAGGGTTAAGAGATAACCGGGCCTAAAGGTGTCGTCTGATGCAGTAATGAATGATAACATGATAATGATGAGAGTGATTGAGTAATGAGTGAGCAATGATGAGAGCCTTAAACCTTACCTTGAGAAAATAATAAAAACAATACTCAGTGAGCGCTATGCAATATAGCCACAACATATAAGAGCGCCAGGATCAATCTTTGCCTCTCACGAACACGTTTGGGAGATCGGAAGATTTAATCCAGTTAAGGCCGACATTAGTCCATCCTGAACCGCGTAGAATGTCTCACTCAAGAACATTGTGCAAATTATAGATTCTAATCCTATAATTCCCGCTCGCATTCCTACAGTTGTCACCGAGAATTCTGGAACGTGCCGGCGAAATGTGACATATTATAATTTGAGATGTTCGCAAATCGTGTTTTATGGGTTAATAACCTTTTATTTGCAGGAATTTCAGTCGGAAGGGGCAACTTTCTACTAAACTATCATCGCGACACATAGTATCGAAAAACATTTAGCTATATTTGCAGAATGCCAAAATACTACAAAAAAAATTACCTGATTACCTTTGAGACGGGTATCTAGAAGATACAAGCTTCAAACATAAGTTTACTCTACATGGGACTTCAAAAAGCATTAGATTCTTAAAAAAAGCGAAAAAATCACTTTAACTACTTTCTCCCACTAATTGTGTGAAGGACCTATAAAACCCTTGAGTGTACACTCTCACTAGACTATAACAATTTAAATATCATTTGAGAGTGAAGCATCTATTACGACGAATTTATTCCTTCCTTTGATATAGCATGCTTGATCGAAACTCGGCAACCTAAATTTATATCTACTACTACCCACTACTTAAGATGTCGACCTAACTTTGTTACTTTATCAGTTTTGGGTCTTTCTCTATCGGTTTTTTGGGTCATTTTGATCTTTTCGTCTGACTGGTAGTGAGCATGGAAATAAGACTTACCTTGTAAATAAGACTTATGCTGTGCTCAAATGTGGTAACATGAGCCGTTGTTACAACGTAAATGAGCCGCCATATTCATCTTCCTCAGGAGCAAATCAGTGTGAGCTTAAAGAGGGGTGCATCAGGATTTTACGCTTTTGCGGTTTTTAATAGACCCCAATGCCCCCTCCTTAAATTTAGCCCAGCAGGATTTGAATGCTCTAAAGCATATCAATAATATGAGAGCGTAGCCAGTGCTACGGTTGTATGGTTTTTGCAACTTCCATTGCATAGAAGTCATTTCTTGCCAACTGGTTCACAAAAAGGAACCGCAAGTCTGGATAGGTGGAAGTTGGTGTCCAACATGAAGACATCACTTCCTTGCATGTGGCATGTTGACCTGGTTCTCGACTCAGCGAACCTGGTAATAAAACCATAAAAATGGTCAGTATGCAAATTTGTGCTGCTCACATGGATACCAGACTCAGACCGATAAGAAAATTCTCGAACCTTGAAAAAAATTATTTACAAGTTAACGACATTTAAATATTTGAGAAAACGAGAAAAATGAATTAGCTGCTTCTCTCTTTCAGTTCACTATTTCTACTCTTTTCTTGAGTACTCAAATATTTTGTCCTATAAATATTTCCTAAATTAAACTAATGACTACGTTAAATTGGATTCTACTTATCGTCGTTTTTCAGTAAAGAAGGTATCCTTTGTCTTTCAAATCAGTCGATTAACTTCAACTTCCACGAAATGGCAGCCGCTGGTTCAGGAACTGAACTATGTCCAATTTGTCCCACACAGATGAAGTGACAAAATTCCTCCTACAAATGAAAGCAACATATAATACTCAGCAGTCTTACAGAATTCGGTTCTAAGCTGAGTTCTTGGGATCATTGAAACGCACAAGCCCCTCCACCACGGCGAGGTGGCAGTCCATGAAAGGGACCGGTTACTTGAGGATCTCATCAAAATTACAAAATGATATTCAGGATGATAAAGGAGAAATTAAAAGCATTTCACCTTAATTTCTCTGTGGTACACCCGCGCGAGTTACAAGCTGCTCAATTTTTTCTTTCAAAGATTCTTCGAGGGAAGGTGGCACTGCTTCATTGGTTTTTGCTGCTTCTTTCTCGCTAATAAATTCTTTATATTTTTTCTGGAAAACAAAGAAAAGACACTCGAGCATTAATTGATGTGGATTTTGGATGACGTTTAACAAAGGAAACAAACTAAAATTCTCTAACTCACAAGTATAAGTAAGCGACCTCAAAGTTTAGTTTAGAAAGGGGTTTGACTTCGATTGCAGGCTACCAAGAATAAATCGTTAACATTTTATGCAGCGATTAATATTTTTTCATGCATGCAGATGACCTCTGTGGTTGTGATTACATCCATCGAATTTGCTCGAAGGGTCTTCTAGAATCATCGAATGGTGCTAAATTTACAATGACTCACTGCAGGCATTTGGTTTTCTCTTCACGCAGAACGAAATGTTTTCTAAAGAAACGTTTGCGACACGCGTTAATAAAGTTAGATAGCAATTTTTGGGTGTTTCTAACTCGAAGACAGTCGAACAGAACTTGTACCTTGGAGGGCCCAAGTATTTATTGGCATACCTCAAGCATGACGGAATTAATAAACTTTTTGCCTTTACAAAAGCACTATGTACTCAAATGCTCGTCCTTGTAAAAGGACAAATATTGTACAGGAAACTATATGATGATTAAAACTGGTTCATCACTTCTTCTTCTGTTGTTTTTCATGCTCATTACTAACGTTTGCTAAATTGAAAATCGTGCATATTGAATTCGAAGGATAATCACAACATTGACGCAATGTTTTCTTTGGGTCAATGTTGCCATCTGTTGCGGAAAAAAAAGCTAGTCAAATCTTTGATCCACAGCTACCGAACTCAAGCTTTGTCGTTTTGCTTTCTACATATGAAAATGTAAACGTTTTTCACTAATCAGGTAATTTAACGTCGTGACACAAATTTATCTTTCACGGAGCTTTTTATATATTGAGCGGATGTAGGTCTTGTTTACTTACCAAACCACCGTTTTCAAACATCCAATCTGATAGCAACTTGCTTGTCTTGGTCATGGAAAACTGGTAAACATATGAACCACGCTCGAAAACCCTTGATTGTGGAGTAAGCGAAGCATAAAGCTCACCAATAATCACCAAAGATGAGGTAATCATTGGCCACGATAATTTTGAGTCAAGAAGAGCAATATTTGTAAATCTTTTTAGGAAGTTTTGATCGGAACAAAGTGACTTCAACTGCCCAAGGATTTGTGTTATCAGGTGATGATTTTCTTCTTTGGTGGTGAGTAGAAGCTTCACAATATTTGTGTGATTTTCAGGAGGTTCCATAATAGTGCCGCGGCTGAAGTCATCAACGGATTTGAACTTTAGGTAATCTTCCAAAATGATACCAATTGAGATTCGCAATTTTACCTTTTTAAGTTCCTGCAACAGATCCATACGACCCATACTTGAGAGGCTATCTTTAAGCATTTTCATGTTGGTGAAAGATAATTCATTAGAATTCAGAAGGGAATTGATTAATGCGACGAACTCAGCATCAATTGTCATGTCGCCATCCAACATCGAATCCGGGAGAAGACCCTTACACGACAACTGGAATGCTGCACGATTTCCACTGTCGAAGGATTTGACGAGGCGGATGAGAAAATCTTTGAACACAGTTGGATACTTATATTTGTTGCTGGACGATGGTGAAAATTTTTCCCTTGCAATTGAGGCTGCTGCGAACGCCATCACTAATTAAGTGTGATCAACTAGCAAGAAGAACCAGAACAGTGCGCATGATAATATAGTGTCCTAAACATCCGGGCACTCTATTAGTATGTAATTTCTATTTTAGTCAGCTTATCAATGTAAAGCCACTTCACACTTCATAAAGAGGCCCTTTGAGCAGTCACTCGACAGCGAAAACTTAAGAAAACGCTTCTCTCCGACTTGCTTTCATGATTTCTAGCATCAAATTTTGATTCCATCCCGGCACTAGACTTTGGGCGCTTCAAACGAAAGGTAAAGTCGATTTAGACTGGATTCAGGGAACTTACCTCCAGGAGAACTCACCATACATGCATTATCTCTGTTATTGCAGGCCGAACCCTTCCTTGGAGAGTGAATGGAGTATATTTCGCTCTAGCAGATCAGTAGCATCAAACCAATGTTTCAATGACTTTGTAACATTGTACTTTGAAACCTCGTGTTCAATAATCTTTTTTCTTTTTTGTTGAGTATTTTCTTGCTTATCGCCTCTTAGCTGAGCTTTGGAATACAAACTTATCTTTTTTTTTTTTGTTGTTAAGAGATCATTCTCTTAAAATTTTACAGTGTCGCAAACTAGGGTTGCCTTTCGCAATAATCTTTTTTTGCATCTTTCTTATGTACTGCACCTGAGTACAGTCAACCTTTTTTTACTTGAATTTTGTGACTTATTTTCATATTTTTTTCCTTTTTGGCAAATTTTTCAAATTTTTTCTCGTACCTTATTTCGTTCACCATTCTTTTTTTCCTGGAATTTTTCCAAAAAGAAATTACACCTTTGACCTTCAAGACTCTCGTTGTCAGTTGGTTTTCATCCTGCAATTTCATACTCGAGCTACGATTACTAGATGCATTGTTTTCTATACGGAAGTTAACAAATGAGATCTGAAACAGAATCTTAGAACATTTTCTTGTGTAATGATCCATGAAGCTATTTAAAAAAAAAAAAACCTTTCTCTCTCTACACAGTCAAGAGTTGAGTACATCCATTAGGAAAAGATGCTGTTCTCCAACTCACGAATGGCGTCGGCTATTTGCTTTCTAAAGCCTGTGAAAGAAGAGCTGCTGTTGACATCCTGTCCGCAATTTCGCTGGGCTCTTTTCTTTACATCACTGCAAAAATCCTCCTAGAAATGTTTTGCAAAGAAAAATCAATAACACGATAATTTTATGTGAGACGAAATACTCCTCATGCACAGGTCAACGTCACCTACAGTAATTGCAAGACCAAAATGCCTTACCAAAGAATACATAGATATATATGGATGTTCAAATTATCATTTGGTACCAGATTCCTCAACAGTAATCAGAGAATTGACGTGCTTGAGCTGAACTTATTCCGCAGGTAAACAAGGCTGTCCAGAAGTTTGTAAACAAGGAACTGAAGAGCGTTCCATACAGCACACAAGTAGGGATTGAGTGCAGCGAACAAGCAAGTGGAAAGGACAGAGGTTGACAAGCACTGGACTCCCATTCAAGCGAGGAAGATTATAAGAAGGCAAGTTACCTGACGAACTCGCGATAAAATAAACTGAGGGGTAAGGACTTAGGCAATGAGGGAAGAGACTAGGAAGAGAAGAGGCAAGAAAAGCAGGCATGAAGGCAGAAGTTGTGAATTAAATATGGAAACATTATGATCGTCCTATAATATATAAAAATGGAATAGCACTAAATGCAAATTTCATTGAACTCATAAGGGAATTTATTGTTTTTTTAGAGGGCGCGGTAACGAACCTTGCAATCTGATTGGTTCTTTACCCGGTCAGTATTTTCCTATCTCTGCCCACGGGCCACGGTAACGCTTTCGTGAGTCGCCGGGTACATCCTAACTTTCGTTGTCATTTTTCATAAATATACCTCGTTTTCCGGCTGGGCAGTATTTTTAAGCAAACACGTCGGTCACTACCTCAAGCCGATAAATAACTTATGAATCCTCGCTTTTCTCTCTATCAAATCACTTTGGTTGACAGAAAAATATTGGTTTCAGAATGAATTTGTATAAACAATAGTGTCATTACGTTGGTTGACAAGCGGCCTAAAAACCGTCTGCAATTAATTTTAATCGTTCACAAAAAGTACCCAGAAAGTTGAAACGTGAGGTATTTGGTTACAGTTAAACTGAACGATGGAACTTTCATTCATTTAATATCTGAATTTTCTCGAGCAATTTCTTCGTAGTGAAAGAGCGAGCGAAGTTTTAATTTAAGTTCTACAACAAATATACGCTCCCGGTGAGTCTTTCCAATTCCGTTCAATTTGGACATTTGTACCGTAAATTGCACAACAGAAATTGAAGGAATTTTTTGAGAAAAGCCGCATTAAATTCCCTTGTGTCTCGTTGGAGTGTGCCGTTCGAATTTAGTTTTTGTGAAGGAAAGACCAGAGTTAAACACGCCATTACAGCAAACAAACGAGCAAACTCTCACAACTTCAAAATAAAAAAATTGAATTTACTCACAATTACTTTCCTCGCCGTTTACTTAAAATGCAGTCTTAATTGAATACGTTTTCTTTATTTCTATTTCAATTCATTCACGCTACAGTAGTGGTATATGCATTTTACATTTCTTTTAGAAGCTTCACATTTTTCTTTTTCCGTCCTCTTTCATTTTTTTTTTCTAATGACATTTTAACATTCTAAGCAAGAGTGATAAGTGTGCTTATTTACCCACGGGGCATTAAGGAGCTTACAGAAATACTCGCTAGAAAATGCGCTTGCGCTTTAGTCAACGTATAGCTGCCCCTGGTCGTTGCACTTGTTTGGTCTTCTATTGCTGCTTAGAAACTCAAACCTTGATATGATGTATTTAAATAATACTTTTTTTTATTGCTATTTACACTGTTTTCTGTTTTGGTTTTTTTTACATATTTACATAGTCGAGCGGGTATTTCAAATTTTTAGACTCTACGTTTTTCATTCCTTTTTTCCATGAGGTAAAAGATGCTTTTTATCTAGCTGCAACACATTTACAGATATCAACTGTGCTAAAATTTTTAAAAAAAGAGCAAATGCACCAAAGCCGGACACGAAAACCCCTAAAACCATGCAGCAGATGGAACAAAACGGGGAACGTGTACCCCCGACCAAAGCAGTGGTGCCACCCTTGGGGAGTTAGGGTTTCCTACATAATCAAATCATTTACACAGATAAACGAATGCCAATATATGCAAAAAGTAATCCCTACAAGAACATTAAACCAAAGCTTATCAACCGAAACTAAACGTCTCAAAGTCACGGAGGCAGATATCGGTCTAAATACATACCAGCCATAACCTAAAGAAAGCGGTGAAGAATTCCTTTATAATTTTAGTAACGCCGTTGGATAATACTGAATCTGGAGATTGAGATTACTACTGACTGTGCCTCCATTAACTTATGAGTCCCATTCTTTTCGATGAAAATGACAATAAATCGATCGCCAAGGGGAAAACTGCGAAAATCCAAGAAAATTGTAATGGCTAATGAAAAACAAATATTTCAATTTTGAGAAATCGTTCATATCAGTTCTTTCCATTAAATGTTTGAGATACTGTGCCTTGAGCGGTTCCTTTCGGTGCTTGGAGGGCGAGAACGCAAAACAGGACCCTCTCTGTTTGACTGTAACAACTGTGGGGTGGCCTGTTGCTGAACCAACGCTTTCGAGATCATGCAACAACTTGGTTGCACAGAAAGAGGAATTGATGCAGAAATCCAGAAAATACTGCAGAAACAGTGCACAGCAGATGGGCTTTACTAGAAGTATGCTGATACCCAGGACACCATGATGGTTACCATAGGCGTAACGAGGAACGTTCAAAGGGTCATACAGACGAAAGTAGTAAGTTCCAGGTTCTCCGTCAACGACGCAGTCTTGCGTGATCACGATGAAGACTTCGACCAGAAATCTGTGCAAAACATTTCTCAGAAAACAAAACAAGAAAAACATACAAAACATAACACCAGATAAAAGTAATGATAATGATGATGACGACGCTGGCGATGATGATAATGATAATAACAAGAGCATTGGTGTAGGCTATTGAGTACTACGATTTTTTACCCTAAGATGCCTAGTGTAAGTTACCTCAGGAGCTGATATCTTTAACCTCTAAGGGTGATTAACACCTAATTTCTCCTTACAATATCATCCCTGAATCACGCATTTAGATCACGAGAATAAAGGAGATGATCACTAACTAAACAAGCTTTTGGTTGTTAAACAAATTCTCCTTGTCAGCACCTTAGGAAATGTCTAGAGCATGGTATGGAGAATTTGCATACTGATGTTAGGGTGTTAAGGGTTAAGAGATAACCGGGCCTAAAGGTGTCGTCTGATGCAGTAATGAAGGATAACATGATAATGATGAGAGTGATTGAGTAATGAGAGAGCAATGATGAGAGCCTTAAACCTTACCTTGAGAAAATAATAAAAACAATACTTAGTGAGCGCCATGCAATATAGCCACAACATATAAGAGCGCCAGGATCAATCTTTGCCTCTCACGAACACGTTTGGGAGATCGGGAGATTCAATCCAGTCAAGGCCGACATTTGTCCATCCTGAACCGCGTAGAATGTCTCACTCGAGAACACTGTGCAAATTACAGATTCTAATCCTATAATTCCCGCTCGCATTCCTACAATTGTCACTGAGAATTCTGGAACGTGCCGACGAAATGTGGCATATAATAATTTGAGATGTTCGCAAATCATATCTCTGGGGTTAATAACCTTTTATTTGCAGGAATTTCAGTCGGAAGGAGCAACTTTTTACCAAACTATCATCGCGACACATAGTATCGAAAAACATTTAGCTATATTTGCAGAATGCCAAAATACTACAAAAAAAATTACCTGATTACCTTTGAGACGGGTATCTAGAAGACACAAGCTTCAAACATAAGTTTACTCTACATGGAACTTCAAAAAGCATTAGATTCTTAAAAAAAGCGAAAAAATCACCTTAACTACTACTTTCTCCCACTAATTGTGTGAAGGACCTATAAAACCCTTGAGTGTACACTCTCACTAGACTATAACAATTTAAATATCATTTGAGAGTGAAGCATCTATTACGACGAATTTATTCCTTCCTTTGATATAGCATGCTTGATCGAAACTCGGCAACCTAAATTTATATTTACTACTACCCACTACTTAAGATGTCGACCTAACTTTGTTACTTTATCAGTTTTGGGTCTTTCTCTATCGGTTTTTTGGGTCATTTTGATCTTTTCGTCTGACCGGTAGTGAGCATGGAAATAAGACTTACCTTGTAAATAAGACTTATGTTGTGCTCAAATGTGGTAACATGAGCCGTTGTTACAACGTAAATGAGCCGCCATATTCATCTTCCTCAGGAGCAAATCAGTGTGAGCTTAAAGAGGGGTGCATCAGGATTTTACGCTTTTGCTGTTTTTAATAGACCCCAATGCCCCCTCCTTAAATTTAGCTCAACAGGATTTGAATGCTTTAAAGCATATCAGTTATTTGAGAGTGTAGCAATAGCTACGGTTGTGTGGTTTTCGCAACTTCCGTTGCATATAAGTTATTTCTTGCCAACTGGTTCACAAAAAGGAACCGCAAGTCTGGATAAGTGGAAGTTGGTGTCCAACATGAAGACATCACTTCCTTGCTTGTTGTTGACTTGGTTCTCGACTCAGCGAACCTAGTAATAAAACCATAAAAATGGTCAGTGTGAAAATTTGTACTGCTCACATAAATACCAGACTCAGACCAAGACCTAGACCCAGACCGATAAGAAAATTGTAGACCCTTGAAAAAAATTATCTTCAAGTTAACGACGTTGAAATATTCGATACAAAGAGAAAAATGAACTAGCTATCTGTTTCAGTTCACTCTTTCTACTCCTTTCTTAAGTGCTCAGATATTTTATCCCACCAATGTTTGCTAAATTAATCTATGACTACGTTAAATTGGATGCTACTTATCCTTGTTTTTCATTAAAGAAGTTTTCCTTCATCTTCTCAATCAAGTCGATTAACATCATCTTCCACGGAGAGTCAGTCGCTGGTTCAGGAACTGAACTGTATCCAGTGTGTCGCTTACGGACAAATTTGCAAAATTCCTCCTACATATGAAAGCAACATATGATACTCTGTAGTCTTGCAGAATTCGTTATAAAGGCCATTGTCCGAATGTAATTCGCAACACTCGAGTTCATCTTACTTATTTAATTAGTTTTATAAACTCATAAAACGAATAGTTGAGTTGTTTACCTCTTGGCCACTAATTATTGTTATATCACAACTCCTCTTGAATTGTTCACAGATATTAGACTTATTTGCTATGTCCTTTGACATCCCTCAAATAATTAAAATTATGCAGATATCTCTAACAGTAGACAATAACATTTCTCTTTCCCATTACTTCAAGTACCGAGCGAACAAGCCAGGCACACTTCTTTAGGGGGTCACCCTGTATTTAAGTCTATTTCTTGGCTTTAGACCGCATCAAATTCAGTGCAAGCAAGAAATCACAGCTCCCGTTGATAAAAAGCTGGGAATCGCTAAGTTCCTGAGGGGTTCGATAGAGGTTCGAAGTTATCAATTAGCATAATATTTCAGATATGCCCGTGAAAATTGAACGGCCTCGCGTGTTTACGATTCTGTTGGAGCTAATCGATGTTTCTTAGAGAATGCTGCGAAGATAGAAACGTTGACTTCATCCGGTCAAACCATTTTATAGAAATCTTTTTTGAATGGTAATCTTTAAGTTTCATAGAATGGTGTCAACAGTTGATCTATTTCCGCTTTCGATTCTACATAGTTGTTTGTATGTTACTTAAAATAGTTCGATTACAGAGACTCAAAAGCAAGGAATAGCTAAGGATTTAACATTAAATTCCACTCACCCATTTTCCAACTTTGGCCATCATAGACCAAAGATGACTGGCCAGGTCGATGGCGACCTGTAATGCATCGTTGTCTGATTCTTGGTTCTCTCTGAGCACCAACCAGACAATTCCCGCTGCAATGACGAAGCACAAAGCCAGGTCGTTCCAGTTTTGGGTTTCATCTGAGCCAGGCACAGCTTCTCGGATGATTTCGTCCAAAATGTTGGAGACATTTTTCCCGGACCCAAGGGGGGAATTGATCATTCCTTGGGCTCGTACATCAACTCGATCTTGGACTACATCCGCCATTTCTGCTAAACGAAGACCCACACTTGTGGTCGACGAATTAATGTTTGCTCCTAATCCTTGCCTGTTCAAAGCAAAAATCATCAGCTCCCTTGTTATTTCAAATATGTTAAGCTTTGTGGCCAGATCTTTCCTTCCTATCTTGTCTGCGAATTTCGTCAGAAAGCCTACTTTCTCGTACGAAATTTTTTCCTTTTCCTCCAAGCGCCGAAAAATTTCCTCCGGCGTCGAGAAGCTACTCGAAGAACTCTCCGAAATGTAATCTGTGCAATAATATAAAAGTTTTTTACATTCCTCTTTGGTCAGATGATCAGAAATCTCAAGAAGTTCAGCTTTATACAACTGCTTCAAGTCTTCAACCATGGGTGATCTTCTCGAAGACATTGAAAATATGACGCTTTTGTTTAAAAGGTCTTGCTCTGAGGAAGTTAAATATGGCGGCTGAAGAGAACAAGATGGAACGTCCTATTTAAACTAGAAACTGACGTAGAAATACCATATTAGGCATTATTCCGCATTCTCTCTGGTGGTGCCACTACAAAGCTAGTTATCAGTTCCCCTAGGTAATTTCGAGACGGTTTAGATTGGTCTCGTTATTTTAAGCAACAAATCATTAATGGATGGATGTCACTAATACAACTTTTCTCTTCCCTTCCCGGCTAATAGTACGGAAAGAGACGCCCAATTATTGCATAGCAAGCTGAGATTGTTCTCTGACAAAACACGTTTCCATGGACATTCTATATCTTCATAAACACCCTTCAGTTGAGCATGATGTGCTCGTAATAATAGAAAATATGGAGACCCCATATCATTCTCGAATTTCAATCAGCTCATCAACTTGAGTCTTTTTGCAATCTGCTTGAAAAAGATCATGTTCTTTTGGTTCAAAGCTACCCTGATTTTTTTCGATAAATCATGGGGTGAGAGGAAGGGTGAGGGAGGAAAACTTTTTCTGAAAGATTAAGATGTTTTTATTTTTTCTTTCTTGAGAAAGATGTTTTTCGTCATGTCACAAGCGTGGGACAAAGAAGGAAATTCCGAGTCCCCACGAGGAATCGCACTTCAAAGGTACGTATTCCGCGCTCCGATTCTAGCTAAATCGCTAATCCTAGTTAGCAGTATGCAGGACGTGAGTCATATATGAGCTTCGTAATGGGCATAGCTTACCACAGAGTCTCTGTGGCTTAGTGTTAGAGCAACGTAGCGCAGAATCCGAAGGTCTGAGGTTCGATTCCTCATTGGGACCTCACGCTCGTGACAAGAAGAAAAAACACCCTTATCTATTTCTTTACCGACCCCAAAACTTAACATCTTTCTTGTTCTGTTTACTACAATAAGGTGGACTATTTTGAATTAAAGAAGGATAGCTATCAGCGGAAAAAAAATCAACAACCATAATTGAAAATCAACATCGTAGTTTTTTTAAGCATGGTTGAGATTTTTTTCTTCCCTCCTTCTTCTTTCTTCACATTTCTATTTCATTTTCTTTTCGCCATGGTGGCTTCCACAACCATTCATTAAACTTTCTAAGTAGGAGCTCAAATCGAGAACATGGGAGTTCATTGAAACATTTCCCAAAAATTCCTCGACACTATTTTATAAAGCAAGTTAGAGAAATTTATCGCCTCCATGGAGTTACTGCACTCAGGTATTTCGCTGCTGCTTGGAACCCTCATGCGTCAACACACGATTGAAGTGATCTTTCTTGATTATTATGATTGATAATTTGGTTTACTGTTGTGGCTGCAAAGAGGATCTTAAAAGAACAAGGGTTACTGTCTGTACTTCGACTCTCATTTCATCAAATTACCTTAACTTACCCGCACTTTAGGGCTTTAAAACGACCGGTGTCTATCATGTCTCCATTAGTGCTAACCTCTCAAAAATTTCTTCAGTTTGCGATCTTCTAAAATACCTAAAGTAGAGCCTTTTCTGATAAAATGGAAGGCCACAAATTAAAAACCAAAAAGGTTACTTTTACGGATAGATTTAGCTTCATTTGGGCTTGCAGATTTGGGCTTGCAGAAAAATGGAAACTTTCCACCGCACCTCTCGTCGAGAAATTCTCCCATGTTTACTACATATGCTACTGCTTAGTAACCAAGCTTTTACCGCTGTTTAAAAAAAACATGCTGTCTTAGTAAAGCGCCAATTTTGCGCCAAAATTCAAACAACAAACCTTGTATCACTGTGAGTTCCATGGCCAGTCTTATTGCTTTAAAATTTCTCTATTTTCCCTGATTTCGAGAAGCAAAAAAAGGCTCCAAAGTTTCAGCTTAAGTCATAGAATCTCCTCTGTGTTACATAAAACAGCAACGAGTACATAATTATGATATAGCTCTGGCTATATAAATACATCCCCTACCCCATTCTGATGAAATGGCACCAGCTTGTTGGAGTAAAAGACCACAAAAGAAACGAATTAGACAGCATTGACCACCTTCACTTTTGGATCCTGAGTTGATGGTTTAAAGTGAGCAAAGAAAACAGATCAAGAATCCATGGAAGGTTTGGACGTGAAGCTGGTGTGGTAGTTAACAGATATAGTGGAAAGGTCAATGGAAGCAAGAGAGAGGCTAAGAAGAAAGGGTTGACCCTGAACATCTATGAACGTGAGCTAATGGTGCCTCATGAAATAGAAGATAATCTCTCTGCTGTAGAGTAAGGAATAAAAGAATGGAAACTGAAGTACAAGGATCTGGAAAAGGAGAAAGAAAGGTTGGCAAGAGAAATGAAGAATGCATTAAAGAGAAAAGAGAATAAAATGGAAGAAACAGTAAAAAATACAGAAGAAAAGTTGAGAGAAATTAAGGAAATGATAAAGAACTCTCTAGGTACATTCAGAATGTAGAGGGAAAAGGAGGTTTTCTTTGTCAAGGGAAAACTTAATTGACAAAGTGGGAAAAAAGCAACAATTAAGAAGACTTAAGGAACTAAAGGAGAAGTCAGAAATTGCCCTCTGGTTTCTTGAGTCACATGGGCTCAAGCTGTCTTTCCTTAAGGTCCAGGAGGCTGCCATCAATGAAATACATTCCCTGGAATTTGATCAGCCATCAGCAAGTGATGCTGACCAAGAAAACCTTGAAATTCTTTTATTTTTCCTGGACAAATTTTGTGCTAGTGATGAGCTTTACCATGAGTTGCCTGTTTTCTCTGAGGGTTTACCAACGTCTTATTTGATCAAACAAAAAAGGAATGAACTTAATAAAGTATGTCACATTGAGAGAACACCAAGTCAGCACCCCGCATGGTGCATGACTTTCATTTTCTGCAACTTTACAAAACAACTTTAAAACAATTTCTTGAGTCAAATTACTTGAGAGAACTCCCAGTGAACCATAATGAAGCTGAGGTACCAGAAAACAACTTAATTGAGGATGAATACAACAGAGTGACTGTCAATCAGTTGTGACAGAAAATAAAATTTACATGTATTATAGCATCCAGGATTGCAAGGATGAAAAAGTGTCAACTGATTGAGCTTTTGAAGAGAAATCAATAACTTTTAGCAGCAAAAAATCAAAACAAAACAAAACAAAACAATAACAATGTAGACATGTTTCAATATTTAATTTCATTAATTGCACAGTCAAATATATATATAATTTTCATCTGTATTTTAATATGTAAAAAATTTTTATCGTTATTTTAATACTTAAACTTCTATCTCTTTGCTTGTACATGTAAATATATATTTTTTCAAAATAGTTATTATTGTCAGACAGCGGATTGTATTCATATGTAACAAATTATTATATTCGCTTGCCCTAAAGAAAATTAAATGTTGTGGAATTACACACTATTCTGTTAAATTATAACACAACTTTCTCAACTGGAAAATTTGGCAGTAATTTGATTTGACCACTACATGACATGAAATGCTTTTTGAGTTATTTTTTTTAAAACAAAAAAATTGTAACTCTATGTTAGTGTATAGAGTAGTATGTTGCTCACACCAATCAGACTGCTGCATTAAGGTATGTAATTTGCATCAATCAGATTGCCACATTAGGATATGTGTCTTGCACCAATCATATCATAGCATTTGAATGTCCTGCACCCATCACAGCATTTGGGTATTGTTTTCTTTTAAATGCTGTCATGGATCATGGGGCTATGCACAAAGAATGACATTAGCCAGAAATTTTGGGCTCATTTGATAAGTGTAATGGTTTGTGGCCTTCATGAGAGCCTTGTTGATTGAGGTTGAGATTTATTGGGAATTGTATTTTTTCCACTCCTTTACTCACAAACAACTTGCACTCCATCACATACCATGAAAACAATGTCCAAAGTCCAATCAGAACACACCTCATCATTGCATTACATGAACATTAGGCAATTTTTGACATGCTTGAATTGTATTCCACCAATCAAATTCCATTTTGCCACATTGAACTTTGCTCTATCAAGTGTCATTTTCTTGTAAACAACCTGCATTCTATTACGTATTCCAACTGCTTTGTCCAACCCCACTGAAAAAAATCACATGGAACTAAATGCTACTGAAGTTGAGTTTTCCACTGAATTCTCCTGTGTTTAACTTTTTCTACAAACTAAAGTCGCCTTAAGCCATCTCAGATTTAACCCAATTGTGTTCATTTCATTGTAAAACAACCTGCATGTTATCATGCATTTCACACACATAGGGCAAAGTCCAGATGGGCAACAACCGATTAGAAGCCCTCTTTGAAATATCCTCTTCTTTTGATCGACGTATCTTCATTATTTGAGATCACAATATATCTTCGATTAGGGTCTATTAGAGGTACAAAAGAGTTTCAGTATGCTTCTGTATTAAAATTACAATTAGAATTATATTTTTGAAGTAATTAAGTATAGATGAATGATTTTGATTTTCTCTCTGTTGGAGGAACAGAAGTAAGCGTATTCTATTTCACAACCATTATTTGATCTAGTTATGCAACACACTCTCGCTCAAATGGGACATAGAGGACATTGTGTAATGAGACCACTCAATAGCTGCAAAGGAGACAACATGAAGCATGGCACTGATGCATTACATTTTAACTTAGAAGTATTTAGACAATAGACATGGTAGATCACATAATATCTGTGTGAGTTCAGATAAATTTGGTTTTTTGCCTGTCTTTCTGGGATATTTTTGTTTTTTGAAGGTTATGCTCTTTTTGGTGACAAAAGTGAAAACATTAAGTACACAAACTGTACCATCTCAACCCACCCAGCCAAAAAAATAACTCTTGTATGCTATTCATGTCTATGTTTTGAATAAGTAAGAACAGTTTTTTACCTCAATATGAAAGTCAACTGCTATTACTTCTCCAAGTTCATTTATAATAAATAATATCACCAATTTGGAGAAAGCTCTAGGTGAGAAAAATCGTCCTTTTCAAGAGCGTGCTAACTCCATTGTGTGCTTTTTTACCTTTTCCTCAAAAGCCATACCTAACAATATTATGATCCACTCTCAACTCAGAGGAATAATTAGCTTTGATTGCATTTGATTTAAGGATAGATAGAATGCCTTCCAGAAACCAAGCTGACACACTCTGTAGCCTTTCCACTGAGACAGGAGGGTTGCTGTATAAGGTCCTATAAGATTATTAATTCAAAGAAAGCATAAGCTTTGTGTGGACCCAAGCTGCACACATGGATGATTATTTCTAGCACATTCCAAAAACAAACTTTACCCTTAAACTCCCAAGATCTCATTAGTAATTCTCCTCACTGTCTGCCATACAGCTCATATGATGTTAGTTTGGGGAATTTGTAATTGGATCAACTAATAATCCCCCAACTGATATATTTTTTAATCTCTTTCTTGTCTGCTTGATATTGTACTGATTCATTGGTGGGACTTAAAGGGTTAATCTAGTACCTGATAAGTTGCTCATTCAAACGAGCTGAAGGTTCCCATGTGCTGATCCATAAAGGTCAATTCTTCCATTTCACAAGATACTCAAAGTCTGGAAATTGTTAAAAATAAATTCAGTTTATTTATAAAAAAAACTTAAATTATAACATTTTTGTCAACAATAATATTTTTCTATCTACTGTTTGAACATTTCGTACCTCATTCTTTGATCTTCCCTGGCTAATCAGTCCCTTGACCAAATAAACTTTAAATCCACTTTTACATTCTCTTCTTACTATAAATGTGCTTCAAAATCTATGGTGGAAAGAGCATTTAAAGCCTTGTAATCAACTGGATGCCCTCTCTGCAGCCTCTGAGCTATGTTGACATGAAACATGAAATCTGACCCCACAATGCATGTGTAGTAGTACTTGACAAAAGCCACTGACCGAATTTACTGCGGGAGTAAAATGTCTCTGATTTCTGCTAATGTAGAGAGTAAGAATGTTGACTGCCTTTTGGTCTGGTTTCTCTCCTTTGATCTTTCCAGCTTGGTTGTACCTGCCAGAGGCTCACATGCCTCCGCTGGCTGAGTTCTCAGGATCATTGAAACGCACAAGCCCCTCCACCACGGCAAGGTGGCAGTCCATAAGAGGGGTTACTTGAAGATCACATCAAAAACTATAATCAAAATGATATTCAGGATGATAAAGAAGTTAACAACATTTTCAACTTAATTTCTCAATGGTAAACCCACACGACTTCCAAGCAGCTCAATTTTGTCTTTCAAAGATTCTCCATGGGAAGATGGCACTGATTCACTGATTGTTGCTCGTTGTTTCTTGCTAATGAATTCATTATACATTTTCTGGCAAATAAAGAAAGGAAATTTGAACATTAATTGATATGGATTTTGGATGACATTTAAAGTTTAGCTTAGAAAGGAGTTTGCCTTTGACTGCAGGCTACCAATTGTAACTTGTCAACATTTTATGCAGTAATGAATATTTTTTCATGCATGCCAATGAACTCTTGTTGTGAATACAAAACTGCTTGAACAGTCTTCTAGAGTCATCAAATGGTGCTAAATTTGCAATGACCCACTGTAGGCACTTGGTTTTCTCTTCATGCAAAACGAAATGTTTCTCAAGAAAAGAAAAGTTAGGTAGCAGTTTTTGGGTGTTTCTAACTCGAAGACAAGAGGACAGAATTCGCACCTTGGAGGGCTTGAGTATTTACTGGCATACCTCAAGCATGGCGGAATTAATAAACTTTTTCCTGTACAAAAGCACGTTGCACTCAAATGCTCGTCCTTTTAAGCGGATAAATGTTGAAGAGAAAACTACAAATGATGATTAAAACTGGCTCATCACTTCTTCTTCTACCGTTTTTCATTCTCATTACCAACGTTCGCTAAAACTGCAAATTGTGCATATTGAATTCGAAGGTTAATCACAACATCGACGCAATGTTTTCCTTTAGACCAGGGCTGCCATCAAAACAAAAGTTAGCCAAATCACAGCTACCGCAAACAAGATTTGTCATTTTGCTTTCTGTATATGAAAATGTAAACTTTTGTGCGCTAATCAGGTAATTTAACGTCGTGACACACAAATTTATGTTTCACGGAGCTTTTTATATATTGCGCGGATGTTGCTCCAGTTTACTTACCAAACCACCGTTTTCAAACATCCAATCTGATAGCAAATCGCTTGTCTTGGTCTTGGAAAACAGGTAAACACAAGAACCACCCTCGAAAATTCTTGATTGTGGAGTAAGCAAAGCATAAAGTTCGCCAATAATCACCAAAGATGAGGTAATCATCGGCCACGATAGTTTTGAGCCAATAAGAGCAATATTTTTAAATTTCTTCAAGCAGTTTTGATCAGAACAAAGTGGCTTCAACTGTCCAAGGACTTCTGTTATCAGGTCACGATTTTCTTTTTTAGTGGTAAGTAGAAGCTTCACAATATTCCTGTGATTTTCAGGAGATTTCATAGGAGTGCCCTGGCGGAAGCCATCAACAGATTTGAACTTCAGGTAATCTTCTAAAATGATACCAATTGAGATTCGCAATTTTACTTTCTTAAGCTCCTGAAGCAGATCCATACGACCAATACTTGAGAGGATATCTTTAAGCACTTTCATGTTGGTGAGAGATAATTCATTAGAATTCAGAAGGGAATCGATCAATGCGAAGAACTCAGCATCAGTGGTAATGTCGCCATCCAACATCGAGCCCGGGAGAAGACCCTTACACCAAAACTGGAATGCTGCACGATTTTCGCTGTCCAAAGATTTGGCAAGGCGGATGAGGAAATCTTTGAACACAGGTGGATACTGATATTTCATGCTGCTGAACGATGATGGAAAGTTTTCCCTTTCGGTTGAGGCTGCTGTGGACGCCATTACAAATTTGGTGTGATCCTTTTACAACGGAAGTCAAGGAGAGTGCGCAGATAATATAGTGCCTTAAACATCCGGGCACTCTATGTAATTTCCATTTTAGTCAGCCTATCACGATAACTTCCTAAAGCGTTCCTATGAGCAGTCACTGGTCAACGAACACTTAAGAAAAGGCATCTCTCCGACTTGCCTTCATGATTTCTAGCGTCAAATTTTGATTCCTGGCCCGAACCATTCCTTGGGCGGTTTAAACGAAAGGTAAAGTCACTTTAGACTGGATTCAGGGAACTTACCTTCCGAAGAACCCACCCTATATACATTATCTCTGTCATTGCAGGCCGAATCCTTTCATGGAGAGTGAATGGAGTATATTTCGCTCTGGCAGAACAGCAGCATCAAGCTAATGCTTTAATCACTCGTTTAATAGAAAATAATTTGGCATAATTCTTTCCGTCTCCAACTCGGGCAAATGTGTCCAATGCGTGCGACGCAACGGTAAGAAGTATCTGTTCCTTCCCTTCTGAGCTCGTCCCTCCTAGATATATGGCAATATCAGGATGTCAATTCATCGTAGGGTTAGGCTCCCGCATTTTACCAGGTTTCCATGACAATTTAGGGGGTGTTCATTTATACTCCTGGCTGAGAGAGATACTGCCAGAGTTGCCTTAGGCACAACGCTTCGTCAGTGCCAGGGCTACGACTCAGACCATTGCATCATCAACACCTTTGAAATTTCTAACTCGAACTCTTCTTTTTCAGAGATAGAATCTTCCCATGAAAGTTGACTCGGTGATTATCAATCAGTTCCCATTACCTTTTCGGACATTTTACCCTTGTTAGACAAATCAAACATTAGGCACAGGTTTGAGGGAAAAAAGTTGTAAACTTTATTAGATATTTCTCTTTTTTTTGTTTCTCTGACGAGAATTTTTTTAACCGCCACATTTTTTTTCTCTGATGCGTCATTTGCTTGTTTGTAACATTGTATTTTTGAAACCTCGTGTTCAATAATTTTTTTTCTTTTTTGTTAAGTATTCCCTTGCTTATCGCTTCTTATGTGAGCTTTGGAATACAAACTTATCTTTTCTTTGTTGTCAAGAGATCATTTTCTCTTGTACTTGTACAGTGTAGCAAAATAGGGTTGCTTAGCCTTTCGCAACAATTTTTTTTGCATCTTTCTTATGTACCGTACCTAAGTACAGTCAACCTTTTTTTTCTTGAATTTTGTGACTTATTTTTCATATTTTTTTTCCTTTTTGGCAAATTTTTTCGATTTTTTTTCTTGTATCTTATTTTGTTTACAATTCTTTTTTTCCTGAAATATTTTTTTTTGTATTGTTTTCCAAAAAAAGGAGATCATTACACAAGAAAAACTTGCAATTACACCTTTTACCTTCAAGACTATTAATGTCAGTTGGTTTTCATCCTGCAGTTGCATACTCAAGCTACGATTACTAGATGCCTTATTTTTTTTTAGGAAGTTAACAAATAAAATCTGAAACAGAATCTCAGAGAATGTAGAGCTAACAACGCTGACTTTAAAGACATTTTCTTGTGTAATGATCTATAAAGCTACTAAAAAAAAAAAAAGCTTCCTCTCTCCACACAGTCAAGAGTTGAGTACATCAATTAGGAAAAGATGCTGTTCTCCAACTCATGAATGGCGTCGGCTATTTGCTTTCTAAAGCCTGCAAAAGAGGGGCTGCCATTGACATCCTGTCCGCAAATCCGCTGGGTTCTTTTTTCAACATCAGTGCAAAAGTCTTCCTAAAAATGTGGTGAAAAGAAAAATTAACAACAACAAGGTAAGTTTAAGTGAGATGAAACACTCCCCATGCACGGGTCAACATCACCTACAGCATTTGCGGGACGAAAATACCTTATCAAAAGAATACATTGATATGTATGGATGTTCAAATTATCATTTGCTATCAAATTCCTCAACAGTAATCAAAGAATTAACGTGCTTGAGCTGAACTTATTCCGCGGGTAAACAAGGCTGTTCAGATGTTTGTAAATAAGGAACTGAAGACCGTTCCTTATAGCACATAAGTAAGCTTACAAGAAGGCAAGTTACCTGACGATCTCGCAATAAAATAAACTGATGGAGGCAGTGAGGGAAGCGATTGGGAAGAGAAGAGGCAAGAAATTAAAGCATGCATTTGGGCAGAAGGTGTGAATTAAAGATAGAAACATTATGATCGTACTGCAATATATAAGAATGGAATAACACTAAATGCAAATTTTATTGAACTTATAGGGGGAAAATATAACACGAAATGATTCTCTTTTCCTATTTGAAACTCAAACTCATGCCCTGATCGGATCGACGACAAAGATTCGACTCTGTAGATTCATCAAATAAATACGGGAGTCGAATTCAGTGGACCGGTAGCTTTAAATTTGTATATAAACCGAATGCAGATTAATAATTAATTAAGTTATCATGGTCTGGTCGGCATGTAAATTTTTTACCAAATTGAAAGTTTGCAAGCACATTGTAAAGAATACTGGTTTGGCTTTCTATCGCCAGTCTTACTGAAGCTATCATTTTGAGGGAAGTACGCGGGTGAGAATCAAATCGCAAGTTGATGTGATGTGTTGTGACACATCATTGTTGACTATCGAATTCCTTATGACTAACGCTGGCACGCCATTATTGTGAAGAAAGGCAATTTTCTAACCCGCGCCGAATTACTCGCGATTAGGTCATCTTTTTGCCAATAAGTTAAGTCTCGTTCACTCTACGTCAAGATCAGTTTGAAATTTAACGATGGTCGGTGAAAAGTTAAGATGATACCTAATTAGTAAAGCAGATAACTAGAACGATTGTCTATTCCTACACAGACAAGGTGTAATACTTTCTATCGAAATCCGAATTATTGATATGAATAGCGTGAAACTCAGTTTATGATTTAAAAACTGCCTATTTTCGAAGCGGTTAGATGTTCTAAAGTAAAACAACCGATAAGCCAAGTATCAGTTGTGAAGTCTACGGTAGAATGATTTTCAAAATAATTTTTGAATAAACTTCACTTTCACTTTCGAGATCTACATCGGCTGCATCGATTTTGATTACAACAATTATAACCAATAGACAAATATTAATCAATGGATTTAGCTTTAGAAATAGTCTTGTACTAAGTTAATTTCAGTTACCCAACATCCAAGCTGAACCATAATAGTACAAAGCTCATCCGCCAAAATTACGCACATATCCATGATGGCTTCATCTGAACTTCCTGCACAATGATTCGATGATGTCTTGGCTATTATTTCTCCGGCAATCGCAACCAGCATGGAAAATTTGCCCCACGTCATTCTCGAGGTCCGAGGAGTTGCAGACATGAATTGCAGCCAAAGATCTTTCGCTTTCTTGTCTGAGCCTCTCATCATTCCTCTCAGATCTTCTCTGCCTGGATACCTTTCCATTAGCCGCACAAGGTGGATAGCCGCTTCAGTCGCAGACGACCGGTAGAAGAGGTGTAGGCCATTCCTCTCCTTGACGTAGAAATTCATAAGAATGGACAGGTCTCGTTTCATTTCAAACTCGGTCAGGAGGACAACGAGATCTTCCCTTCCAATAACGTGCAAACATTTCTTCAGGAGGGAAACATCGATCCACGATATCTTCGCCGAGTCTTCCAGTGAAGTGAGAAGTGTCCAAACGTCTAAACCTCGTCTTGGAACTTGTTCTTTGCAGAGGAAGAAGAGTTGTTTATGCTGTTCTTCGTCCAGATCGCGAGCAATCCGAACTAAAACAACTCTGTATTCAAATTTAAGTATGTCTGTCATTTAGTGAGTGTGTGTTTGTGATGATTGGCGGTCATCAGAGGGCAAAGTTAGACAGGGGCATATCTTTTATATATCCAAGTTCAAAACAACTACCATATTAGGTTGGTGACGTAACCAGCTCGTAACCATGGTTATAAAAAGGTAAGATTTTATGATAAACAACAAAAAAGAAAAACCGAAAATAAAATAAAGAAAACCACAGGAATTGGTCTTCATTCAAATCCATGCAATAGAAGCAGCTTACTGTGACTACAAGTAAGAGTCCAAACGTTTTCTTCAGTCAAATTACACAGAACGTAGCTCTTGAGTCTTCGGTCTTAGGTCTTAGGTAGTTTCTTTTCGGAAATGCTTTAATTTTGTTTTAATCCGGAAAATAGATAAAATTTTTGTTTTAAAACGCGACGATCACCAGTGGTAGAAACTCTTTCCTGTATCACTGAGCATGCGTACAATTACGACCTTATTATTCCGTGAAAAAAACCAAACAAACCGACACAAAAACGAAGAGCAGTGATGCCAGCACTTTCGATTTCAGTTTCCGTTTTCAGTTCCGACTGGACCTTGTCGGCATTTCTCGGCTGTTTAAAATCATGTTGTTTTAACATGCAATCTCAATTGAATAAGTTTGATCTGATTTCTATTTCAATTCATTCACGGCATAGTACAAGTACATGTATTTCCCAATTTTCTTAAAAACTGCACATTTTTCTTTTCCTCACGGAAAAAATAATTGCTAATTGGAAATAATTTAAAGAGGAATTCTACAGGCATTCTACTAAAATGAAGGAGTTGACAGGATGTAATTCTGTAAAACGTTACGTTTTATGTGCGAGCACAGACATAGACTGAGATTGAGAACAAGAAAAGATCTCATCGAAGAACTGCTCTAAAATCAGCTCCTTAGTTGCATATCGACTAGCAAAACATTAACCGTTTTCAGAGATAATTTAATGTGACAAAGTTTTCATGTGTCATACATATTGAGGTAAGAGAACCGAATATGATTTTTAAATTTGCCCTTATGAATCAAAAATTAATTCGAGAGCAAGTAACATCAGAAAACTTGGCTCAGGTCACGTCCAAGCTATCTATTACTACCATATTAAGTTAGTCAGTTTTGTGAAGGGATCAGCTGTTCATCGATATCTAATTCCTTTATTACCGTTCCTATTAAGAGTGTGCTCCAAACTTAATTCAGTAAGAGCCGAGGAAAATGTATGACATCGAAGTCGAAAATACAACCGGACTTTCCCAAAGTACTCGAAGCAACCTGCCAATTTTTTTTGTAACCGACAGACGCTGAGAAAATCTCGTCTCAGAAGCTATATCCAGTAATCCCTCTGTTACCGTTTTGTTCCATTTAAAATGTTAGGGACCAATCATTTTCTACTTCCTGTGGGTTTCAGAGGATTTTTCTCTAGGGCGGTCACATGGTCATCAGGGAGAGCAGAGGGAGGTCGATTTAAAGCCTTAGCGTTGTGGACAGTAACAGAGATAGAACACGGAACACTGTTCCCCCTGTGGAAAGGTATTTTTACGAACTACCCAAGTGGATCATGTTGGAATCGCTATGAGCTCGCGTGTGGGTCGTGCGCATAAGTCAGTATTTCGTCAGTCATAGGGTACCAGAATTGCTGTTCTTTGTCGTAGAATGGAGCCCTAGAATTTCGATCTCAAGTTTTCACCTCAATTTTCTCCAACTAGTTTGGTGTCTTGTTTGGGGTACCTGAATCCATAAAAGTTCCCATAATTTGTAGGTGTTGAATTCTATCACTAAAATAACCTTTGAGGGCGTCCTACTAAGGAAGTGGGGGGGGGGGGGGGGGGGGGGGGGGGGGGGGGGGGGGAAAGGGTGTAAGTTAGTTTTAAGCGACTTCTAATTCAGTAGGATGGAAGCTGTGTTTGGGGGTTGCCTGCATGTTTGTAGTCCATGGTTGCTTTAATTAGACCTGATGGCCTCAGGGAGTGAGAGATATCCAGATTTCCAGCAACTTGCTATATGAAACCATTTATTAAATGTCCAGTTAGCAAGATGTCTCCAGGAGATAGACATATTCTATTTTGTGGAAAGTGATAATTCACAGCAACAGCAGAAAACAAAGTTTATCATATTCCCTTTTTCATACAATCTATCATACTTCCAAAAGTAAAATCACAAATTTCCTTGGTGTAATTTGGGTTGGTAGGCTTGCTGAAAGCATGGCCAGTGTCATACACATGAAGCTCATACTTCACTTTTCCAACATCTGGCTTCTCTGTGAGGTCAAGAGGTAGAAGGGTACCATCTAATTTTATGATAATTAATCCAAGTGGGGATGGATAGTAACATATATATGAAAGATCAAAAACAGGTTGATTACAAGGGGGCAGAATGGCAGCTGTAATCTTTTGTCATCTGGGTATCTTCCCTTCCCCTCCCCCTATTCTCTTCTCATCCCCACCTCACCCCTCCATGCAGCTTTCCTCTAGGCCTCATCCTCAGGGAGAGAGCTAGGTCACACCCTTATAACCCTTAACCATATCACCTCACCTAAAATGGGGTTGTAATTTGGATGATACAGAGAGATTCTAATGCATCGCAACTTTTACACCAGCTTTTTGTTGTAAAACTCCATTTATGTTTTAATGTCCAGTTAACAAGATGTTTTCAAATCTTTGTTAACAACATCTTTTAAAAAAACTATCCTAATCTTTGTGACATAGAGCTCTCACGTAAAGTTTAGAAAACAAGGTTTATGCCAAGTGCTTTTTCATAAAATCTATCATCCTTCCAAGAGCCAAATCACAAATTTCTTTAGTGTAATTTGGGTTGGTTGGGTTGGTGAAAGCATGGCCAGTGTCATACATATGAAGCTCATACTTCACTCCTCCAGCATCCAGCTTCTCTGTTAAAGCTTTGACATCTTTTGGTGATGAGAACCCCTCAAGATTATCCTTACTCCCAAAATGAGCTTGCAAAGGTATCTTGATTGTCCCCAAATCACACAGCTTTGCACTGGGGATGCCATAGAAAGGAGCTGCTGCTGCAATCTCTTCAGGAATCAGTGCTGCAGCTGCCAGAGACAGAGCCCCACCCATGCAGAAGCCTGTCACACCCACTTTCTTACAACCTAAAAAGAAACAGGATAAGGTAACCTGGCATACTTGCTCTGGTATACTTGGTATGCCTGTGCTCTGGTATACTTGGCAGGCCTGTGCTCTGGCATACTTGGAAGACCTGTGCACTGGCAGAGTGGGGGTGATTCAGGAAGCCACCTTTTGTCTCTGAGCAACTTGTAAAACTATTCTTTCAAGAAAGTTTTTAAAGCAATAGGCACCCCAGATTTTTGATCTTTGAGCCTTCAGGCAATCAGTGATTCATTGAAAAGCACGGCTTTGATAAGGGGTCAGAGAAATTTTATACACAGAAACAAATTACCATCTTGTAGGCTAAAAGCACCAATTAAAGGATATGCCATGAGTAAGCTCATGCTGAGAGGTGGTCTAAGCACAAACAAGGGGAAAGGGGAAATTTCCATGGAAGACAACAATTGGAAGTTATTTCAACATCACCAGCAACAATTTATTGATCTCTAATTCAAATAAAAACATTGTCCTTGAAAATTTTTTCCTGAGACTGATAAGTACAAGCATTTTTGCAGAATATACCCTTTTGCATGAGCAATCTGAGTAGGAAAATATCGAACATGGTGATTATTATGGATTCACCCCTTCTAATTATAATTTGGCCAGATGACTTACTTACAGACCTAAGGTGGCTAATGACAATTAAAAGAGATTTTTTTTTTGGAGGGGGGAGTGGCTGGGGAAGGGGAAGATAACACAGAGATCAGGGTAGAAAAGAGGACCTACCAGCCACAAAATATGAAGTAAAGAAAACCTTTAGAGAGATGCTGCTTTATTTTTCTAGAAATAATTTATTCCTTATTTCTTTTGTACTTGCTTCAAATATTTTCTAACAGAGGTAATTCTCATTCTCATTCAGAGCAACCTTTCCATGGTTTAGTAGGATTATCCACTATTGCACATGCTCACATGTCAATGCAAGCTGGTAACATGGACTTTATCAACACACGTTCCAAATAAAGCAACAAATGTCTTAGCTACACTTGTTCATCTCAATTTTCCAGGAGAGCATGACCCCCCACCTCTTTGTAAAAAGGTATTTGTCCATGGCATCACAAGCAACAGCTATGTGATGTGGTTGAAAAAACTTTACCCTTTAGCTGTATAAGAATTTGAGAGCTCTGTCTGAAACCTCTTAGAGATGAAAGAAAAAGTCACACAGATCATTCATTTAATACAAACAATTTGCATGCAGTTTTCTGGAAAAGACATGGTACTACCATAAAACAAAGGCTTCTTGATAAGTTCAGGGTGTACTTTTAAGATGTCTTTTACAACCCAAGAGTAAGCAGAAAAAATAATAATAGAAAAAAATGAAAAGAAAATGAAAGACTATTTTGTACCCAAAATTTTCCCTTGTCCTGGAGAGTGTTTTCTTACAACAGATTCCCTATAGCCCTACTTATATGCCGTATCTATTCAACATTGTGAAGAGGGTAACAAGAGGGAGGAGGGGGGGGCTGAGTGGGCCCTGAACTGGTTTCGCGTGCGCATTTGAGAAAAATTTACGTGTAAAAGTATTTCCCACGTCATGAATTTAAAAGGGAGAAATTCGAATCCCACTTTGCCTTTCCTTTCTGTAAAATTCACGCGTCACGTATTATTTCATGCATCACGCACAAACCCTTTGCCACCCTCTATGAAGTCCCTCACCCCTCTCCCAAAGGCAATATTGAACCAACCTTTTTCTTTCAAAAATTTGGCAGCTCCAGCGATATCTTGCACCGCTCCAGGCCAGTCCAGATCAGACATGTAATGTCCGGCTGTTTCATGATCGGTTGCTACCTTCCCTCGATAAAGATCGGGCACTAGAGTTACCAAGTTGCCTCTTCCAGAGATGTCTGCAGCTTCGTCAATTATGATGTCATTCATCCCCCACCATTCCTGCACGACAACAAGACCCATCGTTGATTTACTTACATCCCCAGTGAGCACTCCGGGACAGGCTCCTTGTTTATTTTCGGAAGGAAAGCAAATCTTCTCTTTTGTGCTCATGCTGCTGAGTTTTAAAGGAATCCTCGATAAAATCTGTGCTTCAATATCACTGCCGTGGTGTCGAGAGCGCGTGTCGCAAAGTATGGTAGCTTGGGGACTAGTTTCCAGGTTTCTCTGGTGTTTGCAAGGTCAGTTTGAAAGCCTGAGTAACTGGCTGTCTTGTGAGACATAATCATTTTATGCATCGGAGGTGCAAAAATGATCAGCGAAGCTGCGAGTGGAATGCGAAGGAGTAAAATGAGAGGTACCTTAGCATCTTCTCCTAATTTTCCGCGTCTACACGCCGGTAGTCTTATTTCCATTTAAGCTAAGCATTGAAAGTAATTTACCTGAGACCTTCTGTTCGGTGATATTTTTTCCCCATCAGTCTTACCATTCTAAAAAATGAGATAATTATAACAAAAAAAATTGAAACATTCTCCTTGAGATTTGGAAGCCTCCGCGTCCCACTTTCTTCCAAACATTGTGATCACTCTTAAAATAAGCGAAGCGGATCCTTTGTGTAAATTACGAGACCTACCAAACATTTACAAGATTAAAAACTTTTGATTTATCTCTAAGGAGGACAGGGAGACAAGAAAATGAAAAAAATAAATATTAGAAAATAAATAAGTGTATCAGGGCTCCTGGCATATATGTAGTCAAACAAACGAGTCAGGAAAAGTCAATGATACCAAAGAGATGCAATTATTATTTTTGTTTTTGCTTTCTCTAGAATATAAAATTGAGAAATGCTGAATTTACGGAATTAAAGCAACATTCTCACTAAAAACAAAAGCTTTTGACATAAAGGTGAGTAGACGTCATGAAGTATTGACGTCTTTATTCTCGTGGCGTTCTTGACAGTTCATTGTTTCCTAGTCTGTTATCATTCATTGTATAAGATAAACAAGCCAATTTAATGTGCACTTGAACAAGCCAATCAGAATCTAGCGTGAGCTTGGACGCTTTTGTCTTTCACCGGTTGAGTATACACGCGTCGCCTCGTTTCCATGGAGGAAGAGTGCTTAAGCTTAAAGGAATGGTCGTAGCGTAGTGACTGAAACGTGAACTATTCTCCTTAATTATCGACGATTCCCCTTGAGAGATCATCTAAACAAGGAGGGAAGTGTTCAGGACTATGCCTCAAGTATGTCTTAGCGTAAAAAATGAGAAATCTGCGAGAAAATAACAGGGAAAATTGCAGATCTTTTGCGGAGCATGTTTGAAAGATGGCTGAATTTCAAGGCCAACCGACTGCAACCGCCTTTAGGAGACAAAGGACTTTCTCGGAAAGCTCGACGGATGTTTCAGCCGGGGTTGATTTACAGGAAAGGTTGAGGAAAGAGAAGTCACAACGTAAAGAGACTGACGAAGTTTATCAGCGACTACAGGACGATTACGACGAACTTCTCAAAAAATACGCACAGGCCGAGAACACTATAGATCAACTTAGGATAGGTGCTAAACTTAACTTGTACAGCGATTTGCCTCCACCACAACAAAGCTCATTTGTAAAAGTCTCGGTTCACAATCAGCCTGGCGTATTCAGATTTCCTAAAAGTCGCCAAGCTATTTTAAGCGAAGATAGTTTTCCTCTAACCGAAGGATCTCACGCTATACCGCAAAATGGCAACCAACGCACCTCAAGTTCAGGGACTGATTCTTCTCCAGCAAATCCATCGTGTCCCGATGGAAGAGGAGCCCGATTTAGGGCAGCTTTAGCGTCTAAATTGCAGTATTTTCAAGAAGACGTAGACGCTTTGCAAAGCCATGTCATGGAAGGACAATGGGGAGAGCTTGAACTTCAAGAATTGAGGGATATGTGCGAGCAGTTGAAAGCACAAAACGGGAATTTGAAACAAGAATTGCTGCAGATCCAACGATTGGAAAATGGACGAGATCCAGAGTCCTTTGAAAACGAAAGGTAAGGAAAGCCATCGAAATCGAAAAGTTTTACCTCGTTATTTTATCTACGTTCAAGGTCAAGGATGTCTTTCTCCGGAAATGTTTTTGTAAACTTTTTGTCAACATTGTATTGCGGGAAGACAAATCGTTCATAAAACGCTCTCGGTTTTTAAGTATTGAGGTTATGCTCTTATATTTTGAAAATAATTCAAGTCAGGCGAAGGAAACCTTTTGACAGATTAGGCGATTTAAGCAAAGACGTGTAATTTAATTTTTTCACCTGAAAATAACGTCTAGCCTATTCATGTATTCTTAATTTAACGAGTCTACAGTTTGGGCTTTGGTCAAAGTTGCAGTGCTAAATCATTAATGGAAAGAACACACGATTTTCGGGCGATCGTGACAATCTAAAACCATGGAGAAATTGTAGCCAGCTGTTCTTATTTTGTAAAATTAATGACACGTAAGTTTCCGAAGATTCGGACCAAAATAAGTTTCAATTCTAACACCTATGGTATGCCTTGTCAAAATAAAAAGGGCATTATTGTTTGTTTAAGTTCTGTACATATGTAGACCTGCTAAAAGCTTTTTCTAACGATTTGTTAAGAGATTATTTGCTTCATATTACTCGCTTGTTGTCGTGGTTTTTAATGGGTATTTGAAAAGGAAAAAAAAATTAAAAATACTGGACTTTCAAACGTTAGAAAATTGATTAGAAATGTTCCTCTAACGGTCTTCAATTTTCTTTTAACTGTTTAGCCGTTTGTTTAGTAGGATGTTATTGTTTTTTCTTCGTAGTGAGATTTTAACCCCACTTACGCTCAGCTGGTTTCTCAAAACATGATCAACTATTATTTGAGTTTTAGGATGAAAATTCAAAATTTGGTATCAGAAACAATTATCATTATGCAATGTCTATCTCTGGTATTTTGATAACAGATATGAATTTATTTATATCAACTTTTTTCATGAATTTCTTGAGGTTGTTTGTTTTGCTCTTAAGAGTGTAACTCAGCTGAATGCTCAATATAAACAGCTGAGCAGGTGGCCATTTTTTTACTCAACTGTTTTCAATAAGGAGGGTAAAATGCTCCAAAAATCCACAGTGATGTGGAAAAGTTTACAAACAAACTTGTATTCTATTATTTCTTCATTATATATTGAATGTAGAAAGCTGATTAGCCTAAAAGTACCTCTCTTTATGTCCCAGAATTAATTTCTTTGTAAGAAAGTGTTCAGTTCTAGTTTTCAATACATTTTATAATGTAAAAGGCTTTTGAATATGTACATAGATTTTAGTGCTATATAACTGTTTTATCATTATTGTTATTATTAGCGATGGCAACTGGGTGAGGGGAAGGTCTTGATGCATATTATAGAGGGAAATGAAATTGTAAATTTTGTTGTTGTTATTGGTGTTGTTGTTGAGTGTGTGTGTGTCATTTAACCAAACAGGTGAAGTATATCAAGTAGATTAAAGTTGATGCAATATGTGTGAAAATATGAATATTCTCATCACCTATTTGCTGGATAATATAAGGATATTATAGGGAGAAGTTTTTTTTCTGGGAGTTAAAGGGTTAACCCTTTGCACCCAACACCAGTATGTACTGTAAATTCTCCTTACTGTTCTCTATACATTCCCTATAGTTCTGACAAGGAGAATTTGGTTAACAATTGAGAATGTCTTTGGTTGGCAATCATTCAACTGACCTTTAAAGGTTTGATCTAGGGATGACACTGTAAGGAGAAATTAGATGCTTATGAGTTTTTATAGTAGTGAAGGTGTTAAGGGTCATGAAACTTTGCAATAATGCAAGAAACAGGCCAGCCCAGGGAATGAAACTTTCCTCTTTTTCCCAGAGCTGGCCCAGGTTGTGTTGCAGGTCCTTTTCCTGAGTTAGCTCATTAATATACATTTAATTTCTAAATTAATGAATACCATTTATTTTCTTTACTTAGTTTTACTGGTGATTTTCAACCTGAGGACAGTCTTGATGGACAGGTAAGGACTGTTTAAAGCCATTATAGTTATATTTAAAGGGAAGGGATGGAGGGGGTTTATGCACACTAAAGGAATGTTTTGTTTTGCTCACTCCTTTAACTGCAAATTACTATTATATGATTATGTATCTGAATTTGCATCTTGACTACAGTAACTGTTAATAATTACTTGTACCTTTTTGGAGTCTTTTCCTGCAATTGCAACTTAGATGCCATAATGAAGCCATAGTCCAATGTTTAGAATAAGCTTTATCTCTTATCATTAAGCTCATGATGAACTTGTTAAGGTGCTCATAGTATGTTACAGGTCTTATTTTGGGGAAATTAGATAAGGACCCCCATCCTTTATTAATATGTAAGTGTACTCTCTCAATAAGCACCCCCATCTTAGACTAGATTCAAAAGAAGGGCTGCAGACCTCATTGCTAGAATTTATGACAACACCTTAGTAATATACATGCATAAAATGTATGTTTTCTTTATACTCAGGGCTGGATTAGTTATCAGCTTTTGGGGAGTGTCCCCTTAAGGGTTAATGTCATATATGTGTATAAAGATTTAAAGTTGCTGAGGTGTCCCTTTCTACGTTAAACTGATACAAGACCTGGTGATCATGGTGATGTAAATGTTTAATTGAAACTGTACCTTACACTACTGTTCTTGTCAATTTTAAACAGCTGTATCGATGTGGGCTGCGACTGGAAGAAATTTCAGAGCAGCTTGGGCACCATACTACTCCATCTGATGATCCTCGCAGTCAACAGGAAAGGAGAAATAGTTACAGTGATTTGTTAGACAGGTATGTTTTAACCCTTTAACTCCCAAAAGTGATTAACATGTAACTTCTCCCCATTATATCTGCACAGAATTTAGCAAACAGGTAATGAGAATACTCAAACTTATCAGGTAGAAGTTGTTATCTTGATCTAACACCAAATTCTTGTAACTGATTTAATAGGAAATGTGTAGCAGTAAGAGGGGAGAATTAACAATCAAATCTTGAGAGTTAAAGGGTGAATATTTTCTCAGAGTTTTGCCTCCATGTGCTCTGTTACTTTTACTAGCTACTTTTCAATAAAGGTTTCACTCACACCACTTTTTAAGTGATCAGATCAAAATTTGGTCAGGAAGACATTGCAGGATGACCATAAAACTTGGTACCAAACACCACTTACTTATCATCAAAATCTGCTTACTTGAAAACTTTGCAAAGTCCCTCGTATGACAGTCTTTTAAAAGGCCTTGGCTTGTATTGCATGCTCAGTCTACCTCTCTCTTGTTGGGATGCTTTATATGCCATATACATATTCCAATAACTTTAATCACTGCCCAGGGTCATACATATATTTGGATCCCCTTCAGGTTAGCACCATCTCAAAAGTATAAGAATTTTGAGCCTTCCTTCTTAAGTCAGGTCACTGGTAAATGTAAGTTTAAGTCTTAACTCAAGCTGAGTGGCCCAGCCAGTGGCAGCATATCCTGGTTTCCTTAGCATAAAGCCACCAGGAGTATCACTTCTCCTTCCTTGATGAGAATTGCAAGTCCATTGCAAGGTTACCCCCTTAGTATTTTATCAAGTATCCCTAAAAGTTTGTAAGTTTGTCCACCCAATCATTCTTCTGGGTGGAGAGAGAAACTGGGAGAGTAAAGTATTTTGTCTCAAAATATAACACAATGGCATGGCCAGGTCTCTACTCAGAGTCCAGTGCACAAACCATTACTTCATGACATCTCCCACTGTCAGGTCACCGCCTTGGGCACTAATTTTACCACATGTCTACAATGTACATTCACATTTCCTTTTTTTAAACACTCCTTGCCATTGTGGTGCATGATCAGGTATGAATAAATTGACTTAAACCCTGTTCAAAGATAGACTAATGGCATACTACAGTTGCACCATTGTTATGTGGGCTCAATCAATCAAAATAAATCTTACACTTAACTTTTTGTGCAGACCAAGGGACAATCATCGTGCAGCATCAGCAGAAAATCAGAGACCTGAGGGTGATCTACAGAATCTAATGCAGGTATTGCAGGAAATAAAATAGGCATTGTTTTGTTTGGCTGATGAGAGCTGTATTGTATCAGTTATGTTCAATGTCACAACATTGCTATAATCACTTGGGCAATGATACTGTGTATAGATTACAATCTGGCTTATAGATGTCAATAAAGTTTTATTTTTTTATTTTTTTTAATAGCATAAAACATTTGCAAAAGTGCATTTTCCTTCTTGTGTATTTTTCTTTGTTTGCTTGACCTTGTTTTATGTTTCACTTAAATTACATGTCATGAAGTGAAGTTCATGAAATCAGTTTTGACTACCTCTAAGCACAGCTCCACTTATTTGATCTGCTAAGTGAAAAGCAGGCATTAGTGAAGTGGGGTTTGAGTAAGATGGAAGTAAATAGAACAAGTGAAAAATGTATGAGGTAACAAAGTTCTGATGTAGTAACAATTGCAGACCTAAATTGCTTTTTTTGAGAGATTAATGCATTGAAATAGCTTTTTGTTAACATTACTAAGAAAAATACTATGTACTTACATGCACTTGTACATCTTCAAGTTAGCCAACTGCTGAAGTACTTGGACTGGAACAAAACTTATTACTTAATTGCAGCTAAACTATCATTGAACAATTGGTTATTTTTTTCTGAATTTCTTTCCTTGAGCAGAAAATATCTTAGAGATATTCTGTTAAAAGAGGGATATTTTTCTCTTTGGGCATTTTGGAAAACAATATCAAGATGCAGATAATTGTTTGCAACAATGAAAAGCCATCTGCTAGCTTGTGTTTTAAAAGTTAAGTGTGAAAAATAAATAAGTATGGGGTCCAGCTAATCTAGGTTCCTTCCCATTAGCTACATCTTTTTGTTTTATGTTTTGATTGTCTTTTGTAGTAGTACCGCGACTTTTCCCCTTTTTTTTTTTGGCAATTGCTCACGAACATTTGTTGCGGGTTTATTTTGTAGAGACTGAGAAACATCAAGGAGGCAAGCAGAAATGATGCTTTGAGGTACAGCACTGCAGAATCGAGTTCTTCCCAAATATTGTTGTATGCCTCATTTATATGTGATACACATTTCTGTCACCTGTTTGTTTGACAACTCAACCACTGGTACAGATACATGTCAATTAGGAGTTTTTTTTTTGAATGAGTTTAACACGTTATTGTAAAATGTGAACTTAACATTCGAAAAGGAAACCATAAGAAAGAGAGAAGTGAGGTTTTATTTCATTCTGGAAAATTTATTTGTAAATCAATTCTATTATTGGGGCTTGTACCTACCTACCACTTGCCCTTCCCAGTCCTTTAGAAGCACTCTAAGATACTTAATTCTGTGTTTTTCAGTTTTTCTTTTAATTTACTTTTCTATACCACATGTATAACCTGAAATATTTGGTTTGTTCCACTTATTGAATTCAGAAACATTCTAAACGATTTTTTCTAGCATTTCAATGAGCAATTGTTAAATCTGCCATCAAAATTGAGGATTAATCTTAATCCTATTTCAATGAGTGATTTTTTTCCTTCAAATTGGATTAAACAGATCTCATCACAATGACTAATTTTTTAATGCTATGGTATTACAGATGATTTCCCATAAAATAATGCTTTTGTGAGATTTTTTGTACTATTTTGAAAATTCCTTTTATTCTTCTGGCAGACATTTGTGCTCTTTTATCCTTAAAAGGTTCACAGTGTGGTTTCTTTTTAATCATTTGTCACATTCACGCGTTAATTACAAGGTATAAATAGACGATTTAATGAAAGTTGCTATATATACTGAAACGGTGAATATTTATGGTATACAGTAAACAACAATATTTTTGTTAATATCAAGTTTCTGACACTGGGAAGAAATTCGAGATGTTATACGTCCAAATTAAAACTTAATGCAACTTAAATTTTCGTGATTTACTGCCTCAAAGGGCAAAAAAAAAAGAAGAATATTATCGTTGTTCTTGAACAACGAGCTACGCATATTAGCATGGATAAATAGCTGCATTGCTCACCAGGGCAGGTGTATCCTAGAGAGATCCAGCGGCTGGTAGATAAGTCAATATCACGTATGATAATATCTGGGAGCAGTGTTTAAATCTGATGTTGCCTTAAAACATCATTTTCGACCATATCGCGTCGGATCTTGAGCCGAGAATAGTTGTCCGTTAATGGGGTCGAATGCTGCGTCGGAAGGCGAAGATGAAGAAAGTGAGGACGAAGAAATAGCCAGGATTTTTCGCTGGGCCGAATTGATGTAATTGCTTTTAGATAATTTCTCTTTTTTTTTCTCTGACGTGATTTACATTTTAGAGATTAATTTAAGTTTTTGGACAGTTATGGCTTTTCTAGTGGCAGTTACGTCCGAAAATCACCAAACGTTTTTTTCTAGGAGTCGACGATTCGGATTCTGTGATCTAAAATGTTTTGTTGTATTTTCGTGCTGTTTTATCTTTGAGACACGTTTGCGTGTATCAATGTGCTGTTTGTTATCAAATCATTGAGCGTTCTTAAACAGACTGAGGTTACTGTGGTTGCTTTCAAAAAGGTATATTTTCGTTCTCAAAAACGAAGCGTTTCCCCGTTGTGTGTTTCTGTTACGGTTTTTAGCGTTGAGATCATTGGCTTTCTGATTCGTGTTGTAGAAAATAATTACTGATTTAATCGTTTCGAGTGTTTTCCTTTGCGATTTAAGAGCTGTTAGTGTTTTTGTGCACGTTATATTTGTTAAAATTGCGAACATATCGGAACTAAAGATATCAGGGAACACCTTTGACATCTTTCTCGGTTGGTTGCTGTGCATAAGAAATTACGCTGATCTAACTAACCTTACGAGGGACTTCAATAATTAATTTTCTTATTTCTACCTTGTGCATACTTTGTGTATCTGGCCTATGCTTTGAAAATAGAGCGCTTCTAGAGGACTATGTTAAAAATATGTGAACATTCGCATTTGAATTTTTTTTGTTCGAGTTCGTGTGGTTAACTTCGAAGGAAAAAAATGCTTTTGACAGTGTGCTTTCCTCGTGTATATGAATTTAAAATGTTTACCATTTGCTATCATTACATATGGCTTTGATGGAAACGGAGATAACAATTGAGCCGAATTAGTGATGTAAAAATATTTTGTCTCGATAAAGGAGACAAAATAAGGAGTGCGATCCGACCTTTTGGTTGCTTTGGAGACCAACAACCCGAGTATTCATTCGAATTACTTGAATTTATTTTTTGAAGTTTTTATTTCATTGCAATAAATTCCTAGATTTTTTTTGGTTTGTACTAACTTATTTTTTCGATTGCAGAGAAGGGAACAGCTCAGATGATGCGGAAGATCTGGATGCAAATTCTTTTGAAAGAGAGGATGACTTTTCTAGAAGATTTTCTCTCGGTAGGCATTGTGTAACTTTTTTTTTCTCAATCTGAAGGTGAAAAGAAAAGCGTTTCTTTATCAATTGTGCACAAAATCCCTTTCTGCGATCATAAAAGAGGTTGTGTATTATTTCTGTTGCTTTCTCATCCTAATTTAATTCTTTATGACGCTAAAATGTCTCGAAGAGTTTTCGTTTTCTCAAACGAATAGCTGTAATTATTCGCTGTGGAATTTACACTGATATCATGTTTATTTTCTCCTGCAGGTCCGCTTCCAGATAGTGAAGGCGAAGAAAAACAGGTATCGAAAATATTTGCGTAAAACAAAATGTTGGGATTAAGTTTTTGCGTCTAACGGTGTAAAGTTTACAAATGTAACTTCTCTGCTAGATCTCGAACACAGGCTTTTGTAGGAATTTAATTAGGCTAGACTAAACTAATCGTTTCAATATACGCAAAATTAAAGTCGTTTATAAACAGAACTTTAACACTCAGCGTGGTATCGAATTTTTTGTAATGAATCTATGAGTAAAGGCGTCAGTTCTCTAAATAAGAAGAAGCAAAATTTAACTCTAGGGATTAAACGTGCGCGCAAAGGGGTTTTAGTTCTTATCGAAAGTCTCATCCCACGGATATTATTGCCTAATATTTCTTATCTGAAAATATTGATCGTTTACGCAAATTTAAAGTGAAGTTACAGAGCGTGACATGTGGCATTCGCTACATATCATAATATTGGATTCTCAGCCAATCATCTTTCTCGGCAAAGTGCGTGCTTCGCGTTGCTGTGTTTATGATGGTTTATCAGTGACACTCAAGCTAAATTTCGTGAACACCTTGCTTTCAAATGTTTATCCTTGTTATGTGAGCGGCGATGTGTCAGAAGTCAGGCCAATATGATTCTCCACGTTGTCGTGTTTGGCGTCTAAAACTGTACTCGGTCCAACATTGTCATTTGCAAATATTCGGAAATTCCATGGAGTGCCAATTGTCTTCTAAGCGTACCTTCGACGGTCCCAGCTGTTTGGCGTAGATCTTCCATTATTGGAGCGTTTTCCTCAACTGAGTATTACATTTTATCGCTCGAGGGCAATGAATGATGACTGTTTTGGAAATGCAGGCTCGCTAGAAGAGTTTTTCTTGGTCCTTTTGGACGGAAGATTTGATTATTTGGTAAGAACTTATTATAATTACCGGATCGTGTTATGCGCCTCGCAATTAAGGAATTTTAATTTTGCGTTGATGCGTGTCGATAAAACAAGTTCACTTCCCGGCGAAAGATCCATACGCGCAATAAGCTCCACTTAGAGTTTTGAAATATGTTCACCTTAGGGTCGATCTGATTTTCAACTTTCTCTTTTTTCGCCAGGGGCTTGGTGACCAAGCCGAACCTTTGGACCTACAGGAGTCTGGATACTTCGCGTCCGAATCAATGAGTGTGATTCAAGACCCTCTCTCTGAGCCCTTGTCAAGTCAGTACCTCGTAAATAGTCAAGGGCCACAAGATAGAACACGAGCAGGGTCCTTACCTCACACAAGGTAAGAAAAAAAATGCTGTCATCATAGAGAGGCTTACTGCATTCCACGTTTTATATTGATTAGACTGGAAAAAAACGTCGTTCGCTTTATTTAAAACCATGATACATTGTAAACCACCATGTAATTGAATGGTGTGTTTGCAATGTTGGGGGGTCGTTGGGTAATGTTACGCTCCAGTGGTTTAACTTCAGGGACCTGTCATTATTTTTCCCTGAGAGGGGGGTGGGGTGGGGGGGGGGAATGGTCGGAGGATTTTGGTTGTCTAACGAAAAAGTTTACCTATTCCCCTTTCAAGGCTCTGTAATTTTTTATTTATCCTTCCTTTCTTGAAATTTTTATGCAAAATCCTCCACTGGTCCCTCAGCTTTGAAAAATTTAAGTATTTTAAAGTTTTGTCAACTTTTCCTCTATTTGATTTGTTAAGCGGAGTAAGGTAATGGATTAGAAAAATGCAGTTTAAATAACTCTAAATCGAGAGACGACGAAGATTATAACCCTAGTCATACTCTATTTTTAGCCCTCATCGCCTCTCAATCGGTTCAAGTACTGGACAGCGGTCAAGGAGCAACAGTCACCGCAGCCGCGCCAACACAGCGGACTTCGATTCACCCCCACTCCCAGAGGATGATGGTGACAATGATCTTCCTTCTTCAACTTTACCTTCTCCACAGACCTCGCCTGGCAGTTCTAAGTCACCTCGAGCTTCGTCGAGTCCAAAGGGTAACAGCGTAAGCGGAATTCCTCCGCCTCCAAGACGCCAAGACAGTCACATGAGTGAAGCCAGTAGCAAACGTTCACGTGCTAGTTCTAGAGCATCGAGACTGCCTGTGTCCAGTGGTATTCCCACGTACGACAGCTTGCGTGACACTCAACCAGTCGAACCCTTTGATTCACGTGATCGCACGGCCAGTATTCACAGCTCACCGCGTGAACAGCACGAGCCGCAAGAATCACGGCGAAATAGCAGGCAGGAACCGCCACGGACGTTAAATGGGTTACACGATGATCGTGCGTCTAAACCCTCCAGGATTGCCCATGGTCGTCCTTTAAGAGCGAGCGTTTCGGGCGATAGCCGTGTTTCCACGCCGCTCTTTCTTCCTAACGGGAACGGGCCCGCTCAGCCTAAAGAGCTCAACCGTAGGGGAAAATATCGCAACCCAGCGGCTGATTCTGAGAGAGGTTTTGATAGCGGCTTCTTTGGTTCGGAGGGAAGTCGCATATCACGGGGCCACGAGTCCCCTGATATTCCGCCCCCTTATTACCCCGAGACTAAACTACGCAGTGCGCCTTTACAAGAACAATCCGCAACAGAGACTGAAGATGATAGGGGCCACATTACGGCGCCGAAACATGCGCCAAAGTTAATTTCTAGAAATAGAGATGCGAGGCGACGGAGGTCCTCCTTGCAGTCGCTGTCAGAAAGCGAGGAGGATCGTTATTTAGAGACAACTCATTCCAAGCCTTCAACGAGAACGCCGTCGTCTCAAAGAGAACGAAGAAGTCATCGACATACTCCAACTCATCCTGTCCCCCGATCGGATAACGAAGGCGTTCGACGACTGGACGAATCGTTACGAAGGCATACGTCTACTCCGAGCATAAACGAAGATACGGTAGAAAGATCAGTGCCAAGTGCCGTGAGTAGGCGAACGTCTAGGACACCTGCACGCTACAATAAGGGAACTAATACTCCAAGAAGTACGGGTAGGTTTTTAAGCTAATTAAAATCAAATGCGATTTCTTAAGAATTTCGTTGTTATCTGAGACACTAGTATGGAATAAAAGGCTCGTTTTTCATTTTTTACAGTTTGACCAGCAGTTAACTAGGTCGCTCTCAGGTGTTGCCTCATTAATCCACAGTTTTAATTCCTACTTATCATTTAGTTATAACGTTGTTGGAGATTAAATACTGACAATCTCAACGGTTCCCGTGTAAATTTCAAGGAGACCTTAAGAGAATTGCTCAAATTCTGAAAATATTACGATTTAGCATTGAAATTTAAGGTTACTTTCAGTTTCTAAATGTATTAAGTACAGAAAAAGAAAACAAAACGAAAGAAGATGCGTCAACAAACCGACCTGTACACGCCAGTACTGATCGTTGTTTTTTTTTCTATCTTTCATTAATGTAATTGTTTTAAAGTAACGAACCTTCTCGTCGCAGCTAATGATTAATGTTTGGAAAAACAGATCCGGTATCTACGTCTTTGTGGTTGTATACAGTTATTCGTGTGAAATTACCTCCTTGTGAGTTTATTTTACTGCTTTTGAACGTGCATTCATTAAAAGATAATCTACGTAGGCGCCAGGTGCAACACTGTTGTATTCTGTTTCTTAATTGCACCAACACAGGGTCTTTTGTGTTTTATCTCCATCACATCACAATGAGAAACACTGGTGTTGTTAGTGTTTAGGTCCAGAAACTGTACGTTTTATGAAAGATCGAGTTCACGCAATTTATTTCTTATGCTGCAGCGGAGTTTTGTCAAATATTACGGTATCTTTTTCGCCATTTGCTTCAAAATATCGCTGATTTCTCGGAGCAAAATTTGCTACTTTAATTTTTTGGATAACTGTGTGATTCGTTAAATTGTGTAGGATCTTCACCGTATTTGGAGACTGGTCGGGGAAAACATTGGTTTTTGTTTTTAGGTATATAATATTGGTAGTTATTAATCAGCAATCCAATCAGATACGAGACTATATACTTGCCCCAAGGTTAGCATAAGCAAATATTCAGTATTTTTAACAGTTATTCGTTACTCAAAGATGTTATTTTGGGTAACTAATGTGAGGACATGTTCTTCATTCGAGAGGGTCTTTCAGGAGGTAAACACTTTGCTAAGCCGCAGCGTAGCTATTAAAAGTATATTTGATGTGTAGGACGTGAAGCAGATATAGGATTATGAATAATATATAAGCGTACAATGATATGAAAACAGGGTAATAAGCTTAGTAGTAGAGTTAAGCAAATTGTTTGTGCCATTGTAAAATTTGCTCTTCTCTTGAGCCCCAATGGATGGACTAGACCAAGGTACCAAACTCATTTTTGTTGTACAACATTTGTGCTCTAAGTGTAATTTTTATTCTCCTTGCATGTATTTTGAATCGTTGTGAAAGATAATCACGTTAGAAACTTGACTCTCGCATGCAAATTGCTGTGTCTAAAAAGAGATGTAGAAAGATGGAGAAGTGTTTGAAGCGATCAACGTTTTAAACTGATTCTGGTGCTGTTAACGTGTCCCTAGTTGTGATCTATTTTGCACTGGAATGGAATCACCGATTTCTAGATCTCCCCAACTACAGAGGAGAGAAACTAAGGATTCAAATTTAGTTATTTTTCCTCTCTAAATATGTGATATACCGAAATTCCGCGTAGTGGTCTTATTATTTTACCGCTACGAGCCATTATTTAAGTATACCGATAGCTGTTTTACAGAGGTCATTCTGAGTTTTTTCTTTTTTCGCGATCTCGTAGCAGTCTTGCCTCGTTCAATGTAAATTTGTTCACGGAGTGGCTTTCCTAGTCTTAAATATTTTAGTGTATATATTTTTGATCGAACTGGAGGCGCCTTTCTGTCTTGCTGCTCAAGTTAGATAAAAAGAAAAAAATTAAAATAATTATAGCGAGAGCAGTATGCCTGAAGCCTCACACTATATTTTATAATGTTCTATAATCTTTTTTTCCCATCGTTCTCATAGGCCCGCGGTTAGATCAGTCCCGCCCGATGGATAAACAGAGCGTGCGCAGTTACCCGGGCGACCGTGAATCCGTGCGGTCAGGACGGCGGTCAAGAAGAGGTGACGATAGTAGCAGTGGATACAGTGACAATGAACGAAGATATCGCAGGTAAGTATTACGGCTGTGCAAACGGTATGATTGCTGTTCTTAATGTTGGGCGGAAATCTGTATCATCAGTTACAAGAACTTGTTCAGTTGTGTTAATTATTTGTAATTACAGATGCCCGCAGCCTTTTGCACTAAGTACGGTGAAAGGAATTAATCAATTTGTTTGTGTTATTTTGAGACGTGAAAGACCTAACAAATCAATTTGTTTGATTCGTGTATCTTGGCTGTTGCCGGAATATTTATATATAAATATAAACATATGTCAGCGTGTGTTCATATCTCGATGAACGCACAGCTGACGTATGAACCAATTGTTTTATAACATTTTCAATCCGATGGAAATTTTTTTTTCTCGAGGGATTTGTTTGCTGACGTCATGAGCGTGCACAATAGGAATATGAAGCACGCTCGCGCAATTGAATTTGATTACACAAATTTACTAGCTATGTTATAATGTTAGTTAAAGCATGTATGTGTCTCGGACCTTGTACTCCTCTGTAATTTATAGAAGGGGAATTATTTGTTTGATATGTCTTTACCTTGAGTCAGAGTACTTCAAAGTCTTTAACTTTCCGTTCTATGGTGATTTTTTTGTTTCGCCTGCCGGGAATGAGTTCTAGAATCAATTCGCCCATTTAGTTTATTTATTATTTAGGTATCAAGAGATATTTCAATTTTTATTTTTTTACTGACAGAGATCCTATTGATAAACTGAGAGAGGAGCTTCAGAGCTTGCGTTCGCAACTGCAGCAAGACTCGAACGCTCGCGGATTGCAAGCTCAGATGTACGACGACCTCCGACGGAGGCACGACGATCTGGAACGAGAGATGGCCCGAAGAGGTGCCGAGCAACAGATGGCGAACCTATACGACAACCTACAGAAAAAATACGATGATCTGGCGAACGAAATGTCTCGGAGCAAAGAAAATGCGACCACAAGCACGACACCTCAAGACGATCTTAGAAGACGGATCGAAGAACTAGCAAGGGACGTAGGAGACCTAAAGCGAAGAGATCACCAGCGACCTTCTCGTTCTCGCTCTCCTTCGCCAGCTCCTGTAAAAGCACCCGCGGTCACTACGATGCAGTTTTTGTGTCCGTTTTGCGGAAGTTCTGGCACTCATAGTCACGGGAATTATTTCTATCCAGGGTATTCTGGACCAGAACAGGAAACCCCGACTGTTAGCACACGGACACCAACCTCGAGGCCTCGTCGCCATACCGAGACGCAGACTCCTTATAATCCCGGATTGACGAACACTTATGTCCACCACCCTACTACCCCAGCGGCTACTTCCACACCGTACTCACCCTACTACCACAAGTAAGAAACAAACGCAAAATTGAAATCGCTAGCTATCTCGTCAGCCATCCATATAGAGAGAGTAAAGATACGCAGATTGTAAACAGTTCTCGATTTCAGTGATATTTCAGCTTTCCACAATGAAAATTTCTTGTTGTTTTTTCTTGTAGTGTTGTTTCATCGCCTATGCATCATCATACTCACACCTATCCGGGAGCTGCGACCTCATCGTCCGTAATACCCGCGGGAGTTGTCCCCGGCGTGCCGGTGGCACCGCCAGGGGCGGTGAACGAAACCCCAACGGTACATCATATCCATCATCTTCCCCGGGGGAGGTCTAGGAACCGGCGGGATTATGTAGTATCCGATAGCGATGACTCTGAAAGTGACGAAGAATACCCTGCACCTCGAAGGTAAAACCTCTTCTAGTCACAAAGTTTTTTTTGTGATAAAGTAAAACTAAAGGGGAAAATTAAAAAAAAAACATTTTTTTTTTCTTATTTTAGCAGGCACGTTCGACTTAGAAGTAACCCAAGTCCAAGTCACAGCGGTTGGGGCAATCACCAAGGAGATGAAGTACGTTTCACGACACTTCTGAGTATCCTAGGGTGAATTACAATAAACATTTAACTCATTAAGCGTTTCAGATTCAATCTTGAACGTACTCTTAAAGGATATTCCTAACGTTTCATTACTTATAATCCTAATCAATTACAAAACCATGCTTTTACACTGCCGTATGGTAGTGATCTTTATGTCTCGATACAATTTCCGAGAATTTGAATGAGCTTCATTTTTCGACGACGTTTCTGGGAAGATTCACATACTTTAACGATATTATACTAGCATTTATGATTGATGTATCATATTATTTTTTAGAAGCGCGTGGTACTACTTCTCTTTGGTCTTTAGAAGGATTCTTTTCCCCAGTAGCTGTGTTTTTCAACCCTCTTGTACTGACAACAGCCTGAATTTTTATTTTTTTTAATGAATTACCGCCATCTTGTTTTCAGTTGGAGAGTTATCGACTCCATCAATCGCTGGACGTGGCCAACAAAGCCGCAAGAAGAATGCAGAATATCTCCAAGAGAATGCTAAGTAACATCGCTTCCGACTTAATCCGATCCGGCAAAAGATAGCACGTGGATACACATTCCCAACTATTGAAGTAGTTCACTCACTCTCGCTTCCCGGTCCAAGTCAGTTGTGATCTTTACTCGCGGTTAGATTCGGAAACAACTCTAGGATATTCTTGGTCATTTGGTCAAACGAAAAGAAAACCTACTTTTTAAACTATAGAGACGAGGTGCATATATCGCCGAAAATTCATGGAAAGCCATTCCTAATGCTCGCTGTTAACTCCATCACCATTAATAAGATCAGATTATTTTTAATAAGTTTAAATTGAATACTTCCGTCACGTGAACTATTCTTTAACACAAGTCCTCAATGCATAATGAACAATACCACGAACAGTGACTTCGCGCTGGAAATCCATAAAACTATCTCGCACCGTATACTTTACACTGTTATTGCAACAAATTAGGCAATGATGCACGAAGTTAGAATGTAATTGAAAAATTATTTTTGTATTTTCGAACTGATTTTGTAGAGTATATAGCCTTGTTTTATATTCGTCTTTATTTATCAGAGTTTTTTTATACCAAATATTCATTCGCTTTTATATACCATTTTATTTATTCATACATACTATATAAGAATGGTTTCTTTATAATTTTAACAATTTGCCTTATATTTTATGTGCGTTAACTTTTTTAAGTGACAAAAATACTTTACATTTAGTTTGATTGGTATTGCAAGCACAAAATTGAAATTTTAAAGAAATCAAGAGCGATTCTGAGTTTAGCTGCAGTCGTTAAAGTTAGCGTTGTAAATGACTATAATACAAAATATTGTTTAAAAAAATAACTTTGAGAAATGGTATTGTTTGTGTTTTTTTTTTCTAGTTACTGGGGGGTAACTAGCAGGCTGCTGTTTGAAAGAGGTGAAAGATGATTTTGAAAGGAGGGTAACTGTCTTTTTTTCGGGGGGGGGGGGTGGTTCTGGCTTGAAGAAGAAATTTGTAGCATCGCATCATAGTATTTGTAGCATACACCCTTAAGTTCTAATTCGATAGTAGCACTTGCCCCTCCTACAAGTAAGCAATAATCTGCGTGATACTCTATCCACTTATACTTGGACGTGGACAGGGTTAGTTGTCTTAACGGAAAATCGCGGCAGTGTGCGCTGGTCAATCCCGAGAGGTGCCGCAACGATCCAAGCGACCCTTTCGAAACCAGCTTGTAGAAATGAAGGTAGAATTTAGATTGACTCGTCTTTGGAGAATTCTTGCGATTGAGAGGTTGTTACTGTAAAAGAAAATTGAGATTCTCTATACCCTTGCCTGCGAAGGTAACTTTAAACTGTAAAGACATACATATATACCAATGAGAGATACATTGTGATCAAGGCCTGCCTAAAGGGGTAAGTTTCTAAAGAAACTAGTGCTGCGTAGGTGGGAGAGTATTTAGTATTATCAAATGAGTTGATAAAGTTCATTGGCCACTTTCATTGGCCACCGCCCTGACGAAGGGCTAACGCTCGAAACATTAGCTTCGAAACTCTTCACGGTGGCCAATTAACGTAATCAACTCAGTTGATAATACTTAATTACCCTGCCTAAAGAAGAGTCTATTAGAGGCCTCGTATCAAGTTCTCTGTGCTTCCTTTTCTCATTCGGCCTTGAAGAAAGAAAGGAGCGGTTTGCGAACGAGAGAAGATCTGGTCGTGCTAAAGCTGGGGCAGTGATTTCGTGAGCCATTTTCCCACTGTTTATACACGCTTCATAACTATGAAAACAGGAAAGGTGTCTCTATGGTTATATAAAAAGTACCGTGGCACGTTCAGGAGGGAAGGTAAGTTGAATTGAACTGAAACCAACAGAAAAAAACCAACTTACAGAGTGAAGAGCTTAATAATAATTTAATGTAATTCGAAATACAATTAGTGAACATTATTTTGGGTTGTATTTCATCCTGTTTGTTCACCCAAAAGGAAAGTTACTCCAGCAGCCACGACCGCAACAACAATTCCGACCACTGCACCTGTCGAAAAAAGGGTTTGTTTGTTGTTGTTGTTTAATTTTTACGCGTACAACGTGCATCTAACTGATTCTTAAGCTGAAATAATGTATTTCGTACTCTTAAGGTCACTGAATAACAGAAACGTGCTAACATTCGACGTTTCCTAGTGTACAAAAAGAAAGTGCTAAGCTTCATTGCTTTAATAAACGCAGGGCAACCAGTCAGAGGGAACAAGATAAACTTTCCTAGGATCAAAGAATACCAAGAGATCGTTTATTGCGTACTGTCTCCTACATAAAATCAGTGAGGCATGAAGTTGTCAACTAAACGTATTTGGTCTTGTCTCTCTCTTAGCCTCGTCGTTTGCCTTCAAGATACTAACCAGACTGTCATATGGTGCCGATACTTACCTATTACGCGTTTTCCGAGTCCTTGTTGAACTTCCTCGCTTTCTGTAATTTCTTCGTTGCTCTCAGTTTCCATTTCTTCAACCAAACTTCTCACTGTCTGGACATCTGTTAAGTTCACAATAAAACTAGTAACATAAAATCTCACGAGAGCACGAAAACAACTAACTTGTGATTCTTTGCCATCACTCCCATCTGCAATCTTTTTTTTTATTTTTTTATTTTTCCATGGAAAATTTCGAGTTGCAGTCTCGATTAGAAGAAACAAAAGAGCGAAGAGAGTATCCGTATTATACGAATGCTCTCTTCGCTCTTTTGTTTCTTACCTATAGTATATGTAATTTACCTGGAAAATCTTCTATACATTCAAAATCTTCTTCTTTGGGTTCAATACCTAAGAGCTCTGCTATCCTCTCTTTGGATTCCTGTTTAAAAACAAAGTAATTCGGCATGTGATTTCAAAGAATATTTATTATTAACGCTAATAGGGGTTGGCGAGGCCCGAAAACAGTAGCGTTAACTCTTGGCATAAGAGCAAAGGTTGGGGAAAAAAATTGAGAAAAACAACGCTGTTGGTTTTCCTTTTTCTTTAAGAATTTTGACATTCCCTGAGTAGAGAATAAAGGTCTGATCTCTTCCAGACCGTGGCCCAGTTAGACTCGGAAATCTTGAAGTTAGTATTGTCCAAGTTAGGGCCATTTGTATATTAGCAAACAAAAAGTTCATTAATTAATAGGTTCGAAAAGCAATTACCTTCAATGTTTCGTCCTTAAACACGTAATCACAGACTTTCACGGGTCCTGAGCCAAGAGGGACAAACACTCTTTGAGGAGATGTCCACGTTGAAAAGAATGTTTCTGAGAGAGAAAATGAAGGAAAAAATGGAAAATTTAGCCACTCAATAAACAGCACACATCGCATTGTTACATCTTACATGAAATTTCTACAAATTAAAAAATTCTATAACAATAAAAAACGGAAGCCTAAGTCATCCTACCAAACAGAAGAGTGAAATTTCTGCTATAGAATATGAAAGATGGTAAATGGTGAAAAAATTATACTCCTTCTTGTTATTAATTTACGTACGTGACGTTTTCGACTGTGTACATCCTAGCAATAGGTAGGACGAGTGTCAAATACGAGCCTACCATTGACTTACACCTGTACGGCTCACCACGGAGTCCTTTGTATCTCTGTGGTGGAGCTTGGAAGCGCAAAATCCGGGGTTGAATTCCTTGTCGGAAATCAGATTTTTTCTTTTTCCCATGCTCGTGAATGACACTATTTTTAACTTCTGTTATTTTTGAAAAGAGTAATTTCCAAAATTCAGCTTTGGTTTGGTCGGTGAGATTAAGAGTAAGGTATGGTGTATTTAAGGGAAAAACGAACTTTTATCGCTTTACCGAAGGTACAGCACCCTAAATTACATGTACCTCTGTTTGGCTTCTCCTCTTGGTTTTCCATAACATCTTCGCATAAAACTTCACAACGTGACAGGAAACAACGAATGGCATCATACTTTATCGCCTAGAATATGCACACAAACAAAGAAAAAGGAACACAAATAAACCAAATTCAATTGCTACAAAGATATTTCTTCAAAACCGAATATGCTCTACGAGGATGATAAAGCTCCCAAAAGCCTAAAGACCTAAGAGAAATCAATTATTGTTATCTAAGTAACAAAAATTATTATCATTAACAATTGATAAATTAATCAATAAATCCATTCTAATGACACCCACGTTTTGCAACAACACAGCTGGACACTTACTCAGATACTTCAATGACATATGCCATTTTAAGATTTAGATTGAGATGGAAAACGTTAACTCATAGCCCGTGTAAAATATATGTCAACATACAAGATGGTTCAAAAAGCAGAGAAATTCTTCTTTGCCTACAGCCTAAATAAGCCAACAAAATATTTTAAGACAAGTAGATTTCAGATAATTCATATTGAGATGTAGCATGCAAACCTGTCATTGCAAGAATTTTGCTGTACAACAAGTAGACAAGTAGAATCCCATAGGTCTAGCCCTAGCCCTAAACTCTACCAATGTACCTGTGCTGCCTCCCCTGCTGTGGCTTTCTGATGCACATAAGCTTGACAACACATTGAGCCACTGATCCTTATAGAGGCTGCTGTGTCTACCTCCACAGGTTCCATATTGTTGCAGGACTGGAAAGAGAGGTAAAAAAAAAAAAAAGCAACAACTCGCAGTTGATTTGGGTGAAGGCCTTTGGCCCACTGGTGAGAACCCTTACTGGTACTTCACACCTTTGTGCTCAAAATGCAGTTTCCTGACCTGATGTATGGTAAAGGTGGATTTAATTTTTGGTTGATAACTTATCTTTGCCCAATTGGTTTTCACCGAGTTCTCCAGCCCACCTACCTCAACCCTTTCTGACAAAAACTAACACTTCGCTTTCCACTTTGACCTGGAAATAGCAGACCAGGAGTCACAAGAGAAAGAGCCATGGAAGATAATCTAAACGCAGGCCAACATACATGTAGTATCGCATTCTAAAAAAGCATTTCTACCTAGATTTTTTTGCCATTAAAATGGGACAAAGCTGAATAATAATTGCATTCCATAAAACTGCATCCTCGTAAATTTTGAACTACAACATGTACATACTTATTTAATCTCATGCTTAGAACTGATATAACTGTGCTAGCTCAACACTAATTGGTACCTCATCTGTAAATAGGTCAATTTTAAATGTCTGTGTGGATGTAGAACTAGCTTGACTGGATCTTCCAGACTTTTCACTTGATACAAGAGTCTGATCATCAGCATAAAGCTCTCCATTCACTGTGCACAAGGCACTTGATATACTCTGCAATGTCTTGTGAATGCTGCTCTAAAGACAAAATCACAAGAAAAGCTTAGATTGGAAAAGATCAAATCAAAAACTGAGTGCCTTTAAAGGTAGCCATATCTATTTCCCTTCCAAATCAGCTATGATTTACTGCATCAATCAAAACCCTGAATGGGGAGAAGGTGATTGGATGGAAGCCAGGTGAGTGAGTTGGAATAAATGCTTGTTGCTTCTACCATTAATTCTAGACTCAGTTGTTTCAATGCTTTAACAGAAAGGGCTGTCATATGGGTCTGCCTAGCCCATTGATTTCATACCATTATTTGCTTGTTTAGACCTGAAGTCTCAAGTTTCCTTGGAACATCAAAGCATCCATCAGTTAACGACAAGGATGCTTCTAGTTTACTCCACTTTGAAGAGAATGACTGATATTTCACTTCAGCTGGATTTGGTGTGGCCTGCAACATGATAAATGAGACAGCTGATATCTCTAAGAAGACAGAAACAACTACAAAGACCATGCTAATTTGGAACAGTGAGATGTAAAGATTAAAGAAATCATATTGGAATTGATAAGAATTGT